TAATTATATAAGAAATCAAACTATGATTATTAAGGCATTGATTTACTTTTTACAATGTACAATTATGAATTTCGAAATTTTTTTAAATTGATTTTTGCTTTACTTGAGGAATCCCAAGCTCATTGTTGTGTTAACTTTCTGGCTAATATTTATATATTGTTTATTTTAAGATATTCCAAACTCCCCTCCATAGGATTTAATTATGGTGAATATGATGGCAAAAACAGAACATTAAATTGACTAAAAATTTTACTTTTTCTATAATTGCTATGATGAATAGGACAGTTGTCCATAATTATTAATAATTATTGATTCTAATAGAACTTAATGGCTTCTTCAATTAGCTTTAAATAATAGTAAGCAAATACATATTAATTTACATTTCCAACACAAATTTGAAAACATCCAAATCCCTTTTATCCAATAAAACCAAGAACATGTAAAGACTTCTTCAATTAAGTAAATTTTCTATATTTTTTTTCTTCCATTATCTACCAGCATTTTGGATTTAATGTATGATGAGTGAATGTTGTTTCATCTAAAAAGAGAAGTTTATATTATTCTTTCTATTTCTTCCTAATCCGAAGAATTTTAAACATTTTGATCTGACAACATTGAATTTAAGTCGGAGATGTTTTTGTATTTATAAAAATTATTTATTTGATTCTAATGCTTTACTTTGATAAACAAATTATTCATTTCAATATTTATTTATTGGTTTCGAAATATAAAAAATGTAATGAATCAACTGATGTAATTGATTAATGACGCTTATTTATTTTTAAAATAACAATTCATATTTTGTTCTTAAAATACAAAAAATATTTGCAAATAAACAAAAAAAATATGGATGAGAATTAGGTAAATCATCAAGAATTCGATATACTCTACATTTTATTATTCCATTAAAATTATATTCTTTCTTGATTATTATTTTCGATGATTACAATCGAATAAGCTAACCAATTAGTGGGTTCAATGAAATCTCTATATATGGGATATGGGACTAATTCTAAAAGGATATTATCTTCCCAAATTCGAATCAGCCTGTATCACTAGTGAATATTTACTTGGAGTTACTTTAAATAAAGTATTTGTGGCAAAGGTAATCGATATTAAATTTGCTTACCTTGTTAAAAGAGCTACGAAGCTTGATTTATATAGAGAGCTTCATTAAATAATAGGGTAAGAGATTGAAATAGGGTTCACTTCACAGAGGTTGCCAGATAGATAATGGCTAATTAATACTCTCTTTTATGTATCACCAAAAAATACTTATTTTCAACAACTCAAATCAAATTTATTTAAGGGTTTAAGTTAGTCTTGATCTCTAGTAATCAATTTTGAATAATTCTTTAGAAAAATAAAGGAACTAAATACTTCTATGTTGAGATCAAAAAGATTACGATTCTTCAAAACTTAACCTGAATAGAAACAATAAAGAAAAACCAACTAAATTAAATAAAAAATTATTAAACTAAAGACATAGTAAGAAGAAGAAATGAAAAAAGAAACTGATAGAATTGGAAAACTGGAGAAATTGAAAAAAGAATTAGTTGAAATTTAATCATATCAGAGCCTAAGTTTAAATTAAAACAAAACTTAGTAGAGATTTATGTAAAATTTTGAATTGCAAGAGGAAAGTTAAAGTTCATGATGTCTTATTTTGATAGTTTTTTAAACATAATTGAACAAAAACAAATTGTTAATATTAAATATTAACTTATGATTATTGAAACAGTATTTAGCAAAAATATTTCTGTAATTTGTCCCCTTACTTAAGAATAAATACAAAATAATGCACTATAAAAAACCAACAAAGTGTTAAATTAAATTTTTTACTATATAGTGAGAATATTTCTTTCTTTATTGATTAGTCAAATAAAGAATATTCTGAAATTTCGACATTTTTTGTTGGGAATTTTCAAATAGTTAATTGTATATAAACTTGTTTTATGGAAAAAAAATAGTTTTAGGTAAAAAAAATGTTCAGATCCAATCCTTTTGTAAATATTTAAAAAAAATAAAGAAATAGTTTGATGTAGTTTCTTAAATTTGTTATGTAAAAATGATATTTGGAATATATTGATTTTAATGTGTTTCAATTATAATTATTAAAAAATTTAGATCAATTCATTATAAGAAAATGATTTATATGGTCAAATATTAAATGTTGAAGGAAAAATTTGTAATCTATAAGTTGATAAAAATTTTGATTTGTAGGTAGTGTTTTGGATATTAAAAAAATAATTAGTCAAAAATGTATTTTTATATGTGTTTGGACTGTACTATGGAGAGTGTTTGATTTTCCAAGTAACTTTGTGTTTAGACGACTTTATTTCTTGAAGAAAATTTTTAAATTTTTATAAAAATTGTTAAGATTAATCAAATGTACGCAATGGAACTTAAAAGTCAAATTGATCTGGGAGTTTCTCTATCTTATATGGGAAATTTTCAAATAAATTTAGGGAGAGTTGTTTCAAGAGTTATCCATTTATAATAATTTTCCATAAATGTAATTTTTAGCTGATATTGTTAAAGAAAATTACTTATTTTATTCAATAGAAGCCATTCTTCATCACTATCATTTTTATTCTGTTAGTTTTTGATTTTTCTAATTATTATATTTTTATTAAGAAATTAAAAATCGGTTGGATTATTGATAGTGAATTTCAATTAAATATTTTTGCAAATCTAATTTGAACTCATATTTAAATTTTTTGTTTTATATTTTTTTCTGCTTAGAATGGTAGGATTTTAAGACATTGTTTAGTCAATTACAAAATAAGAATTGAACAAAACCATAGGATCCATAGAATCAGTCTATCATGCACTTGTCTTAGAGGGTTATTACAAGCCAAAGTTGAATTCATAGTTTGTTGACTCCAATTATCTTCTTGGAGTGATGACAAATAAAGTTTTTCGTATAAAACTTGATCACGTAAAGGTAGGTTAATTGTTAGCACAAGCAACAAAATATCGTTTATGGGATGAGCTCCAAGTTTTACAATAAACTTTTGAAATACCTTTTGGATTTTCAGAGGAAATTTTACTTGATAAACCATAGTTAGTAAATATACTTTTTGTTTGTGCTTCTGATCTAAATTTTTTTAGGAAATCTATCTTAATTCTAGATTGATTAAATAGTTTGATTTTTCTTAAGGAAAAAAAAAATCAAGATTCTTAAAAGACCAAGAGAATTATTAAAAGACTATTAAGAGGCTTAACAAAAATAGAAATAACTTAGAAGAGCAATCACTATTGAAAAAAAAAAATCAAAATGATTGAAAAAATAGAAAAAAAATAAAAGTACTCAAGCCTCCACATTCAAGAATGATGAAATTAAATATGAAAAGATATAGAATTTCTTTTTATTATATGAAATATTCGTGTAATTTAAATATTTACATATAAATCAATAAAGGTTAGCAGATCCAAATTTCAGTTGTTCGTTAAAATTAAATAAATCATTTCTGTGAAATAAATGTATTTTTCTAATTTACTCGAGATCTATTTACAATTACTTTAGATATAAATATTATATAATTATATACATATTGATTGATATGCGAATTAAAAAATTTCAAACTGAAGGCCCTTTAGCAGAAACTACATCAACATTTTTCTTTAATTAAGAATGTCTTATTTTTAAATTAATGAAATTTTCTTAGATATTTACCAATTATAGGTACTTTAGTTGAGCGATTATATAAGAAAGGCAAAAAGGGTTAGAACATTTAAATAATCCATGTATTAAGATTGGAAATCCAAGATATGTCATTCTAAACATTACAATAATTAAGAATCCAAAAATAAGAAAACACCTCCTTTCAGATTGCCTAGAGAAATTATCTAGAAAAAATGAAAATGTTCTCCTAATACCAATTAGAAGATATTACTAAAATATAATTTAATAACTAAAACAATATGAACTTGAATGTGTTATTAGTTATATATGTGTTTTCTTAATTTGAGTTTATTATAAAATGGAATCAATATAAGCTTAAATGTTATTTTTATAATGGAATTATTATCTAAAATATCATTTGATATTTTACATATTTTAAGTTTTATTTTCTATATTTTTATTTTACTTAGATTTTTTTTATACTAAAAATGGAATCAATTCAAACTTGGATGTTATTTTAGTAAAATAAATTATTTTTAATATATATTTTAATATTTGACCAATATAGTCGAATTCTACATTAGAATTGATTTATGATTACTTCATGGAAAAATAATGANTTGTTTAGTCAATTACAAAATAAGAATTGAACAAAACCATAGGATCCATAGAATCAGTCTATCATGCACTTGTCTTAGAGGGTTATTACAAGCCAAAGTTGAATTCATAGTTTGTTGACTCCAATTATCTTCTTGGAGTGATGACAAATAAAGTTTTTCGTATAAAACTTGATCACGTAAAGGTAGGTTAATTGTTAGCACAAGCAACAAAATATCGTTTATGGGATGAGCTCCAAGTTTTACAATAAACTTTTGAAATACCTTTTGGATTTTCAGAGGAAATTTTACTTGATAAACCATAGTTAGTAAATATACTTTTTGTTTGTGCTTCTGATCTAAATTTTTTTAGGAAATCTATCTTAATTCTAGATTGATTAAATAGTTTGATTTTTCTTAAGGAAAAAAAAAATCAAGATTCTTAAAAGACCAAGAGAATTATTAAAAGACTATTAAGAGGCTTAACAAAAATAGAAATAACTTAGAAGAGCAATCACTATTGAAAAAAAAAAATCAAAATGATTGAAAAAATAGAAAAAAAATAAAAGTACTCAAGCCTCCACATTCAAGAATGATGAAATTAAATATGAAAAGATATAGAATTTCTTTTTATTATATGAAATATTCGTGTAATTTAAATATTTACATATAAATCAATAAAGGTTAGCAGATCCAAATTTCAGTTGTTCGTTAAAATTAAATAAATCATTTCTGTGAAATAAATGTATTTTTCTAATTTACTCGAGATCTATTTACAATTACTTTAGATATAAATATTATATAATTATATACATATTGATTGATATGCGAATTAAAAAATTTCAAACTGAAGGCCCTTTAGCAGAAACTACATCAACATTTTTCTTTAATTAAGAATGTCTTATTTTTAAATTAATGAAATTTTCTTAGATATTTACCAATTATAGGTACTTTAGTTGAGCGATTATATAAGAAAGGCAAAAAGGGTTAGAACATTTAAATAATCCATGTATTAAGATTGGAAATCCAAGATATGTCATTCTAAACATTACAATAATTAAGAATCCAAAAATAAGAAAACACCTCCTTTCAGATTGCCTAGAGAAATTATCTAGAAAAAATGAAAATGTTCTCCTAATACCAATTAGAAGATATTACTAAAATATAATTTAATAACTAAAACAATATGAACTTGAATGTGTTATTAGTTATATATGTGTTTTCTTAATTTGAGTTTATTATAAAATGGAATCAATATAAGCTTAAATGTTATTTTTATAATGGAATTATTATCTAAAATATCATTTGATATTTTACATATTTTAAGTTTTATTTTCTATATTTTTATTTTACTTAGATTTTTTTTATACTAAAAATGGAATCAATTCAAACTTGGATGTTATTTTAGTAAAATAAATTATTTTTAATATATATTTTAATATTTGACCAATATAGTCGAATTCTACATTAGAATTGATTTATGATTACTTCATGGAAAAATAATGATACATCTATTTTGAAAACCCTTTTAAACTTTAGATAGTATAATTAAGTTTCTTATACTGTATTAATTTTCATTATTGACATTTACTTACAGAAATTAAAATTTCTAAATAATAAAGAGAATAAATAATTATGATTTAAATTTTTATGCATGATTGATCAATTGACTAGACTCTCCATTTTACCATCTAGATTTCTAATTGTCTTTAAATGAGTATATTTATATCTTTAAAAGACTTTTTATTTTAATTTATTCTATTTTTTTTATTTGAAATTTTTCATATCATGTTTCACATTATGATTGATATTTAAAAAATTTTTAAATATTTAACAATTAAAACCATTTTGTTTTTCATTTATCAATTATATTGATTTAACAATGAAATTTAAATTTTATTCAAATATTCAAAAATTCATAAAAACTATTTACAGTTTCATTATTTTAGCATAAATTTTCTATTTTATTATCTACCTGTTTTCTATTTTGCACTTAGTTATTTTTCTCCTTATTGAATAATTGTCTTTAATATTTTTTATATATTATAATTCATTCACTTTGAATTTCTTCCTGCAAGTTGAAATTTTCATTAAATTTTTATAATTGGACATCTTAACTATTTCTTTCTCTGTTAAGCGAAGAAAGCTCTTTTAATTAATAGTTTAGGTTTACAAGTTTCCCAATGTTATTTTTCTATCTCATCTTATCCTCCTCTAGTTCTGTTTTCAGTTTATGAATTTAATCTTTTATTTTCATAGATCTACTGTGTATTCTTTATTCAAAAGTAGACTTGAAAAAACGCAATTTCTTTTTATGTGGTATTCAGCTCTTTCAATTTTCTAAAAAGTTTTTTTCATTCAATACTATGTGTCTTGCTATGAAACATTAGAAAGTCTATGGGCAGATGGCGCTATAAAATATCTACGATTTGGAGAGACTAAATGCAAACATTGATCAACAATTAAATCCTAGTTCTACATCTTGCCCTATTATTTGAGACAATTCTCAGCAGGTATCAATTTTGGTGGCTCTTTTTATCAAAAATGCAATTTTAATTTCTGACTGTTTACAAGTGAAGATCTTGTAAAAAATTACTCCAAGTAAATATTCGCTAGTGATACAGGGCGAGTTAAGTTTAAGTAGGTAGTACCCTTTTAAAATCAGGCCTGTGTATACAGATTTAAGAGACCCAAGTATTCTGTTTGCCTCCTCAATTGTTATTCCTTAAACCTAAAAATATTTTTAAATTTGTAAAAATTATATATGGATAGATTAGATATGCAACTTTTTTATATCTATATTAACTTAAACCATGCTAATATACAATGAATTAATTCACTAAAATATTTTTTGAACTCAAATTATGAATTTTCAAATAAAGACATCTTCCATAGCAAAAGACATTCTCATCAAAAAATGATATTTTGATCTTTTAATTTATTTTTTTAATTGTTTTAAAATTCTATATAGATTTTTATAATTGATAATTGTATATATAAAATTATGATATCTCAATAAAAAAGTATTCATTAATGTAATAAATTTCTTAATCCTCAAGTGATTCTGAAAGTAATGACCTTTTGTCTAATGAGATGATTTATAATTTCGAAGATAATATTTTTATATCTTTTAAATGCAAACTAAAGAATAAGGTTGAAATAAGTTAACCAATTCCAGTTCCGTTCATAACAGGTGCCACCAAGATTGCTATAGATTGATTTTACATGAAACCTTGTGTTTAAGCTCAGCGAAAAAAAATAACTAAAAAAAAATAGAAATAATGAGCTTAAAAGAAGCTGTTACATATAACAAACAAATTTTAGAAATCGCATCATCAAAAAACATAAAGAAACATCACAAATTGAATAAGTTACAAAACATAAACAAATGAAAAAGTAAAATTCTTGCTTAATCAGGAAATTGACTTAAGAAAGAAGGCTTTACTAAAGCTTATATTTCAATTATGATAGGATTGTCAGAAAGTTAAATATATTACAAGGAAAAATAAAACCCTAGCAGCATTCAACTTTAAACTTAATGTTATTTTGATTAAATCACCTTGATTGGTTGAAGAGCTATGTGAAATCTTCTGAAATATAAGACCTCTGGAATTAATAATTTATCTTGAATGCCATCAAAATTCATTTTAAATTTAATGAAATCAATATTGGAATGAAATAATTTAGAGGGTTTTTGTAACAGGCGGGAGCGGTGTATATATAAGTCAAAAAGAAAGTTCAAGGTTCTTTTAAGGTCTAGTAAGATTAAATTTTAGGAATATTGTATTTAATTATTATCATACATAAAACAAAATTGTAATGCTATATATATTGATGAAACTACTTTTGCTAATTAAACTCATAATCCAAAATGCTGGCAACTAAGGAATCAATCAAATTTAGAAGGTTTACAATAACCAAAAAACATCTAAATGTTATTGGAGGTATTGGAAATAATGAGTTTAAGTTTTTTCAAATTATATTAGGCAATGCTAATTAGTTTTTATTTGGTTAATTTTTATAATAACTAATTTAGTATGTTAAATCATATTATAAGGATTAGAAATTTGTAATTATACTAGATAATTGCCCTATACATTAAAGCAAATTAATAAAGAGCGATTTATGAATAATATATATTGTTTTTATCTCGCTCCATATTCTCCTGATCTAAATCCAATAGAGAAAGTGTGGAAGTTTAAAAAACCATGTATATTGCAATGAATTATTTATGATTAAAGAAATTCATTTAATTAAAACAAAAAATTTAGGTGGTGTAATTGATAACTTAATGAGAAATATGTAAGATGAAATAAAAATAGCATTTCAACACGACTAAGATAATAATTGAGAAGATGGTGTAAAAATGATTATATCATAAAATGAAAATAATATTGAATTCGACTATATACTTAAATGTTTTATTAGTGAAAGATTTATTTCCTTAATAATGGTTTATTATTTAACCAATATATACTTTAATTTTTTCTTTGATGTATTTTTGTTATCTAAAATACATTTAATATTTAACCAATATAAACTTAAATCTTATACATGCTATACATTTATTATCTTTAAAATATTTTGATTTTTTGCCAATGTCAACATCATGTTATATTTTTTCAAATATTTATTTTGATATCTCAAATTATATATAGGTTTACTATGTTTTTAATAATAATTAACTTTCTAAAATAAGTAATGTCATTTTTATAATACATTTTAGTAGTCTTTAACTTTAATGATCTTTTAATTGAAATTTCCACATACAATAATTATTTGGTTATCTTCTCCCTTATTAATAAGCGTATACCTTCGCTTAATTACAACATTAATTCAATATAATCAACATCTTCATTAAATATTTTTAAGGATTTAGTAATATAGTTACAAGAAACTATTTTATGCACTCCCATCACTACTCCTCCTTAATGATTTGATTTTTCCAAATTTCATAAAAATATGTGAATGATGGACTATTAAAATTCTACCTTTAGATTCTTATATACAAATTATATGATATCCTTCAAGATTAATAAAATAATTCATTTACTTATGATTTTTTGACTTGCTATCTCAACCAATCAAAATAAATCTAAGTATATTAAACTTAAGTATTATAAAATTTGCTATTTGGAACCCTTTTTTTTAATAATATGTTTAATTTTATTTACCTCCCGTCATTTTGGATATTTATAATGTATAAAAGAAAACATAAAGGTTTAAATAGATTGTTTAGATCACAAAGACTTTTTGTATTTTTATAAATATGTTTCTAAAAAAAAAATAAAGTAAAATTAAAAAATAAATACACTAGTAAGTGAAGAAAACAAAAAGTAAACTAATTTTTAAGGAAAACACTAGAATTAAACATCTTTCAATTAAATTAGTTAAATAGAAGTAGGAGTATAAGAGTAATGAGAATTTATTGTAATTCTAACATATTGAATGAGATTATGGTACTATTTTGAAAATAATATAAATGCATAAAAAAAATGATTATTAGATAACATATATTCTTATCCAGATTTGGAGCAATAGAAAATGGGTTGATATTTAAATCGAAAAAATTACCTATTGAAATGTTTTAACAATAATTATAATTTATTATTGTATCTCAAAAATACAATAGCCAAAAAAATAAGAATTAGAAGAATCTAATTTGGATGCTTTATTTTTTGATTTATGGAATTTTTTTTAATTTGAACTAGTGAAATATTTATGGTATTCTATATGCAATTCAAAAAATACAAACATTTTTTTTTAATTCATCAAAATATCAAATGATTTAATGTTAGATTTCTAACATAAAAACAAAATACACAATATATAAAAATTATCCAAGTAATTACTCAAATATTTACATAATTATAGTTAGGTATTAGATAAGCTAAATTTTATATGATGATAGTAAATCATATGAAATAAAAAAGAAATATGAGAGATAATTTTCAGTTTAAATTAGTAATGAAAACTATAAAATACTAGATTTACATTAAATTTGAGTTGATGGTGGTATTTAAAATAGGAAAGAAATTAAAAATATTCTTGGAATGTAAAAAGAGAAATGCATAAGAAATATCACATATAACTTTATATTGGTTGAATTTAATTAATAAAATTAGTTAACAAAAGAAATGTATAACAAATATAATCTTGAACTTTGAGGTTAAATTTTTATTTTAATTAAATTAAAATTAAAAATACCTTCTTATATATTTATTTTCTTAAGTTCATTATATTATTTATGTTTTAACGAATAGAAAGTAAAATATAATATTTCTTATATATTACAATTAATAATAAATGTTATATTTGTTATTTATCCTAAAATACTATTTAAAAAAAAATTGATTTTCTATTCTACATCATATCATAACTTTTAATAAATTTTAATAAGTTTTTACTTATTGAAATTAATTATAATCATGTAAACCATTTGCTTAAACATTTATAGTTACATTAGCATTACAATTATTTAAATAATGTTTTATTAATTTTGATTATATTAATTAATCAAAATTACTTTTAATTTATATATCTTTTTAGATATTTTTATACAGTAAATATCTGTAGGTTCAATCAATATTTAAATGCTAAAGATAAATTTATTATTAGTGGGATGATAATAATGTTATCCAAAATGAAAAAACAACAATTATTTTTGTAAGTTTATTCAGTAAAATTATTTTGAATATATTTATAAATTAAAAGTATAATACTTGATTGTAAATGTTTTCGAATAAAATTTTTTTTAATTCCTATTATATAAGTATCATATATATGTATATATATAAAGTTATATATTTACATTAGATAACATTGAAATTGAATATTTGATTTTATGACCATTTATACAATTTTATGACCATTTATACAATTTTATGACCATTTATACAATTTTATAACACGAAAAGTTAATTTAAACGGTCTATATTATCAACAAGAAGTTTAAAAGGATGCCTTTTATAAATAAGTACAAAGAGTTATAATTATACAATATTACTTTTACTAATTTGAATTGAATATAAGATATTAAAATTGTTAATTTAAATAAAAATTAATCATCAATTTGATTAAAATGATAATACTTTAAAATTTTTTAATAAAATCTTAGAGATTTCATATTTCTACTCAATTATATCCATGCGTCGATTATTTTAAGTATCATATTAGTAAAAATAGTGAACTCTTAATTTAAATAATAAAGGAAATATCAATTGAGTGCTTTATACAACTATTGAAAAATAAATATTGATTTCATGATAAATTAGAAAATTTTGTTGTTGTTTTTAGGATCAAGGGAAAATATCTTAAATCAAATCCTAAAATATTATAATAACATATTTTTGAACCAATTTAAATTTCAATACTTAATTTAATAATTTTTTTAATTCTCTATTTTTTTCATTACATTTTTTAGATATTTTATAGGCAAATTTATAAGCAATTTAATCAATTAATCTTTAATTTTGAATGTTCTGAAAAAAAAGAGAACAAATAATACGACTTTAAAAAGCCAAATTGCAAAAAATAATTGAAATAAAAAAAGATATAAATAAATTATTTTAGTGATAACAAAAAATTTGAATGCATTTCCGTTTATAAAAATAAAAATTTTTCAGTCTTGATTAAATTAAATACAAGAAAAAAAGTATTGATGATGATTAAATCGAAGTAAACAGTGAATATGAAAGTAAGTTAAAAATCTGAAAATGCTTTGCAATATTAGAAATTTAACTTATTAGATAAAAAAATATATGAGAAACAAAATGAATACTAAGACAGGAATTGGATGTTAATAAAGGAGGCTGAAGAGCAGATATTAAATTGCAAATTGTAATATTTAAAAGAATATGAGACAAGAAAATAAAGCAATATTGAAATTTTAAATCATTTCAAACAAAATCTAATATAAATGAAATAATAAATGTTTAACAAAATTGAAGAAATAATATCTTTTATAAACAATCAATTAACTCGTCTTTCTAATATAAAACTTGAGAAAGATGATTTATGTTAAGATGGATCCAATTAGAATTTGGATTATATTGAAAGCACATATACAAAATTAAATCAAAAATCATTTAATTTTAGTGAAATCGAAATTCATTTATAATAGCAATTAAAAACATTAGATATATAAGAATTTTTGAAATACCATGAATAAATGTTAGAAAGCATTAGATGTGAGAATAAGAATAATTTTAAAGAATATATACCTTTTGGGATAGATTAAATGTAATTAAATAATCTTTGGGTATGCGATAAGCACAAATTATAATTGATGTTTGTAGATCTAAAACAAAAAAGCGTTGTTCCTGATAGAATAGCTTGTGCCTATTGTGTTCCTGAATATTTAGTATAGTTCACTAATTTTGATTAATTTAAGATGATGTGGAATCAGTGGATTTAAAATATTTCAAATTATTCAAATCTGCAAGATAGAAATTTTAATAATAGTATCTAATCAGCTCTTTAATAGATAATTTAGTTAAAAGACTCATTTAATAATTTAACTGATGAATCGATAATTGCTTTGAAAAGCCTTACTCTTAATCGAAGCATAATACTAGAGTAATTGTTGTAACTTATTAAAAAGGAATGGCAATAATATTCAAAAATTGAAATAATTTAAATTGCCAATATTCTGAGTCAATAAAATAAATAAAATGAATTAAATTAATAACTTCAATCAGAATTGAATGCAAAATTGTAATAAATTTAAGATATAAAAAATGAATTATTTATCAATCTATAATAGAAATTTTCTGATTTAAAATTACTGTAATGTTCCTTACCTATTGAAGAAAAGAATGGAAAATATTTAAAAATATCATTTAAAAAAGAAATTCAGTCCTAGACAAAAGAATTAGAATAAAACAATAATTTCAGTCCTCTAATTGAACCTTTTTAATATGAACTTTTAAAGAAGAGCTCATTAAAGGAAGATAAAATATATTCAATTACATTTAGTTAAGATTCTTCTTTAATAATGACTGGTTATTCTCATGGATAAATCAAAGTCTTTCAATTTAGAAATGGATATATGAAACAAAACTAGATTTTATAGAATCATTAAGGGATTGTTAATTGTTTGCATATCTTAAATAGTTGTAAATAGTTTGTTTCAGGAGGAGCAGATAAAACTATCATCATATGGTAAATTAATGAAAAAAAATAATGGGTATGTTTATAAATTTTATAAAGACACACTGATTGCATTAGATGTATTATTTCAAATAGTCATGAAGATTTAATAATCTCGAGTGGAGATGATTCAACAATCTAATTCTGGAATAAAGACCTTCAATGGAATTGGCAATAAAGATTACTTGGACATAGAAACAAAGTGGAGAGTATTTCTTTGAACAATTAGAGCACTAAATTGATATCTTGTGCATACATGGACTATACAATCTTAGTTAGTGAAAGAGTTTAATAAGATTAAGAATGGATAATTATTTAGACAATTAAGGTTGACAACTGGGGTTAAAGTTTATGCTTTATGAATGATATATTGTTTTCTTTTTAACCATCAAGGTCTGAAACCTTATTTATTTATGAATTTGATAAAGAAACTAATAATTTTTAAAAAATCAAAGAAGTCAGAATAAAATCAGGATATTAATCAGATTCTGTATTTTCTTTGTAGTTTATCAAATAAAACTCTATGATACTTAATAAAACAGGCTATTTTATTAACTTAATTAAATTTAAATAAAATGGTGATTTTATAAATGGACAATCTATTAAATATCAAACTCAATATATTCAAGGAGCTTTGACGAATGATGGGTAGTATTTAGTAACTTGGGATGAAGAAACAAAAGAATTATAGGTTAGATAATGTAAAAATTGAAATATCTTTATTATTATTATTAATTATCTATTTAATTTAATTATAATCAAACTTTTCAAATTTTATATTTATTAAAAATAAAAAGATACAAAATTTGAAACTTGAATTGGGAATAAACTAATGCATCTACATCAATTTTTTGGAATAATTTTAAACATATTTGAAATTAAAAAAGGATTATATTTAAAAATATGCAAATAATGTCAACTTAATTTTAGCTAAATTTAGACTAAAATAATATGAAATTTAAGTTATCAAGATCAAGGGGAATAAAATCATTATAACTTCTTTTTGCTTATCAATAGTAAAATTAAACAAATTTATTTATTTATGGTATGTCTAGTTAAATATTTTAAATGTTCGTATTTAATTAATAATTAATTAAATATGATCTATATGTTATTTTGTTCTATAGACTTATTACTGAATACCTCCTACTGTCTCATAACATTTTAAAGTGGATATTTTTAGACATTCTATAAGTGGATANAGGAGCAGATAAAACTATCATCATATGGTAAATTAATGAAAAAAAATAATGGGTATGTTTATAAATTTTATAAAGACACACTGATTGCATTAGATGTATTATTTCAAATAGTCATGAAGATTTAATAATCTCGAGTGGAGATGATTCAACAATCTAATTCTGGAATAAAGACCTTCAATGGAATTGGCAATAAAGATTACTTGGACATAGAAACAAAGTGGAGAGTATTTCTTTGAACAATTAGAGCACTAAATTGATATCTTGTGCATACATGGACTATACAATCTTAGTTAGTGAAAGAGTTTAATAAGATTAAGAATGGATAATTATTTAGACAATTAAGGTTGACAACTGGGGTTAAAGTTTATGCTTTATGAATGATATATTGTTTTCTTTTTAACCATCAAGGTCTGAAACCTTATTTATTTATGAATTTGATAAAGAAACTAATAATTTTTAAAAAATCAAAGAAGTCAGAATAAAATCAGGATATTAATCAGATTCTGTATTTTCTTTGTAGTTTATCAAATAAAACTCTATGATACTTAATAAAACAGGCTATTTTATTAACTTAATTAAATTTAAATAAAATGGTGATTTTATAAATGGACAATCTATTAAATATCAAACTCAATATATTCAAGGAGCTTTGACGAATGATGGGTAGTATTTAGTAACTTGGGATGAAGAAACAAAAGAATTATAGGTTAGATAATGTAAAAATTGAAATATCTTTATTATTATTATTAATTATCTATTTAATTTAATTATAATCAAACTTTTCAAATTTTATATTTATTAAAAATAAAAAGATACAAAATTTGAAACTTGAATTGGGAATAAACTAATGCATCTACATCAATTTTTTGGAATAATTTTAAACATATTTGAAATTAAAAAAGGATTATATTTAAAAATATGCAAATAATGTCAACTTAATTTTAGCTAAATTTAGACTAAAATAATATGAAATTTAAGTTATCAAGATCAAGGGGAATAAAATCATTATAACTTCTTTTTGCTTATCAATAGTAAAATTAAACAAATTTATTTATTTATGGTATGTCTAGTTAAATATTTTAAATGTTCGTATTTAATTAATAATTAATTAAATATGATCTATATGTTATTTTGTTCTATAGACTTATTACTGAATACCTCCTACTGTCTCATAACATTTTAAAGTGGATATTTTTAGACATTCTATAAGTGGATATGGGAAAAAAACAACATATTATTTGCTTTTTTAACTCCAAATCAATCATTCTAGAGCACAATTAAATTTGCGTCAAGATTTACCAATATTCCAGAAGTATTCATTATTACTTAAGTTTTTGATTTGGATTCTGGAAGTGTTTAAGGATATTGGTTTTATATAATGGATGTAATAAGATCAGGTGAATTTTAATTTTATAATGTTAGGTTTTACAGTCAAAATATAAGTTCCATATTCAACGCCTTATAAAGGAATTGGATTCAGATAATGTTCATAGATGACTTAGGTCGAAAAGTGGTTTCAAGGTTTAATTAATTTAATCCAGTTAATGGAATTTTTAAAATCTCTCATTCAAATCCAAACTTTGTTATAGGAATTTTTTCTTTGATATGTATAGAATGTTAAGGTTCGTTCAATTATCAAATATATGTATACTTAATGATAAAAATCTAGGTGTCAAAAGTGACTAATACTGATTGTACTTAAATTGGATACTAAATACTTCTTGGTACTAAAGATGCTTTTTCTATTAAAGGAACTATATATACTACTTCTTTTCCATCATATATTGAATCATTCAATTTTGAAACAGGATAGGAAAATTCTTAATTATTAGCATATTTTTAAGGGATTTTGTATCTATAAGGAATTACATTTAGATTAAGAATCATTAGAGACAATTATGTAGATAGTTAGACTAACTACCAAATTGAACTATGTATATATAAATTTAAGGGGCTTGAAGTGTTTTATAATAAGTTTATCATCAATATGGAGCGATAAGAACTTAGTGGGATGAAGGGTTTTATTAAAGTTTTAAATACTATAAAATATTTGTATCCAAAAATTTTGATGTAAATATAGAAAAAATGTTAAATTCATTTGAATTTATAATTCCAGAGCTCAATTTTTCAACTAAAATTTAAGGAATTTTTAACTCTGATATTAGTATTTCTATAACAGATTTAACATTAATTTTTTCAAGAAAATGTAAATAAGGAAAAAAAAAAAAATGGTAGTAGTGCCTAAAAATGATTGTGACTCTCCATATTACCAATATGATATAAATTGTTATTCCAAATATATTCTCTACCATTAAAAATTATATATTTAAACTTCAACCCCTCTTATTTCTAAATTGAAAATTGATATTGTTCTGGATATATACTTTAAAAATAGTGCACAATTACATAGATTAGGTTGAAAAGTTTGTAGAAATTGCCAATATAGAATATGTTTGAGAAAAACTATTTTCATTATTTATTTATTATCATTCTATAATTAATACATATAATTCATTTTAATATACTTTATAAATTAATAAATATGATTTTAATATAGAATTAATTTAATTAAATTCCAAATAGTTTATTAATTGCTAAAAAATTCATAATTCTCATTTGAATATCTATCTTCAAACTAAATAACAATCGTTTTTGACTTTATGTACTCAATTATCCTATCAATTATAAATTAAAGTAAATTTGATTATTCAAAAATCTATTAACCAATATTGATATTATTTAATAATTATATTTGTATATACTAATTTAAAGAGTGAATACTAATAATCAAAAAAAAATTATGAATAATATTAATTTCCTTTTACTTCTTTATTGATTATTCATATATTTATAATATCATTTTGGAACAATTGAATTATTCCAAACACTACATGTATTTACTCCACCTTATAAATAGATATATCCATCAACTCCCCAAGATGTAGCCCATGAATTCTTAATAATAAGAGCATCAGAAGTGAATCCAACAGCCAAAACAGCATGATTAATATCTCCAGTACATGCAGAACTTGGAAAGATATAATCATCGCCTGTTGGTTTATAGTTCTTCCAATCAGATGCTTAAACAGCAACTGAAATTGGACCCTCTTAAAGTGCAGCTTAATGAGCAGCTTCATTGGCAAAGATTGAAACTGTAACACTAATATGATATACACCTCCTTTTATTTAACAATTCTTATTTTATTCAGCAATCTAGATATTTAATATAATAATAACATATGGATAAGCAGCTTGTGTTGTAATTCCATTTCTTTTTACATAATTCAAGGCTCTAATTGGAGCACCTCCATCACAACCTTTATTATAGTCGAAGATAGTTGAACAATCAACCAATTATTATTCTGATAGGTCTGGTAATTAGTCAGTTGTGACCTTGAAAAATCCTTCTAAGACCCCTGTAGTACTAAATGCCCAACACGAACCACATTGTCCTTAATTCTTTACTGGAGTGACTGCCCCTCTTGATCTCCAATCTATTGGAGTAGAATTTACAATATTAAATTCAAATCTTTATACTTCCTAATTAGATGGCTCTAATTTCAAAGTTAAATATATTGAATTAAATTCTTCATCAGTTAGATCTGTAAATTAAGTTTCGCCAAAGATTTTAGTTCCATATTTAGAATTTCTAGTTTATATATCAGCCAGATTGAACTAGTATACTTATAATCTGTATAAATATTCTGATCCAAAATATTTCTTATTGAAATTAGATTAATAATGATCAAATTGTGAAATCAAGTTTGTTTCTAATTAATAATTAAGATTGTAAATTGATCCTGCTAACAATATTAAGCCAACCACAATAAGTGTCTTCTCCATTAAATTATTATAATTATTGAAATTTTTATTAGAATTCAAACATACTTATAAGTTTTAATAATTATAATATATAAAATAATTTAATTTAGAAATTATTTATATTTTAAGAAATTTTATAATTTTTTAAATTTAATCACTATTTTTTCCATTCAAATTATTTTTCCAATATTTTAGTATGAATATATTAATTACATATACATATATTAAAAGATACAACGAGATTTAAGTTTAAATAGACCTATTTATATCTATAATTTTAGTAATGTTAATTTTTTACAATATCAAAAACCCAGAAGTTGATTAGAATATTTAAAATAAGAAACAAAGATCAGCTCATAAAAGATAAAATAAAATTTGAGTTTTGAATTATATGTCTATACATAGTTATTTAATAAATGATAATAATAAATACAACTAATTATTTCAATGATAATAATTATTGATTAAATTATAGTTCTATTTACATGAATTTAAATTAAAGAGGTCAATAATATTATCTTAAAAATAATTAAAATCTCTAATATATATCATACTAGCATCTTTTAATAATAAATTACTATTAAGTTGTTAATTATTAATTGAAATAAATTTCATTAAGAATTTAGTATTATTATGACTTATAAACGATAATTAATTATGATTTTTCATTAGATTTATGAAATATATTAAATAAAATATATTAGATTAAGATGCGAAGTATGAATCTTTATCTGATTTTATGTCAATTTTGTTTAGTTATTCAAGGTTTGTTTATATGGACTCTAAATGATTAATAATTCTATTCATTCGCATTTAGTAGTACAATAAAAAGTTTTGAATAAGAAGAGATTATGATTTATGGAATGTGGAGTAGATATACTCCTTTGAGTACTATATCATAAACTGGTCCTATTGGAATTTTTGATAGTCATTGTTACCATTTAAATTCAGCATTAGAAAGTGAAAACAAAAGAATAAATTTCATTTATTATGATTGTATTAATATTTAAACAATGACAGTTAATAAGATTGTTTAATTTATAAGTAAGACAGGATAATAATATAAATATGAGATTAAATTGGATTCAATGAAATATGAATATTTTTGGTATTTTTTTGGTGTTCACTTATATCCCCATTAGAATAGTTTTACTTATTATTTACTTTAGGGTGTAACAACAATAGATATATAAAAATTAGAAATTTAATTTCCGTATTTAGATGAGAACTTATTAATTGTTTTTGGAGGTGGTCTAATAATAAAAAGTGATGAAATTATATTAATCGAAGGAGTATCAAAGCTTTCCTATTATCCTGGTTCAATCACTTTATTATCATAATATAAAGGTTATTTATATAAGGTTGATCTAGAGTTGATTATTAATCTATAAAATATGTTTGATGATTAATGTTATTGTTAAGAAAATTAAATTAAAAGCCTACCTGACATAGACATTTATTGGATGGATATAAAAACATTTGCATCAACAAATATAAATTGTGATTCTTTTGTATTTTAAACTTGGATTAAAATATAAAAAGTGATATAAGATTCATCTGAATTTTTATATTAGTTAATTAAATTATCAGGTAATTTTGAAAATCAAAAACTTAGGGATGATAATTTGTCAGCTATGCAATTATTTTATAAATTTTCTAGAACTAATTCTCAATTAAAATTTAGTACATATAGTTATAATTTTCCTTACTATAATCTTGATTTCTCAAATAATCCATTTTTAATTGAATAATTATTTGATATACAAAATATCAATTCCTGGCACTTTATTATAGTTATCTTAAGATAAAATATTATTGAAATATAGATTACTTTTTTTGATAGTCATTAAAAACATAAATCTGGAAAATCATTTCATGTCAATTAATTCCATATGATATAATATAAATTATAATATGGTAATATCTTATAGTCTAGTTCAAATTATTTGGTAATTAATTTCAGGAATTCATAATTTATTAATTGCATACTTGATGATTAAATTATTTTATAAGAAAATTGTCATCATAGTTGTCAAGAATGTGACGGTCCCACAAATACAGATTGTTTATCATGTTCTGAGAAATCTAAACGTATTTACATATCAACTCATAAAGCTTGTGTTTGCCCTTATAATAGTATTGATGATGAGGATTGTAAAGATCATAATAGTTTTAATTTAAATATTAGATATGATTAAGGATTCAAATGTAATCAAGGGTATTTTTAATATAGATAAGATTGCATTAGATGGTATCAATTTTAATTAGACTAGTCCTTCATTTATTAATGAAAATGTGATAACTTGTCTTGAATGTATTAATAATCCTCTAAATTGGATTAAGGATCCATATTGTTAAACTAATCTATTTTTAGATAGAAATGATAGTCCAGTTGAATTCATTAAAGATGTAACCAAAACATTTTATGTGTTTGACGGAATAAATTTAAAATCATGTAATCATTATTCAAATAATAATTTATAAACAATTGATGAAGTTTTTGTAGATTATCATTTGAGTACATTATATTATCCTACTATTTGTTCTAATTCTAATTATCCAAATGAATGTTAACCTTGTAATTTAATTGGTTGTATTGTTTGTGGTATTACATAGACAACAAAAACATGCTTAATATGTTAAAAGGCATTTGAGTTGAAAAATGGACTTTGTATAAAATTAATGATGGGATAAGTTGAATAAAATAAATGTCAAGCCCCTTATTATGTAACATCAATGAAAGGGTGTAATATTTGTTAAATAGAAAATTGTTAGTATTGTTTTGAATATGAAAGTAATGATTTACAAAAATGCACACTTTATAATGACTTTTAACCTTTTTAGATTGATGAATTTCATAAGGTTGGATGTTCATTATGTTAGGATGGTTTCATTTTTGATTTTAATAAAAGAAAATGCATTTATTAAAAATCATCTATATCGAATTGTTTAAGAGCTTTCATTAATTTATAAGGATAAGAAATTTGTACATTATCATCAGTAGATGATTTTAGTATTGCTCCTGAGATTATTAATTGTCAAAAATATATTTCATATTGTAAATAATGTTATTAAACACCATTATCTATAATTAAATGTATAATATGTGAAGATGGATACTCAAGTTCAGTAATAACTGGTCATTGTAATAAATGCAATTTAGAATATACAAAATATTGTAGTGAAGGAGATTTTACAAAATTAGATTCTTGGATGCAATTACTTTAAAGCTTCTTAATATAATTCTTACCTAATAAATATATATATCCTCCTTCATAGTCTAACTTAAATAGATCAATTTTACCATTAAAATGTATTGAAGGTTATGAACTTAATTTATTTACTTGCTAAAAATATTGTGATCCTAATTGTTCTGTATGTAAAAGAATGTAAATAGAATAAGGATTTTAATGTACTAAATGCAATTTAAATTATTATATGAAACCCTTTAGAGTATAGAATAAAGGAAAATGTGTTGTTTGTCCTCAACTTTGTTAAGTGTGTCAAAGTAGAAATAAAGAAGAGATACATGTATTCAATTTTAATAATATTTAGAAAATTAATCCTTATTTTAATAATAATAATAATGAATATGAAATATATACATATAGATGTATAAAACCAATTTCTAATTAAAATATTTTTATAGATCCTTATACTCAAATTGCCAACTATTGTTATAATCAATAGTGTGTATCTATGTTTCAAAATGAAGTATAAATATTTTATATTTTTAGATAGAAAATATATGTCATGGTTTATTTATATCATTAAGTCAAGAATATTTAGAAACATTATTTAATTTCAAGTATTTAAATGAAATGGCTTTTTAATAATTCCAATTAATAATACCATATTAAGGCTTTTGTTATGGGACTGATCCAACATAAGAAAACATAATAAAAAATATTTTTAAATAAAAGATATTTTCAATGCAATTTGTTGAATTAGTTTTTTAAGGAGATCATTCTCCATCATTCTTTTATTAGAAAATATCAGTCATTAATTTTGATTCTTTAAGGATACAAGATACTTCATTTTTAGTATAATAGTAATTATAATTATATTAAAATAATGATGATAATAAACCTTAGGATTTAATAATTACAAATTCAGTATTTTTTAATGATTTGAATTAACCAGTAAAATTAAAAATAATATCTAAAAATTATTAGAATATTAATTTTACAAATCTTGAATTCAATAATTTAAATTTTTTAGATTCAACTATTTTTGAAATTACTCCTAATGGAATTTAATCCACTTTTAGTATTAACAAATTTATTATAGAAAATTGTATATTTACAAATACTATTTTATTCAAAATAAAAAATACTTCTAAGATTATTATATCAGATTTAATATTAAATAATTGCTATTTTACAAATTCATCAATTGCAAATTTTGAATTTGACTATAATAATCCATCAAATATTTAATTTCACTACTTAATGATCAAAAATTCAGTTTTTATCTAATCTTCAATAATTACAAATGTTGTTTCCCTCACTCTTTTTAATATTTCAATATTATTAAGTAAATTTGAGTTCACTTAAATAATAGAATTTAAGAAAGATTTAAACATTAAAAATATATCAATTAAGGGTAATAAATTTATATAATCTTAATTAATTTTTAAAAGCCCAATTAAATAATTAGAAAGTAAGGTTATCATTAATTCATTAATCTTTGAAGATAATTTTCATTATAATTCTTCTATATTTTAAACTGATTTCTCAATATCTAATGATCTATTAAGTATTTCATTTATTAATTTTTATCTAAATTAGAATTAGAAAATCTAATTAGATAATTAATCTAATTATCTATTTAATATTAATAGTCATAATTTTAGTATTTATAATTTATCAATTTCAAATTCTGATAATTTTAATTACTTTAATTTAATTACTATTACAAATATTAAAGTGTAAGATGCTATTTTTGTAAACTTATAAACTTTACATAAAGTTCCAATATTATTAGAATGTGTCGATTCTTTTAATATCAATTCTTAATTATTTTATATTTAAGGATTTAATTCCTTATAATTTATAAATATAACTATTAAGAATTTTAAGAGTATTGATCAATCCTTTATTCAAATCTTTTCAAATTTATTAACAAAAGAATAAGAATTCATCAATATATAAGATTTAAGATTTATTGAAAATACTTTGTTAAAAATAAATTTAAGAAACATATTTTCATTAATATCAATTTACTCTGAGAAGAGCCAATTAATAATTATTAATAATATCTAATTTTAAGAGAATGTATATCATCAATATATAGATGATTCATCTCAAACTACAGCAAGTCTATTATTTATAATATCATAATAGAGTACAGTGATTATAACTAATTTATCATGTTCATAGAATATATTAACTAATTCTACAAGTTCTTTTATTTACATTAATAGTAAAATAATTAATTTATTTGAATTCTAAATCTAAAATCATAATATATTAAATATAACAACTCTGTATTCCTTATTTGAAATAAAGAATATTATAAGTTAAAATTAGATAAATACAATATTATTAAAAGTATTAAAGATTCAAAATACAGGTGGAGTTTTATCATTTACAACTGAAGATTGTACTATAATAAATGGTATCTTAAAATATATACTCACTTTAAATAGCAAATTATTCAATATTCATACTTAAGGAAAAGGAATAATAAATATAAAAAACTTAGAAATTAATTAAATTGAAAGTTTAGATTTGAATATTGCTGAAAATGAAGGATGTATTACTATTAACTCATAAAGCAGTTTATTATAACTAGAATTAACAAATATACTTTTTACTGATATTTTAAATAAGTTTGCATCTCCAATAATTTTTATAATACCATCTTAGAATATCAATAATATTGTAATTAAAAATATTACTATATTTAATTGTTTCTCTCTTACAAACCTTTTAATTAAAACTTAATTTTCTTTGATGAGTATAAAAAACAATAAAGTATTAATTTAGTATGTAAAAATTCTATAAAACAAAATAGAATTCAAGTAATATCTTCAAAAATTTAACACATTATCCTTAATTGATAGATAAAAAATCTTAAATGATAATGCTATTATTAATTTATCAGGTTGTATTATAATTATAAAATAATTCAGATATTAAGGTGTGTTATCATCTTCTATTTTAAAGTTAGTTGATACTTATAAAGTTTAAATAGAAAAAATCTATTTTATTTAAATTTAATTGATTCTAAAAGTTGATCTTATACATATTTGGCATAGTCCTAATAATAAATATACTGTAATGATATAAGATTTAATATTTTAAAATATAACTTAATTAGATTAAAATGAATTTTTAAATTTATCATATAATTATAACAATATAGAAATCCTTAATAAAAATTGTAGTTTAATAAATGAAATTTAAATATAGAGTCTAAAAATAAATGATATTGGATTTGATACATTTTTCTAACAATTAATATAAGATACAAATTAATAGGGATCACTCATTTATTTTTAAAGCTAATCAATTCTTAATTAAATATTTTTATCATCAATTTTAGCTATGAATGTAAATAGTTAAAAGTTATTTAATGCAATTCTTTTATTTGATTTAATTAGTTTTTCTTCTATTGATATAATTGAATTTAATTGTTTATTAAACTCTGTAAACTTATATGGGTGTATTTTAGCATAATAAAGTGATAAATTAAATTCAATCATTCGAATAAAAAATTCATTTTTCTATTAGAACAATGGAGGATCAGGAACAGGGATTAAAACTAAAAATGTTAAATTAGAATTATATAATTCAAAGTTGTTAAACAATTATGCTTAAATTTAAGGTGGAGGTCTTAATTTATAATTAGATTAGAATGAATTTGTCATAATAAACTCTTAAATTTAATTGAATCAAGCTAATGAAGCTGGTGGAATATATCTTTAAGGAAATAGTAATATAAATGAAAATAATTTTATTAAATCTGTTATATCTTTAAATAAAGCAAACTTATCACCCTCAAATTTATTAGAATTACCCACTCATTTATCATTGTCTATAAATTAATAAGATATGTTATCTATTTAAAAATATATTGATAATATTTAGATTAATATATTACAATTAGATCCATATTAAATTATTGAATAAGGAAAAGTTATAATAACTAATTTATTAGTTCTACCAAGTAATTAAATAATTAAGAATTATCACATTTTCAATCCCAATGATTAATCATTTCAAAAATATATTTAAGAATTTTCAATTTCTTTTAAGAATAATTTAAATGAAAAACTCATATAATTTACAAATTCAACTTGTAAAATATAAGAATAAATTTTTACATATGATAAACTTGAATATACTAAGTTACCATAAATAATATAATTTAACACTCTATTTGGTAATTTTGATATTTCAGAATTATAATTTTCATTTGATCCATATATGGAAATTGGTTAATAATAACAACTTTTAATTATCTGCTAACCCAATAATTCACTTTCTGAATTATATTATGGTATTAAAATTGCAACTTTAAAATGTCAATTAGGAGAATTTTATATATAAAATAGTTGTCAACCTTGCTAATATAAATAAGGATATTATTCTGTAACATATAATTCAACTAAATGTTCCATTTTTGATAAAAATAAATTTTATAATATTACATCTAATTAAATAAACTTGAAAGTTGGTTTTTGGAGACCAAATTAATATTCAGATGATGTTGAATATTGTTTTAAGTATCCTAATATATGTAAAGGAGGGTGGTTTGTTGGTGATAAACTTTGTTTCTCTGGTTATATAGGAGGGTTATGTGAAGAATGTGATAAATATAATATTAGAGGAGAAGGATATTATTATAAAAACTAATATAATTTATAATGTCAATTATGTGAAGAACTACCAAATAGAATTCTATTGTTTATTGTGGCATCACTTTGGTATAAATTAATATTTAATTAAATTAGGTCACTTGGATCTATCATTCTTACATTAAGTAGTATTGAAAAATCAAATAAATTATATATTTCTTGTAAATTAAGACAAAGATTTTCTAATATTATTTTTAAACTCAATTAAGGTATTAATATAATCTTAAATAGATCATGGAAGTATAATAATTAAATTATTTCTGAATTATTTATGGATATTTTCTGCCATATTTTCATTAAATATCAATTTTACATTCTCATTTAGTTTTATTGATTAAACTAGTAATCCATCTTATTTCATGGCTAATAATTTAGATTGCTTTTTATTATAGATTCATAATATAGAATTAATATATCTCAGAATTATTACAATGTTTATATTGATGCTTTCATTACTTATATTAATATATTTAGGATTTTTATTTATTGAATTACTTTATAAAAAAAAATTTGATGCTAGCATTATATCAATAACTGCCCTTTATTTGTATGTATCTAATTATGCTGCTTTGATTAAATAGTATATATTTATATTTATTAGATTTTTTTCATTATTGGCTAAAAGATAAATCTCAAATATTAATTATATATAAGGTGATGTATCATTAAAATTTGGTACATCAGATCATATTAAATGGATGATAAGTTTTATTATTCCAGGTTTAGGATTAATTGGATGGCTATTACCATTTTCACTTTTATTGTTATTGTATGTTAAAAGAGATTAAATAGAATCTATTTAATTTAGAAAACATTTTTGTTATTTATTTAATGAATATAATAATTCAAACTTTTTTTGGGAATGGGTTAAATTAGCCAAAAAGACATCTGTGATTATTATCTTAACTTATTTTGAGACAAATATTTATTTAAAAGCCTCACTTTTAGGATTATGTTTATTATTTTATTAATTATATGCATTAGAATAACAACCTTATATTATTTAAAATTTTAATAAAATAGATGTAAAAGCATGTTAAATATGCTCTATTTCAATATTTTTAGCTGTAATTAAGTATATTTGTGAATAATAAGATAATATTGTACTTTCTTTTATTCTTTAGATGATTCTAGTATTGCTTAGTATTAAATTAAGTTTTCCATTTATAAACAGTTTACTTAAATTATATCATAAGAAATATAAAAGATAATTTTTAATTTAATTGTCAAAGATATTTAATATTTTTTAATGTACTTCATGTTTAGATAAATATCTAAAGAATAAAATTTATATTTGGAATTAAAAAGAACAAAGACTAAGATCTAATTTTTATAAATTAAGACATCATTTAATATATATTTCCAAATTATAATTAGAATAATAAAAGTAAAGTAATTATATTAAATAAGATCTCTAACAACTTTGTTTACTTCTGAGTCCTTGCCTAGACATAAACAATATACTACAGAACTACATCTTTTAAAGTTTAGACAAGATATACATTGATAATCATATCTATTATAATTTAAATAATAAATTTGATCTGATATTTTAATCAAATATATTAATTGTTTTATTAATTTAAAATTAAAAAATTTAAGAATATTATTAACCAATTTATTTTACTAATTAAAATTTATTATTATTATAAGAAGAAGAAAACTTAATAGAAAAAGATATCGATTATACTTTTTAAATTAAGTAAATTTTATAATAAATTCAAATATTCATCATAAATATAATAATAATAAAAAAATATCAATATCAATAACAAATCAAATATAAATATGTATAATATATAAGAATAAATTAACAATTATATTAAGTAAAATCTTATTATTTTTATAAAAATGAAATTTTATCTTTAAATAAAATAAAAATGAGACCTTAAATGAAAATGATTTATTATATTTCAAGAATATATACTGTTAACACTATAGAAATCATTCTGTTCAATTGGAATTTCATTCTCAATACTTTCCAATCTCTAATGTTTTCTTTGAGTAAGAGATAATATATTAACATCTAAATTGTTTAATAAAAGTTATTCTGATTTTCTTGGTGTAGATTTTGGAGAAGATTCAATTTCATTATTCTATTGATAAATAGAACTTAAACTAATTCCAATTTAGTGAGATCGTTCTATCTCTTCTCTTATTTTAATTGATCTTATTAAAAAATACAGTCTTGATATTTCATATAGTATATTTAAAAGTGTCATTTTCAATTCCATTTAACCTTTAATATTTCTATAGAACTATTCATATTCTCTAATATCTATTTACTCATTTTTTAGTTAAACTTTAATTATCTGAAATCTCCAATTTTTAAATATCTTAATATGTTAAAATTGAGGATAATAAAATGAGATTAAATCACTTATAACCTATTAATGTAAAAAATAAGAATTTAATTATATAATTATGAATCTAACCATAAATAGTACTGATACTATTGAACCAATATTTGCCAATATATCTGCAATATTTGGATATTCTAATATTGTTTTGAATTAATTCCCTTTCATCTCAATATAAATTACAGAATATGTTTCATAACCAAAAGCTTATTTACAATAATGTAAAGAATTAGTTTGAGGTTGTATTTAGACTCCATTAACAAATTCATAATAATAAGGTTCACCAAAAAGAAACTAATTTCTCACTTCATAATGTGTTGTCTGAAGATATGTATTCAATGTATAGCAGTTTTCTTATTCAACTTAAATTAAAAACTCTTAAACACTTTATTCAATTGATGCGTCTTTAGAATTTAATTAATTGTAATGAATTTGCATGACTATTGTATTTAAAGGTTATTTAAAGAAATCATCAATTATTTCTTAAGAAGCACATTTTTCATTCTCATTCAGTAGTTCTTCAGAACATTTAACAAAGTATATGTACATCTCAGATGTCGTCATTAAAGAACCATTTATTTATGAAAATCCAAGTTTCATTTAAGGAATTAGAAACTAATTTCCATTATAACTTGTTTCATTTGAAAATTTTAATACCTAAGTATCAACAACAATATAATTTTCAGTATAACTTATTAGTGGTATTAAAATTCTGTTCTCAAAAGGATCAATTGTATCAATATTGTCTTTCCAATAATTTATTTTAACAATTCCATAATTCTAATCCAATAATGAGAAATCAGATGCATAAAGAAATGTCGATATTTTAGGATTTAATTGGTAAGTATTCCACTTATAGAATTCCCATATTGTATAGGCCAAACTTGATGAAAAAATTAATAGTGATATTACACCTCCAAATATACTTTTATATATTTAAGCATTCTGATCAACCCTTTAAAACAGTGCTGCACCAAATACATCCATTGATTTTAGGATCTTAAAAATTTTCATTTTAATTTATTATTCAAAAAACAAATAGATAACTTTCTACGTTATTATTGACCTTATACAAGCTTAAATTATGATAAATAACATAAATTCTTATGTGGCACTTTAAAGAATAAAAGTTATTTTATTAATAATATTAATATCTTATTATATAGCTTAAATAAGTGGCTTTTAATTTTTTTAATCGGAATCAAATAAGTTCTATAAATTTGTTTTTAACCTTGTCATTTAAGTTTCTAATTAATATATATTTAGAATAATACAGAATCTTAGATTTAAAATCAATCAACATTTTATTGAATTTGTAGAATATATCATTATCGTACAGATATATTATATTCTAAATTGATAAATATGATATAATTATATTTCTGAATCGAACTAATATTAATTAATCTATTCATATCATTGTAAATTAGATTTGATATTAATCCAATTAATATGTATCAACAAGCAAAGTAGAGTAAAAATTTCAGAATCTCTACTAAAAATTTCAATTTAAAATAATTAGAATATTAATAAATATATTATTTAATTAATTTATTTAAATTAATTTTTTTAATAAATTCTGCTGGATTCTCAAATAAGTATTAACTTGTAATTCTTAAATTAATTACTTTACAAACTTAAATTAAGTGAGAAGAGGAACATTTAAATAATTATTGTAATACTAATTGGTTCATTAATACTAATTGAGAGAATAAATCAATCAAAGTTTATAAAATCCAATATTTAATTAAATAAGTGGAGTGTATTTTTAGAATTTTATAATAAAAATAATTAAATTGTAAGGGTGTCTTAGATTTTTACAATTAATTTTCTATTAATTTATTGGAATAATTGTTATACTATCTGGAAGCAAAAATAAAAAACTAGGAATGGGATGTGGATTCATAAAAGTATCTATGCATGATAAAGATTGATGAATTTGTTTTAATAATTAAAAAATAAGAATCTTTTAATAATAAAAGAAAATACTCAAGTAATTTTGGAGGATTTAGAATGAAATAAACGTCGACATTTTATGGCACTTTTCATTTTTATTAAGTATAAACTCCTTGATTTAATTTATCATTTTATGATAAAGTTATTGAAGGGATCAGATTTAAAAATTGTATTTGTTATAAATTTTATATCCAAATTAATTAGATTTATAAATCATTATTAATAAATCTAATTTATTCTTCAAAAAATTGAGTAGATTATATTATTGTTCAATAGAGAAATACTAGTTTTTCAAAATAAAGTTTCTATTTTATTTATCTGCATCTTCTACTTATATATATTAAATTATTAGGATTTTAAATGATTAATAGAAATAAATTTTATTAATTAAATATCAAGAGTCGATATGGAAATTAAATTTGAAATGACCGAATCATTTAATTTACTATTTTAAATATTTTATAGTTTTAAAAAATGAAAAGTGAACAAAATACCTCAATTAAATATACTAGTAGCTCTACTATATAGATATTAAAGGGAATGTAAGGGAAATATTCTTAATCAAATTGGTATTTCTAACCAACAGATTTTTTCATTGAAACGACTTTAGATGGAAAATTAATGTATATAAAGGACGGAGAAGTCCTCAAATAAGAGAAATTTAACAATATTCAATCAGGAGATATTTTAAGAAATTTAGAATAAATTAAAAATTTAACATGGTATGGATAATACAGTTTCAAAAATAAAAAAATTGGAAATTGGTAAGCATACTGGCAAGGTAAATAATTAAAAGTAGGTGGAAATTACGATAATAAAGGTAAAAAAATAGGAAAATGGATTGAATTATTTGATAATTATTGGGAGTAAGAAAATTGTATATAATTCTAAATAGTCTATGCAAATTGATATCAGAAGGAGAGTATCAAAATGGAATTAAGATTGGAATTTGGTAATACTATTATGATGGGAAGATGATGTATTTTTATTAATAAAATTTTATAGTTCTTTAGGTATATATAATAATGAAGGTCTTAAGAATGGAAATTGGGTTGATTTATATGAAAACTTTTGGAGGTAGATTAATATTTATAACTTATAGTGGATGTTAAGTTAAGTTTGCAGGGACTTATAAAAGTGGTTTAAAATAAGGAAATTGGGATACATTATTTTAATAGAAATATTATGATACTTTCAACAAAATGTATTTTAATAATAATTTTAGTGGTGGTGGATTTTATGATAAAAATGGAATCAAATAAGGAAATTGGATAGAATTATAAGAATCTTTCTCTGAGTTAACATTTTATTTATATGATTAGTTCATTTTTAGTTACATCTAAAGGAGAATATAGATGTGGTAAAAAAGTTGGTAGATGGAATATATATTTTGGTTGTTCAGAAATATAAGATTACCATATAGGTGGAGGATTGTATGATGATAATGGAGGTAAAATTGGAGTTTGGATTTAATTGTGTGATAATTAAAGTAGGTATTTGAATTTGAAAAAAATAGAGAACTAAATTTAATTTAGAAGGGTGAATATTATTAATAAAAAAAAGTTGGAAGATGGGACTATTTATTTAAAAATAAGATAATGTAATTTTTATGATAAAATGAAGCGGAGGAGGAATTTACAATTAAAATGGAGAAAAATTAGATCAATGGATAGAATTGCATCAAAATTTTTCAGAGTAATTTATTTAAATTAGATTTATAATAAAGTTATTGTTAAATTATATATATTGGCTAATATTTTGAAGGGATAAAGTAAGGAAGATGGGATATCAAATTTAAATATAAGGAAGTTAATTTGAAGGATTATGGGAAGATGTAATATGTTAATTTATGATTAATAGAGGTGGAGGAATGTACGATAAAAATGGAAGATAAAATGGTATGTGGATTGATGTTGACGAAACTTTTTCAAAGTAAGCATATTAAAAAATATATATATATCAGTTAATCTTAAGTCAGTTACTAAGGAGAATATAATGAAGGAATAAAAATAGGAAAATGGGATTATGTTTTAAATAGGAATAATAAGAATAAATTAGATATATTGTATAGAGTTTTATAATTATTTTAAGTGGAGGGGGCTTTTATGATTAGGATGGTAAAAAGAAAGGAAAATGGATCAATTTTCATACAAAGTTTTCTAAGTATTTAAATAAGAATTTTATAAAAATTAGTGATTTCTAGGTTATATATTTAGGTGAATATAAAAATGGAATAAAATTTGGAAAATGGGAAAATAAGTATAGATTTGAAACAAAAGAATAATTAAAAAATTCGTAAATTAATTTGATATGAATATAGAGGAGTTGGTAATTACGATCATATTGGTAGAAAGATTGGAAAATGGATATATATCGATTTTGAATTTTAATTGTAAATAATGATCTTATTTTAAGTGGTTATGAATTAATTCATATCGGAAATTATTTTAAAGGTATTTAATAAGGAAAATTTTTGAAAAAAATGTTGCCATTACAATCCTTAATTTAAAAAATTTGAGAGATTTAAGTTATTAATATTAAAAAAACTCATATAATTCTATTAATAATTAATTTTTTATTTATTAAATTGTCTAAATAATTAAAGGAAATTAATAGAATAATATGAGATTAATTTGTTTGTATTGATAATTATGAATTACTATATATATAGATATGCATTACTTTTTAATTTACTTTAATATTTAAAAATAATTGAAATCAAATTAATTAGTATTATATTATTTGAATATATAAATATATTTCTATATATCTTTATTAATATTAATTTATTGAATATGAAGTAAAGAATAAAGATTGTCTTTTAGGAAGAGTATAATTTAGAAAACTTAATAGATATTAATAGGAAAAGGAAGTAAATCTTAAATAAACCAAAATAAAAATATAGTGATGATGAGATTTAAGATTAATCTGATGAAAGTGATATATCGGAACAGATTTATGATTGGCGATTGGATTTAGTTATAAATTCACCCAATTCAAGATTTATTGCATTTAATATCAACAAGGAAAACGATTATGAGGAAAGATGCTATTTTCATGTTATTATTGATACATTAACAAAAAAGATTAAGTATCAAAGAAAATTTTATGATAATACCAAAATGTTATTTACTTATGATTCAAAATATCTTATAATAGAAGATGATTCAGAAAATTTTCTTGTTGATTTAGAGACATTTAAAGAAATATCAATTGATAAAAAGCATGATTCAATTATTTCAATTGATTATGAAAATAATATTTATAAACTTAGTTCTAAATAAAATAAACCTATTGTTTTTTGCATTTAGGATAATTAATAATAAACAATTAATATCAATTAAGAAATAATGAATGAAGTATTAATTAACTTTGAAAAACTGTACTAAAATTATGCATTTGTTAAAACCTTAAGAAATAACTTTTTAGTTTTTTTATCTAATAATAAAATACTTTAAAGAAGTTTATAAAAGAATTATAATTAAGATAGCCAAAATTGGATATTTAATAATTCTATTATTGTATAATAAGTAAATAAACCAAATTAAATTTATGTTCAGAAACTCAATAATTTTAAAATTATTAGGAAATTTAAGTATCTATATGATGATCTAATATTTAAAAACGACTAATCTATTTATAAATACAATTTTTCTAAATTAAATTATAAGGATGGAAATAAAATAGAAAGAACAAATCTCATAACAGGAATTACAATTAAACCTGATTTAGATTTAGGAAAATATAATAGAAATTATTATAAATAAGTATTTATTACATAAAAATATTTTGTTGATCTTGCAAATAAAAAACTAAGATATTTTAGAATTTTAGATTGAATTATTATTATGCAAATATTTTTTTAATCATTATTATCTTATATTTATATAATGACTTTACTTTTACAAATAAATGTTCCTCTTTATCTTGAATAGTGCTTTTGTATTTAATTAACATATTACCTAGTGGTGGATATTATTAAGAATTAAAACATTAATTATTATATATATTTTGATAATGAATCACACTTATATTTTTAGCATAGATAAATTAATATAATATATATATATATGATAATTAATCTTAATATTTATTATCATGCAAAATAATGACATTATATTAAAATGCTCAATTCCTAATCATGATGCTCTTGTATAATTTGTTTGTTTTGAACCATATTGCCAAGACACTAGATTGTTTTGTAATTAATGTAAAACAAATGAAATTCATCAAAATCATACCCAAAGATGTGTTGAATTACCTAAATTGTTTGATTATGTGTTAAAAGTTGGTTAAGAATGTGATGATCTACTTGATATATTGATTAAATAATGGAATTCATACAATCATTAATTTTTAAAATTCATTGAAGGAATTAAAGAAAAATACTTAATATCAAATTCATAATTGATCTAATTTAATATTTCATAATTGAATTAGACCTTAGAACAATTGATAAATTTTCAATCATATAAATCTTTAATCAAAAATTCAATTCAAAACAATTTATTTGATTTTAATGAAAAAATTGAAAAATTAGAACAAGATCTCAGATTACATGAAAAACCGATTTCTTTTCATCCATCTGAAGAAGACATTAAGAAATCATTAGAATTATTTTAAAAAGGTTTTAAATCTAATAATTTAGGATATGAATTATATTAAGATAATGAAAAGTATGATGAAGCCATCCTAATCTTAGACCAAGCAATAAATATAAATCCAAATAACTAATTAGCAATATGGTGTAAAGGTATTATAAATATTAATTTATTAGCTGCAAGTCTAAGAATGTTGGGATAATATAAAAAGGCTATTATTTGGGCTGATAAAGCATTGCTTTTAGATCCTAAACATAGTTTTTCACTTTATTGTAAAGGTAAAAGTATATTTACTATTTTTTAGCTGCATGTTTAAGAATGTTGGATCAATATGATGAAGCAATTCTTTGGGCTAATAAAGCATTAGCCATTGATCCTAAAGATTGTTTTGCTTTATCATGTAAAGGTATTTTTAATTCTATATTAAAGGATCCTCTCTAAGATTAATGAAAAGGTTCAACGAAGCAATTAAAGTAATTAATGCATCATTAACTATAAATCCCAATCACTTTGATTCTTTAAAAGAAAAAGGTTTTCTTAAAAATCATTTTTATTAATAGGTGCATGCTTACATGATGAACATCAATATCAATAAGCAATTTTATTTTATGAATAGGCTTTGAGGGTTTTTCCTTATGATCAATGGACCAAAATTAGACGAGGTATAGATTCATATTAATTCAAGATAAATGTTTGAAAGTTCTAAAGCAAAAATGATAGCCTTTTCATGAATTAATAATAAATAAAATAATATATTAAAATTTAATTAATTTTTTAATAGGAGATTTCTGGGAATTTTTAAAGTTAAGATTTTAATAAATTTAATAATTGATACACCTATGAAATCATTAAAAATTATAAGTTATAAAGAATTTCTGATTTAATAATTTGTATTAAGAGAATTTTTTAATATAAATGAAATTTCAATTTATGAAAGAAAAATCTAGTTTTCTTTATCAAATTTTAATAAATTATTTTCTTTATTATTTGTATAATATAAAATATTTATGCATCAAAAATTGAAATATTTGAAATTTAAGCGTTTGATTAAGGTAAATTTTAGCAACCTTAAGAAAAATAGATAAAATTATTCAATATGTAATAAATAATTAAAATTAACAAAATTAAAAAGTAGAAAGTTTTTAGGCAAATATGGATTAATATAATTTTTATATATTAATTAAAATTATATATATTTATAAAATTATATATATTTATAAAATTATATAGAATAAAGGTTTTTTAATAATTGTGTAAGAAAGACATTCTACCTTATTTATGACCAATTTACTTAACTTTTTCTTTGGTTCGAGATTAAAGGTTTTGAGTCATACTTTTTTATACCTATTCTTGCCCAAAAAAGCAAAAATAATGATTTAAAAGCTTTGCAATAAAAAATATATGCTTCACAATAAAATATTCAAAAACAAATATTATTGATTAACTTTATTACGAGGGCCAGAAAATTATAAATTTTTATTATCTTAATATTTTTATTAATATTAAATTTAATGTTTATTTTGATTATGTCATCTATGTTAATCAATACAGGCCTCTCAGATTGGGCGCTTATAGATTAAAGTTTCACAAAAGGCTTTGTCTCTCATAATAATTGGGAAATATCAAAATACTGTTCGATCTTTGACAATTAAGCCACATTTTAATTTGGTATATGTACTTAAAATTCTATAAATTATGCTTATCTTAAAAGAGATAAATAAAGAATAGATAAGATCTATTCAAAGAAAAATTACTAATCAGAAGTAATAGTTGATATTTTTTTTGATAATGCTGAAAGTACAATTGATAAAATCACTCATTTTACAATAAACTATACGATAAGCGAATCTTCTCAACAAATAATGTATTCTAGGAGTTACATAAACTCTGATTTAATTTAAAATGCAAGAAGAATATGCAATATTACAGACACATAGTATTTAGATTTTCTTACTATTGTTGGTACATCTTAGGTGCAATACCAAGAAATTTTCAACATCTCAGTAGGAATCAACAACGTAAACCAGATATAAACTATTGGGGTACGAAATTTATTTGTTTATGTCAAATACTGTTTACCAACTTGTAAAACGTGTTCAAGTGCGACTAGTTGTCTAACATGTTATTATGGTACTCTATAATCAGGCAATACTTGTACTTGTGACCCTTCTCATTAGTTTGCTTAAACTGGAATTGGATGCAGATAAGAATGTGAAAGAGATTACTTTATAGCAAGATCAGATAATATTTGTGTTCCAGATAGAAGAATCAAATCAAATATTTCATATTTTGAATCTGCTACTTTTAGTGCTTATACTCCTTTTTAATTTATTTAAGGTTACGTAAATTTAAGAAGCTCTCCATCATTGATTTTCACTTGTTCATCTAATAATTATGTAGGCAGTTTACTTTATAATGAAGGAATGAGTTTGTAATTTGCAAATTCACTATCCTTAAAATTTATCAGGCTAAGGATAACATTTTATATGAAGGGCTTTTAAACTGATAATAAAATATAAATAATCTTAGATGACTAAATATAAGGTGAAATAATCAAAGCCTCATCTAGTTACACTTTTAATAAAATAACAAAAATTTATAGTTCAAGTGTCACATGCACAAATACTTATGATTTAATAAGAATAGAAGCAATTCTTAGAACTTTCTCTAATGCTCCTAAACTCATTATTAAAGGATAATAGTTAACTTAAGTAACTTCGATATGGGGATTCAGAAATATAACAATTGATAGTGGCAATTGCTAAGAAAATTGTGCAGTATGTTCTGATTTCTCTACATGCCAATAATGTGACGCTAATTATGTTTTATTTTAAAATGGATGTGTTACTACTTGCCCAGTTCATTCTACTAATTGCATTGATTATGCAGATATGATACCAAGTAATTTGAATAATTTATGTTTAGACTCTCGTTACTTAGCAAAAGGATTTTATAATTTAAATATGAGTACTTCATATATCAACTAATTCTTTGATGAAACTGTTCCAACTGGTAGTAATTTCTTAACAGGATAAATTTTTTCAATATTCCCAACTAAATTCGTTTTAGGAGGTGTAATGGTATGGAATAATGCAATATATAAAAAATCATGGAGTATATCAAAACCTCATTATGCTGTTACAATTAGATTTAATGTTACATATGGTGATGAATACAATGGAAATTTTTATTACACCATTTAAGGAGTAAAATCAGTTGCTCATCCAAAACCATCATCAGGTGGTTAAAACTTTATTGGTAAGAGTTTAAATGAAATTACATAATATTTTGAAATTTTCTAGAATCAATTCACATCGTCTCCATTAAATATTGAGTTTCAATGTACAGATACAACTGTAGATCCTATAGATTAATTTTGTGCAATTTCTGATTACTTTATTGTTGTACATTATGTAAATTTCTGATTTATTATTAGTGTCTCCCATTTTGCCAAGATTGTAATGATGGAACCTCTTGTGTTACTTGGGAATCTGGATACACAAATTAAAATTGCAATACAAATTAGTTTCTTTAATTTGATTCTATTTTAGAAACTTATAGTTGTATTACATGTAATTAACCTGGATGTTTAACTTGTAAAAATTTAGAAGAATGCACTTCCTGTGATCCTTCAAGTTAATATAATACATTAATAAATGGAGTTTGTGTATAAATTAATACAACTCCTCCTCCAACTCCATCAGTATAATGCCATTAAAATTGTGAAACATGCACAGGAGCTTTGATAACTAATTGTCAAACCTGCGTTTCTGATTTTCATAGAACTTTATCCAACAATGAATGTTTATGTTAGCCTGGCTTCTATGACGACGGAATCAATGTAATTTGTCTTCCTGCTTGTGGTGATTTGGTAATTGTTGAAGGAGAAGATTGTGATGATGGCAATATTATTCCATATGATGGTTGTTTCGAATGCAAATTTCAATGCTAAGATGAATGCAATGATTGTAGATCTGGAATATGTTATGGATGTGCTGGATAAGGTTGGCATTTAATAAATCATCATTGTGAAATAATATGTGGGGATGGTATTGTTGTTTAAGATTTAGAAGAATGCGATGATGGTAATTATAATCCATATGACGGATGTAATAATTGTAAATTAAGTTGTGAAGATACTTGCAAAGAATGCTTTTAGGGAACTTGCTTTGATTGCCAAAAAGGGTTCTAGATTGTGGATAATTTATGTGTTGCCATTTGTGGCGATAATCTTTTAGTGAAAACAGAGGAATGTGAAGATAATAACTAAATTCCAAATGATGGATGTTACAATTGTAAATTTTCATGTCCAAATAATTGTATTGATTGCTAATTTAATAATTGCATAAAATGTAATGAGTAAAATGGATGGTATCTTAAAAATAATACTTGTTAACCTATTTGTGGGGATGGTATAATTGCTATTTAATTCGAATAATGTGATGAAATTAATCAATAAGAGTCTAAGAATCTGTTAGATTAAGACTTTTGTTTATAATGTCTCTACAAATGCTAAGACTCTTGCTCAACTTGTTACAATGGATAGTGTTATTAGTGTAATATAGGATGGATTCTAAATAATATAGATAAAAATTGTTATCCGATTGAAGGTGATAGATTAGTAGTAGGATAAGAATAATGTGATGATGGCAACCAAATTAAAAATGATGGATGTTTTTTATCGTAATATTAATATCAAATATCATGTGAATAAGGCTTTTAAGGATTGTGTTAAAAATGTATATCTGGATTTTTTATGATTAATAATATTTGTTAAGAAAACAATTTCGATGGATTAGTGATTGGAATAGAATAATGCGATGATTAAAATTTGATTGGATTAGATGGTTGCTTTTAAAATAGATTTGATTGCCCTTAATTTTGTTTAAGTTGTGTTTTTGGATACTGTTTAGAATGTGATTAGACTTCAGGATAAGGATAAGTTGATTACATCAATAACAGATGTTTATCTATCTGTGGAGATGGTATTAAATCTATGGATGAATAATGCGATGATGGTAATGAAATACCTTATGATGGATGTTATGGGTGTTTGTATGAATGTTAAAAAGAATGTATTAAATGTGTAGATGGACTTTGTTATGAATGTTTAAGTCCTGATTGGATACTAAAAAATAATACTTGTGAATGTGAAACATGTTAAAATTTATGTTAAAATGAATGCTTATCTTGTATTAAAGGAGTATGTTATGAGTGTTAGTCTCCAGAATGGATCTTAGATAGCAATAATATATGTGTTTATGTATGTGGGGAATAATGTAGCGAAAATATATGCGGAGATGGAATATTAAATATGTAAATAGAAGAATGCGATGATGGTAATGATTAAATAAGAGATGGTTGTTATAACTGTTTATTGGAAAAAGGATTTTTATGTTATTACGATGAGAATATGATATCTTAAGGTTGTAGTAGATGTTAAGATTTTAATTGCCTTAAATGTGATTTAGTTAATCAATCATAAATTTGCTCAGATTGTTTTCCAGGATATTTTATTGATGAATTTAAGTAATGTTCTTAATGTGATCTAATGTGTGTTGAATGCAGTCAGAATTACAAAAACTGCACTACTGTAAATCCTCAATATACAACAAAATAGTAAAATTAACAAAAAAAATGTAATTTAAATTAAGGACTTTTAAATGATTTAGATTTTTATGAATGTGTCTTATAATGTGGAAATGGTGTTTTGGATCCTCATGAATAATGTGATGATGGTAATAGAGAAATTTAAGATGGATGTAATGAGTTTTGTTAATTAGAAGAAGGATATTTATTTGATCATCTAACTCATTCTTTATAAAAAGAGCCCTATATTCAAGTTGAGAAAAAATAATCCGTCATTGAAAACAATAACTAATTAGATTTAAACTTTACCTATAAAAAAACAATAGAACCAATCAATTTAATCCATATATCTATCTCTTATAAAGAATATTATAAAAAAAGATAATTAGAAGAAACTATTAATAAGGAAATAATAATTGTTCCTTAGAGATAAGTATATGTAACTGAGGAATAAAAAAATTAAGGTGAAGCTATGGCTTAAACTTATTAAACTGTGTTTTAAGCTTAAATATATTTGGCTCCTTTGGCAATAGCATTTGGAGGATTTTAATTTTTTTTGGCCATCCTTGACATTATGAGTTGGATGAATAACTTTTATTTTTTAAATGTTAATTATCCAGAAAATGTAAGGATTATATTTTAGTAAGCTGAATGGAGCAATATAATAAATATACCATCTTTAAATATATTTAATAAACCAACAGATGATTATTACTTCTAAGCCCCAATCAAGTTTGTTGAAAAAGAAATAGATCCTTTATTATTTAACAATATATAAACACCAATAATTTTTGCATTTTAAGTTGTAATTACATACTTTCTTAGTGTGATGATTATTAAGATATTTGAATTAATATTCAAGAAGAAAAGTCAAAAAATTAAGATTTAAGCAAGCATCTTTTAATTAGGCAAGGATGTAAAGCATGAAGAATCAACAAATACTTAATAATTAGCTATAATTCCAAACCTTTATAAAGATTTATAAATACCTAAATCTTTTTAATCATTCTATAAAAATTGTGTTTCAATAAAGAGTAATTTAATTGCTAATTTAATAAGATCGTTTGCTATAAGTTATTTAGATATAACTTTAGCTGTGATACTTTAAATTACTAATTAGTAAACCGCTCATAAACTAATAGTAAAAATTAATATTATTGCTGCTTATGGATTTCTTATATTAGTCTTATATTTACTAAATATCTCTTACTAAATTTCAAATGCCCATCATATCAAATTAAATAATATATTGTTTTTTTAAAGATATGGTTGTTTCTACGAAGAAATGAAAACTGAATCATAAACTGCGATGGCATATTCTTTTTTAAATTTAATAAGGAAATTCATTTTTATTTTTTCAACTGTTATTTTATATTCTTATCCTATCTTTTAAACATTACTATGCTTTTTATCATGTCTATTAAATATCTTGTTATTATTATCAAGTAATCCATTTAAAAATAAGAAATAATATATCTTAAACTTAGTCCCTGATTTTTGTATAATAGTAATTTTGGGTTCTGCAAATATTTTTGCATTTTAAGACAGATTCAAAATATTAAAGGATGAATCTATTTATCAAATTGGATGGGTTGTGGGAATAAGTATTTATTTGTCAATTGGATTGTAACTTTTCTTTTTAATATATGAAATAATGCTTTCATTTTGGTAGAAATTAGAGTCATTAATTGCATATCTCAAAAATAAATGCACATAAAAATGAATGATATAATAATTTCTTGCAACTACAATCATATTTATTTATAAAATTAAAATATTTTTGTATTATTTTTCTATATTTATAGTTCGAAATATATCGATTTGAAAAATCTTTTACTAGAACGAAAAACATCTTTTTGATTCTTTGGATTTGAGATAATAATGAATTTTTTAGAGTATTTATCTCTCTAAATTGAAAAAAATTTAAAATAATTATCATTTGATAATCTTTATATAATACTAAAATAATCCTTAATTTATGGCATTATCTATTTAAATAGTATTATGAGCTTATCAAAAAATAATAAAACAGCAAAATCTAATATCAGAATAGATTATTCATAATTACATTCAATAGTATATGGTATGTCTATTTATTGACATTTCCAAATTAAAGGTTGTATGAAAAATAAATATTCATTGATGTTATAATTATATGTATATAAATTCAAAAAATTTATTATATTATTTATATCATTTTGTTTCTTAATTAACTTATTAAATATTCTTAATTTTTATCGTAAGATTATTTAAATACAATATTATATCAAATAATCTCAAACCCTATTTAAAGAGATATTGAGAGATATAGATAGATAATTGTATCAAGATTTGCTTTATAAGTAAAATGAGAATTAAATTTTAATAGATTTAATATCTAAAATATATTTATAATCTCATATAAAAAGTTTAAGCTCAAATTCCTCAAATTAAATTTTTAATACTTTATTGAATTTATCATTTTTTATTAATAATTATAATTTTAATTCTTTAATAAATAAAATAATTTTGTTAAAAATCTGACATAAATAATTTCTTCTTTTTCAATTTAATTCCTTAAGATTACTAATTAATTTATTGATTTATTTAATACATTTGATGGAAAATTAGAATGAACCTCAATTTAGATGTCCTTTGAAAAATCATTCTAAAAATATAGATATGTTCTGTTTTGATGAAAATTGTAAATAATTTCGGCTCTCTTGTTAAGATTGTTATAAAGCTGGATTCCATATTGACCATTAAAATTATGTACTTTGGATATCAGAACTTAATAAAGTAGTTTAAGAATAAAAGAGAGACTTTTCTTCTTTTATATAACAAATCGAACAACATATCAATCAACTGAATTTTCAATTCTGTTAATTTAAAGAAGTTCTATATTTTAAATCAGATGAAATTAATTCTTTTAAACTTGAATCTCCTTAATTAATTAATCAATTTTTGTCCTTTTCTTTATAATTTTAAAAAGAAAAGTAATTGATTTTAAATTATGTTAAAAAAATAAATGAAAATTTAAAAAACATCATTTAGTAATTTAAGAATAATCTTTAATTAAAGACTATAAACTAGGAATTGAAAAGTAATAAAATAAATTATTAATTAATGGAAGGTAATTAGTTATATGAAAATCATATTGCAGTAATTGCCCTAAATTTAGATAATTCTATTATGTTAGCTGGTTATCAATTTAGTTAAATTAAAGTATTTAGTTTTAAAAATGGAATATTGTCTTTAATTTAAACATTAAATGATCATAAATTTAATGTGCAATCTTTGTATTTTATGAAAAGATAAAATTCTTTTATATCTGGTAGTAATGATAAAACTATTATTGTTTGGAATAATTAAAATAGTTAATAGTTTTAAATTTAACAGATATTAGAAGGACATAATAGTGGAATCTCTTAATTAATTATGAATAAATAAGAAGACTTGATTATTTCAGGTAGTCACGATGGTACCATCAAATTTTGGAAGTAATAAAAAAGATGGAATTGTTATTAGACATTTTCCTAACATTAAAGTTCTATTTTTTTTATCAGCTTAAATGAATCAGAAAATTTATTAATTTCAGGATCTGGTTAAGATAATCATATATCTATCATCTAATATTAAGCAGAGGAGTAAAAATGGATTTTAATGCAAACTATTAGTTTAGAAATGAAAGGAGCAAGAGTTTAATTTATTGGAGAAAATTAGTTTACTTTTTAACCTTATAAATTAGATAAGATTCATTTATATACAAAACATTCTTTGAATTAATATTTTTTTAAAACTCAAGAATTTAATGTAAAGTCAAGTCCTGGTTTTGAATATCCATTTACAGAGAAATGGATAAAATCAAAGTCTTTACTTGTAAGTAAAAATGGAAGTGTAATAAATTTGATAAAAGTTACACTAAATGGGGAATTAATCACTGAATAATCAATAGAATTTAAGACTTGTTCTATTTCAGGAACACTTTCTGATGATGGAATGTACTTATTTATATGGGATATGGATTCAAAGAAAATTTAGATCAGAAAATTATAATAAAATAAATTTTGAAATTAATTTATTAATCTAATAAAAATTATATTAATTAAGATCTTTCATTTTATCAATATCTTCAATAATTAATATATAAAACTTCAATTTTTGATCTAATAATACTAAATATTGACCATATTCTTTTAATATATTATTAATTTCAAAATTTTATATTATTTAATTTTTAAATTAATCTTAATTTATATGATAATTATGTAAATTTTCTATTTATGTCTAACCAATAATAAATTTCTTATTGATTATAAATTCTTTGGGATTAGTAATCATCTTTAAATTCAATATTCTTATATTATCAGATGAAAAGTAAAACTATTCTTGTTGCAAATTTACTTTAAAATATTTCAATTTGATTTAAAATCATTTTAATTGAAATATGAATTTAAAAGATATTTTTTAATAGCTTAACAAAAATTGTATCAATTATAATTATGAGTTGTTTTTAAAGAATTATAATTTATACTGAAATATATATTATAAACCTCATATAAATATAGATTTTATATCTATAATTATATCTACTCTCTTTTTAATCAGATCTATTTTTTAATTTATATAAATTTAATATCTCATTATATAAAAATAAATGAGAATTATGAATTTAATAAATATATTATGGTTTATTTAAATTTTGTTATTTAAGGTTTTAAGTAAGATTAATTTGTTAATAGATAGTTGATTTATTATTTCACATTGAATCTTTTTCATACCAATATAATATTTAACACTTTGTCTTTGAATTTCTCATCAAATTTTCATTTTAGGATGAGTGCATTCATTGTCTAATTAGTCACAAAGTTTCATAGCATTTTTTATTTTTATATTTTTATAAATGAGTGTATGATTCATCTTCAAACACTTTCTTATTCTATTTGTTATTAATATGGAATCATTTTCAATTTATTTTAATTTGTTATGCCTATCATCTTCTAATATTAGCTATAAGTTTTGTTTTAATCATGATGTTTTTTCTTTAGAATATTCAAAACCTTTTTGGAAAAGATTTTAAATCATTCTTATCTCTTTCTTAACGGTTTTTATTTTCAATAATATTGTATAAACTATAGTTTCTCCCTTTTGTAATACACCTTCTTGAAGTTTATTGATTTAATTATTGCCTTAAACTAATATCAACTTCAATAAATCTATTGTTTAATTATTATGCATCCAAATTTCATAAATTATTGACTTTTTATGAATATTCACTATGTTAATTGATTTCTTATTCAATTTCCTTATAATTTTTTCAATTCCTTGTCTCTTTAGATTCAATTATTAAATAATAATTATCAAGAAAAACTAATATTACGATGATTATTTAACTAAATTCTTTTTGAAAGTAAATCTACTCTAAAAATTCAGAACATTAAGAATTTAACTTATACCTTAACTTATCAAGTTTAATTAATAAGGTTAAAAAACAATAAATATCAATAATTGTAATTACTTGATCCATGAAAAAAATCAAAAACAATTATGAATATTTGTTCTAATAAATGTGTAATAGCTTAAATACATAATTAAATGAATATTATTCTATTCAAAAAAGAATTAAAAATTAATATATTCCATAATTCAATGGTGAGTTGTGTATAATATTTAGATATCAATATATAAATTATGAAATCTGGAAATTCAAATTAAGTATTTTCTTAAGTTCCAGATTCTAACGAGATAAATGAATATATCAAAGAATATCTTAAATATTCAGGATATTCTAACACACTTGAATGTTTTGAAGCTGAAATTAAAAGTAAACAAGTATCTAGTAAAGTAATTAAAATTCATAATTTAGATGTCTAATAAATAACAATAATAAAAATAATTAAATGATGACATTCCAAGAATATTTCAATTATTGAAAACTGACAATATCAAAACAAAAAGAGAGATTAATTTAGAGAAGGAATAAAAATTATTCAATAAAAAATACTAATAAATTTTATAAGCTGGTAGACAAATCTTTTCAGTAAGTATTAATCTCTTATAATTATTACATTCATTAAAGGAAACTGCAAAAAATGAAAACCTAAGTGAAAGCTTAGAGAATTATAAAATTTAATTAGGAAAATATCATAAAGTCATAATTAATGAAGGAAAACCAGAAGGAAATGAATTAATAACTGAATAGGTTATGCATGAACATAAAACTAAACTTTTTAAAAATTATCAAGATAAAAATGTAGATGGTATGATAGAAGTATTATTGTCTTTAAGAGTAAATGCACTTTAAATAGCACCAGAATTAAGAAAAAACTTAGTCTATGAATTAATTAGAAATGATGTTTTTAATATTGATGCTACTGATAAATTTGATTTTATTGTTCAACTATTAGATATTAATAATTAAAGTTTAAGACATGCAATAGCAAGTTTAATAAGTGTAATCAGTAGTACTTTAAGAGGTGTTGAATATTTGACATATAATGGTGGAAATATGATTATAATAGAGAAAATAATTAAAATTTTAAAAGAATAAGAAAATGGATCTGTTACTTAACGATTTTGTTTAGCTATTTTACAGAAAGCTAGTATTAAAGATACTGTAATTCCAACATATGTTCATAATGAAATGATTTAATGGATAATATCATTAATATAAAAATCAATAAACACAAAAATTCATATATTTTGTTTAGATTTTGCATCTGCAACTTTAGCAAATATAATTCATACTCCATATACATTAACATATTTAGAAAAGTAATCTAGATTCACTCATTAAGTATTGATAATTAATTAGTTTAGATTATGGAGTAATTTTTGAAATTTATCAAGGAATAAATTTAAGTGAGTGTAATGATGCATATTTTAATATGTTTATCATATTTGAGTAAAGAAAACTTTGCTAAATAGATGGAAGAATGTAGATTTATAGAGAGAATAAGTGAATTTGTTGAATATTATAGTGTAATAAATACAGGTATAATAAATTATAATAAATTTAGAAAATGAAGCAGCAGAAATAGATAAAAAAACAATTCTTGATTTATGTGCTCATATGTTTCATCCAAAAGATACTTCATTAGATAATTCAGAAACATTAGAATTAAATGAATTGAAAACAGAGGATAGAATTAGAGAATACGAGAATGAATAAGGTGAATTAATATTTGAATGCTTTTAAGATGAAGTTAGTTGATTATTAACCTTTATTTGAATTTAATAAATGTTATATAACTTATATATATATATATTATTATATATATCTAATTTCATGTTGATTCAAATATGTACATAAATGAAAATATTGGAATTAAAATAAACTTTAATAGTTTTACTGAAATGATATAAAATTTAGTATTAAATTAAAGATTGAGTTGAATTAGAAATATAGAAATTTTTATAAAATTCATTTATCTAATATTGTAATTAATAAAATATTATATAACAACTAAAAACATTCATAGATGTTTCTAGACTTAGTATTCAATTTTTGTTGCTCTAAACGGCAGAAAGATGATAAAGATACAATATCTTAAAATAGTAATAAAAGTCAAGAGGAGTAAATAATTTAACAAAAAAGAATGGAGTTAAACCTAGAGAAAGGAGTTACAAAGGAGATATAAAGTAGCAAAATATTGAGTTTTATAAGAATCATAAGCATAATCATCTATAGTATCCCCAACTGACAATTATTTCTAATTGAATGATGAAAAGTAATAAAAAAAGAGTAGTTTTGAAGAAGATAATATTGATGAGAATCAATTGAATTTTTAAGGTAATGAGGAATCAAAATTGAATCATAATCATGTTAAAGATCATTTAGTAAAACGGTAAATATAATTAATTCTAAATAAAATAGTTCTAAGTCTTAAGAGAAATAGGAGAAGGGTTTAAAAAAGAAAATAAACAAGAACAAAGAGAAAATTGATGGAGATAAAAGAGTTGTGAAGATTTGGTAACCAGAAGAAGATTAAAGATTGAGAAAACTATATCAAGAATATTAAGGAAATTGGAGCAAAATTATTTAATATATGCCAGATAGGAATATTTCATAATGTTCTTAAAGATGGAGAAGAATAAATCCAATATAAGTGAATTAGTTATTTTATTTTAGAGTAAATAAAAGTGGACACATGATGAGGATACTAAGTTAATTTCTATGGTTACAATTGAAGGCAAAAATTGGACTAAATTAGCTAAAAATTTTCCAGGAAGAACAGGAAAACAGATTCGAGAAAGATATTTGAATAAATTAGATCCAAATCTTAATTTTGTTGCATGGACAGAATAAGAAGATTAAGAAATAGTGAAATATTATAATTAATATGGAGCTAAATGGAGTTTAGTTGCTTAAAATTTAAAAGGAAGATCTGTATACATTTTAGATATTTAGGAAAATATGGTGAAGAATAGATTTTATTCACATATTCAAAAACATCTTTTAGGTAGATAAAATAAATATTAAATAATATATAAATAAGGAAAGAATTAATAATAATAAAATGGAATTTCATAAACATTTGAAAGAAATTAGAATATGGATGTTGAATATTCTGACACTTCTAATAGTGATATGAAGTTAGTACATTCTGAAAATTATTCAGTATTATTTAGATTCCAATATTTTAGTCTTCGATTGGATCAAGTACATTTACTTTTTCTTATTATGATAATGATGAATTTAGTGGAAATGGAGAAGATTTGGATTATGATAATTAATTTGATCATGAATTCGATGAAAAGGCAAGATTATATTGAAATTGTTGTTATATTTTTTATCAAATAAATTCATGATTTAGTTGAGACCTTAAATTTCACTAAAAATCGATAAAATGTCTAAAGATGGTATATGCATTAGAATATTTGGATGGTTTCTATTCTATGTCATTTTGTAGATAATGATGATAAATAATAGAAAAAAATATTTATCCTATGATATTAGATTAACTAAATTTGAAGTAGATGTTAAACAAAATGAATATAAGAATTTAAATTATACTAATACAACTGGTAAATATACATTTCCTATTCAAAATATAAGTGAAATTGAATTAAATCTAAATGTTACAATCAATAAAGTATTTTAATCATTTAATGTTTTAGAATGATTATTATGATTTAGAACATGTTATGGTTAAGGAAGATGAAATACTTAATGATATGAAATACTAATTAATAGTACATTCATAAGATTAAACTCTTGTCCTTAATAAAACACATTAAACTTCATTAAAATGCAAATCTAAGAGTTAATTAATTTAATGTACAGGTTATCTAGAATCAATTATCAATAAAGGTTATAAGGATTTATAATTCTAATTACTAATCTTTCATCATAATGCATTAGCTATTCATTCTCAAACCTTAACATTACTCTATGAGAATAATCAATATTACACTATGATTTTGATTTTTTAAGTAACCATATTTTAATACAATAATAGGTTCTTTTCCTATTTTTGATACTATATGGGATTTATTATTTTTTCAGCAATTTGAATGATTATCCTAAATAAATCTGGCCCAAAATGTAAATCCTAATATATATATAATTAGACATTAATGGCTATTGTTATTATTGATAGGAATGATTCTCTATAATTTTCCTATTCTTCTAATTCGAAATCAATATGGTTAATTTGTTCACTATTACTAGAATTTAGTAGAATTATTTATTTAATCAGGATTATTCTATTTTTGGTTATCTATTTTTGAATTAGAATAAACTTAATCTGTTGAAAATGATAGATAAATCAATTAAAATTAATTTAGTATTTGGAATTTATTAAAATTACTATTGGTAATTTTATATACAGTTCCATAAGCATTAATGGATACATTTATATTTATAATGCAAGAAGAATTAATGTAATATGATCCTAGAGTTGAAATACCATTTTATAATATTTACTTGAAATTTGTAATTTTAAGTTTAATTGGATATTCTGTATGTTTTGTATTTCTTTTATACAAATCATTTAATCAACATGAAAAAACAACATCAATAACAGAGTCTGCAGTTATTGAAAATGAGAAATAATAGGATCCATTTTATGAAGGTTAATAAATAAAATAATCAGAGAGTTAAGGAGAAATTAGAAATTATAAATTATTGCATATTTTATCAACAATTTGCTTTTCAGCTTTAGTTTATTATCAAATAGTTACAATATTGGAACCAATTGTATTAACTAGTTCTAGTACTATAAATGAATGGGCATTAATAAATATATATTTATGTATGATTGTATAATTATATATGCCTTATAATGAACCATTTGAGGATGAATAATAAAAATAAATGTATGGAGATATTGAAATGGATGATTTAAATAAGTATAAATAAATATACATAATTAGTAAGAGTACTAGAAGAGTAAAACATAAAAATTTAGCTAATAAGAAGTTTTATACAAAATAGAAAGATGAGAATATGGGTTAAGAAGATGATATTCAAATATGAGTATATATGTATTTATATATTTTAATTTCTTAATAAATAAAATTAATGGTAAATCAATTATATGAGGATGATGTTTAAGAAGATGAGGAACTAAATTCATAATTCTTAGGTTTCTTAATTTTCTTTTTAATTTTAGTTGATTTTCCATTATTATTTTATGAAATTGTCTTTTTATTTTTTGACAAATATTGGTACTATTATTTTTGTTATTCTTCTTCTAATTTGATGATTGTATTAGGGATATATTTCTATTTTCTTTTATTTTATGTTCTTTTTATTATGTTATCATCGCTATTTTCTGATTATTCAAATTATTCATCTTTAGGTGAATCAAATTCATAAATGTCTAATTGAGCAGATAAGGATGCACATTTTTCATAGAGTTTAGCTAATACTTTATAATATTTAGTTTCGCTGACAACTCTCATAAATTGTAATATTTATTAATTAGATTGCCAATCGAAAATTGAACCTAAATTTTTGGAAAATCCTTGTATTTATTGAATTAATAATAAATAATTAATCTGTTATAATAATGATTAGTAAATATTAGTATAAATAGTATATACTTAATGATAATTAATATTATGAAATATATTATATCTTCATGCTAATAATCCTTATGTTATTTGATGCATCAATTTTTCTTAATTTTTTTCATCTGGTACAAAACATACTTTAGTTCCATTACTACCAGCCAATTATTATAATGTTTCTAAATATCTTACTTACATAGCAGTTTTAGAATCTAAAAATTCAGATGCTTATCTCATCAACTTAGCTGATTCCACATCTGCTCTAGCACTTATCAATTTACCTTATGCTAATCTCTATTCTGTAGCTGCTGAACCTAATGCTTATTAGAGATCAGAAGACAATTATATGTCTTTCATATATATGTTATCAATTAATACACCCCTATTATATATATTCTATATACCAATCTTTCACATATTCATCTACTTAATCTTCTATCTAATCTGCAACTTCCTATCTTTTCTCTAGTAAATCTTAAAGTATAAAGGATCCTACTGTATTTTTAAGTACAGCATAAGTAATTTAACGGACTGCTTAATCATAGTTCTCTACTCTATAAACAGCAAACCGTGAAGTTTTGATTCTATAATAAACAGATGCATCTATAGAAATAGTTACATTATCTTTGGTCATAACAGACTAAAGAATATTTAATAGATATTACTTATCTATCTAAATCTATAACAGTAATTCTCAAGTCTAATTATTCTAATGTATCTGTACAAGGATTAACATAATGTAATCCTGGCCTAACTACTTTAATGTGTCTTCCAAATCTTTTGAACAATCCTTCAGTACCTAAGAGTTTAATGAGAATTATCTACCTTATTAAACTTCTTAATATGGATAATTAACGCACATACAAAAAATACAAGGAATCCAAGTTCTTAAACAACCAAAACATTCTCCTAAACAAAATTAGCATTTAGCATATGCAATCATTGTTTAGTTATCTTATACTTCTGGAACTTCCAAATGAGCTATTTTTCTTCTTGAATGAGCATTCATATTCAATTCAATTTATTATTAATTAAAACAATTATGAATTATAACCATCATCAATTTGTAGAAAAATGGTTATCCAGATTTAGAAAATGTCTTTCTTTATGTTATACAGATGACTCCCAAATGATTACTATGGAATTACATAAAGGAAATGTTTAACTACTCAGCGTTCCTTAAAACAAGAACATATTCAACACACGTAAATATACAGTACATATACTTATCTATAATCCATTCTTTAGCTCCTCAATTTTCTACCCAAAACACTCTATACAGGATTGGTCAGATTTGGTAACATCTACTTACTTGCCATATCATTAATTATGCTCATAGATCCCAGTCTTTCCCCATTCTACCGTTGGATCACTATCTTTCCAATTGGAATCAGTGTACTCCTTTATGTTTTAATTGAATTTGTACTTGATATTCGTAGACAAATTCATGATCATAAAATAAACATATAAACAACTTCAAGAGGAGCTAAGGATGGTTCAATTGAAACCATTAAATGGAGTGATATTCAAATTGGAGATGTTTTATATTTAATCAAAGGAGATATTGTTCCAGCTGATATTATACTCTTAGATACTGGATAGGTTAGAGATAGAGAAGCCATATGTATGGTAGATACCTAATATTATGATGGAAAATCAAGTTTGACTAAAAAGAAGTCATCCTATCTAACTTAATTGATTGTCTTGAGAACTAGATTAAAGAATTAATTCCCAGAATATAGAAAGATGTTAACTGGTAAATTAGAATATGAAGCTCCTAATGGAAATACATAAAGATTTCATGCTAGATTGAAATTAAAAAAAGATCCAAAAAATGAAGAATTAACTATAGATAATTTCATTCCTAAAGGAACTAAAATTAAATAAACTTCATGGTTATTTGGTTTAGCAGTCTATGTTGGTCACAATACTAAAACAATGTAAAGTAGTCATTATGGAGCATAAAAGGAGAGTTTCGAAGAGAAATAAAGTAATTTTTATTCTTTCCTAATGGCATGTTTATCTTTATTTTTTACATTAATATCTATAATTGTATTATTAGCTAGATCAGATGAAAATAGTTTTGCTTTAATAATAGATAATTATACAACTAATGGTATGAAAGTATTTTAATTGGCAATATTGTATGCTTAATTAATTCCAGCTACTTTATATTTATTATTTGATATAGTAAATTTCATATCATTATTTAAATTTGAAATTAATCAAATTGAAGAGAATCTTGTAAAATATGTGAAAATAAATTCATCAAATAATTTATGTGATTTAGGACATGTTGATTATATGTTAATAGATAAAACAGGTACATTAACTACTTCTTATTACAAATTAGATAATTTATTATTTGGTTAATTAGCTTTCACTCTAAATTATGATTAATTATAATTAACATTAAACTAAAAGTCAACTAAATAAGATGATATTGAAGATCCATAAAAATTTGCAAGTATAAATGATAATAATGAATATTTAATACCATTTGAGTATGATAAAAAGAGTAATCATACAACAGAAGGTTAAACAAGTGGTAAATTATTATTAAAAAGTGTAAAAACTTCAAGTAATAATCCAATTTTTAGTAAAATAACTGCTCAACCATAGAATAAAAGATTAACTTTTATAAATATGGATGCATAATATTAATAATAATATCAAGATTATTCATAGACAAGAATGTTTTTACCTTAACCAAAACTTCGAAATAGTCCAGGGAATAATAATGATGAATTCATGCAATTAGTAAATTAATTGAGAAATAGTTCTCCATAAAAGGAATATTTATAAACTAAAGACATAAATACATTATATTATGATGCTTTTTTGAAATGTTTGATGTTATGTCATGAAGCTAGACCAGTTTTTGGAGCAGATTCAATAACATATGAATCATTTTCAAAGAATGAAGAAATTTCATTAACATTTGCTCGTTCTTGTGGTTATCAATTAGAGAACTTTAATAAATTTGATAGTCCAGATATGTATTTATGTAAAGTAAGAGGAAATACAATTTGGTATCAAATATTAGGATTAAATTTATTTACATATAATAGAAATTTAAATTCTGTAGTTATCTAAGTACCTATGACTATGGATCTAGAATTAGGTTTAGAATATGAAGCCTTGAATTAACTTTGTGGTGAGGGATCTAAAAATAAATCATTGTTGATTTGTAAAGGAGATTATGAAGCTATAAAATTGAAATTATAATTAAATCATAAAGAGAGAGAAGAATTAGATGCTTATATTCAACATTATAAAATGAGAGGGATAAGAATGATTGTTTATGCAACAAGAGTTTTGAGTGAAAAAGAGACTGAAAATTATAAACAAAAATTTAATTTATTGCATAGTTCACTTACTAATTAGGATCTCTTATTAGAGGAATTGGCTTTGGAATATGAGAAAGAATTAAATTTATTAGGAATGATAGGATTCAAAGAGGAATTAAAGAATGATGCATTAGATTTTATAAGAACTGTAAAAGAGTGTAATATCAATATTTGGTTATTGAGTGGAGATTAAGAAGCATAAACAATTAGTTGTGCTTAGGCTTTGGAGATGACAGAGACATCTAAATATTTAAGGATTGTAGCAACTGATAAGGAATAGTTATGGTTATAAATAAATACTGCAATAGGATATATATAAAGTGAATTATAGAAAATATAAGAGAAGTAATAAATTAAACAATAAGAGAAACATTCATAATAATCAATGAGTAGAAGTATGATTAAATCAAGTGTAACATTATTTGAAGGTGCATCATATTAATAAATGTTACAATTTGTATTAGTTGTTAATGGACACTCATTATCATTAATTAGTGAATCAGCAGATATGATGAGTCATTTTCGATTCTTATCATGTGTTTGTAAAAATGTAATAGGTTTTAATATGAATCCATAATAGAAAGAATTAGCATGCATAATCATAAAGGATTATTTTCCAAATAAACCAACAATTTTAGGAGTTGGAGATGGTTATAATGATGCTTTGATGATGTAAGCTTCACATATTAGTATTGAAATAATCAATAGCAAATTAAATCACATATATCCATAAGTAAATGCTGGAGATATTAGTGTGAATACATTAAAAGAGATAAAAGTATTATTACTATAAAAGTGTAAATTGCACTCTGAACGTGTTTCTTCTATGATAATATATTTATTTTATTGTGCAGGCTTTTTAGGTATGACACTCTTCTTTTTTAATTGGTTTTGTTAATTTACTGCTACTTCCTTACATGATTCAATGACTGTATTTTTATTCATATTTCTATACACAACTCCTAATGCATTGGTTATTGGATTAGCTGATTTATAAACAAATCCTTGGGTAAATAAAAAGATTCCTACTTTATATATAGATGGTCAAATTAGAACCAGAAGATTTGGATTTTATTATTTGATAGAAGCATTTTTGGAATCATTTTTATCAGCCGCTTTCACTTTTTATACATGTACTTATATGATTAATTATGCTTGGACCAATGATGGTCATCAAAGTGATTTATAAATGATAGCAACAAGTGTTATTTTCATTATAATTACAGTATCTACATTAAAGGTTTTATTTAGATTGATAAAACATAATGTTCATATAGTAATTATTGTATCCTTATTCACATTTGGATTATTAGTTGGGTTTGTATTTCTTAATTATAGAGGAAAATTCAGTGATTTTGATTACTAAGAATTAACTTATCAATTATTTACTAGATATAATAGTATAGTTGCAATGATATTTTGTTTATTTGGATGTTTCTTTATAAATTATTTCCTTCATGATTTCATTAAACTAAATTTATTTCCTACTGCTTATTAATAATTTGCATTTATTAATAAAGATGGTACATAATGGGAAGATGCTACTTATTAATAAATAGTCAATTAATGTTTTGATCAACATGTGTAAATATTTTATTTAAATTTAGTAATGTCTCTACCATAATATAAAATGTATTTAATGATTGTTCTACGACATCTCCTTACATATCAGAAATGCTTAATCCTGGAGATACAAAAGTAACAGAAATGAAACTCAAACCTTTAACTTTAGAAATGAAGGAGTTAGTCCTTGAATAAAAGTTCCTTGCTCATAAATTGTCTCAATCACTTAATCATTTACGTTTCTTTTTATGCATTTTATTACTTTATTTCATAGCATATTGTTTAACTGATTTCTTCATCAATGATCTTAGAATATTCACTGGAGTTTATTATTTGATTATTTTTGGCATTGTATTCTTAATTTTATTATTCACATTCACATCGATTATGCAATAAGAATACTATACTTATTCACATTTAACTGTTTTGATAATATTTGCAATTAAAATTGCCATCGATTGGTTATCAGATGATTTAACTATTACTTTATCTGCAACATTAGTAATTTTATTTAGTACATTTAATTCTATGAATATGACAGTTATTCCTATTATGTTATATAATATCTGTTATTTAATATAATTGATAGTAAGAATATTAATTATTGTTATATCAACTGATTTAAGTACTTCAAATGGAACATATTCATAAAGTAGAATATCTGTCTATGCTGCTAGTACTTAAATATTATTGGTGATTAGTATTACTATTAGATTTTTATTCACTTATTATAAATCAATAAAACATAGAAGAAATGATTATTTAGCCAAATATTCAATTGAATAAGATAATATGACTGCATAAGACATTTTGAGTATTCTTGTTCCCAGATTTGTTAGACAATAAATATCAACTGGAATTTATTCAATGTAAGAAGCTCAAGATGATGTATCAATCTTATTTGCTTATATTTGTGATTTTGATACTATTATGAAAGAAGAAGGTAAAAATGTTGTATTAATGTTGGATTCTCTATTTAGATTATATGATAATTTATGCATTTAACATGGAGTATAAAAGATAGAAACAGTTGGATATACTTATATGGCAGCTACAGGAATCAAGGCTTGTGAATAGAATATGACTGCACATGTAATTAGAACAGAAAAAACAATGAGATTGGTCAATATGGCATTTGATATGATGTAATAAGTATAAGGAAGAAAATATGGAAAAGGTAATCAAATAGAAATGAAGATTGGTATTCATGTTGGAAGAGTAATTGCTGGTGTTATTGGACATCATAAACCATAATTTTCATTAATAGGTGATCCAGTCAATCAAACAAGTAGAGTAGGTTCTACAGGAGATACTGGTGCAATAACTTTGAGTGAATAAGCTTTTAAGTAAGCCAGACATGGTATAAAATATTACTCAAAGAAATAAAAGGAGGCTAAAGGATTAGGAATAATAGATACTTATTAAGTTTATAAAACTAAACCACCAGGATATTAGATACCTAAAGCATTTCTACTTTGGTAGAATTGTACAAAGGTTGTAGTAAAAGATTTGAGATAATAGAGAAGTCAAAGGTAAATTTAACCAAAAAAGGGTTAATTCTTATCCTAATTGCAAAACTCTATTTATATGGATAATATGAAATAATCAAATAGATTAGAAATATCTCCTAGAGGATAACAAACTGTTTAATTTTTATTACCTTAAAATTCACCTTAAGAGGTAGATAATAAATCTAGATTAACTTTACCTATTTAACCATCAGAACCTGTATTAACTGATGAATCTGTCTTTATAACAAGTGAATAAGAGGAAAATGATAAATTAGATTTAATAAAACCTAATTTGATTTTATAAATACCTGAGAATGAGATTAAGAGCAATTTCAATTAAATATTGAAAGAATAAAATCTGGAAGAATCTAAAGTTGGTATAGTATTCTTATGGATTACATACTTTGTAATCACATTGTTATCAATAATTGTACGTAAGCTATTCAAATATGATCTACTCATCTTTGTATTAAGAGTATTAATTCTATTTTAATTTAGGCAATATTTTTAATCCTAGTAATAGTGTTATTCCCAATTTTATCAAAAGCCTATAGGAATCTATTGGTTAATCTGATGTATTATCTCCTATTGATATATGCCATCTTTACAGTTTTGTATTAAGCATATCTAACTGATAATTCAGAAGTGGCTATTATTTGTCTTTTGGAAATATTGTACATAATGATTGTTACTTGTTAATTGAAGATGTTCACTTTCTTTTAAGTGATAATTTATATGTTCATAATGTTAGGGTTTTTCTTAGGATTTTATATAGCTTCTGACTTAGTAACTCATTTTGCTATATTTTACATTTGTTGTTGTATGCTCATCCTATTATTGGGTTATTATTTAGCTATGAGAGAATAGATTCAGATGTTTAACAATCTATAAATCAATGAAGATAAGAAAGTCAAATAAATTAATTTGGTAAGTCAATTATTACCAATGCATTCTTATTTGAAAATGAAAAATAGTTCAATTTATGACAAAAGTGATTTTATTGATGAATTTGAGGATGTTACATTATTATTTGCAGATATCAAAGGATTTACTGAATATTCTCATACTCAATCTCCAGAAGGAGTTGTAACAATGCTTAGGAATCTATTTACAGAATTTGACAAATTATGTTAAAAATATAATGTATATAAAATGTATACAATTGGTGATTGTTATGTTGTTATGGGATTCACCAACAGTGCCAAAAGAAATGTAAATAAATTTTATATTTAATTAGCCAATTTAAGAAGCCATTAATACAGTAAAAATGGGATTCTAGATGGTTGAGATCATTATGTAAGTTAGATTGAAGATAAAATTTGATAAACTTAATATGAGAATAGGTATTCACACAGGTCAAGTTACAGGTGGTATTATTGGTACAGATATTGTGAGATATGATATTTATGGCAAAGATGTATCGATTGCTAATAAGATGGAAAGTAGTGGAGAAGAAGGTAGAGTGTAGATTTCATAAACTACTAAATAAATGATTGAGAGAGCAGAAAAACATCCATTTAAATTTAAATTCCATCATGTAAAAAGTTCATTTATTTTAGGATGTTGAATTAAGTAAATTTAACATGAGTACTAAAGGTTATTTGGTAGAATGGGATAAAATAAAAGATGAGGCCAGTTAAGAATAACTGTGATACTTAAATATTTAAAAAAATATTATTATGTTAATAATTAAGTATATTATTATTTAATTACACTTTTATTCCATTTTATTTGAATCCACCAATAAAATAACTAATATTTATTTAATTAAAAAATCCTTTAAAGAACTCAATCTCATAATATATTTGATATTCTTAATTGCTATTGAATTGTTCTTATATATATATATATATTTAACTTAATCTTAATGAGTATATAAAAAAGAGAATTCTAGGATGTTTAAGATTATTATAAGAGTTGAATTTGAATTAAATAAATCTGAATAAAAACTATAAAAAAACTCATGCACCAAAGCCATAAAGTGTTCTTCCTTATCTCTTTAATGAATAAACAACATCCATGACTGTGACCGTCTTTCTTCTTGCATGTTCTGTATATGTGATGGCATCTCTAACAACATTCTCCAAGAAACTCTTTAAAACATTTCTTGAGTCATCATAAAGGAAGGATGAAATTCTTTTGACTCCTCCTCTTCTTGCTAATCTTCTGATTGCTGGTTTTGTGATTCCTTCAATTGAAGCTTTATTTGGTTTTCTGGCATGTCTCTTAGCACTGACTTTGCCAATTCCCTTTCCTGATTTTCCTGCCATTATGTCTTTTTATTATATTTGAAATTAATGGAAATAAAATTAAGAGGTTGTATATTGTAATTTTAAATCCGAATATTTATAAATCAGCCAATCATAATTTTTGTTTAGAAAAGTTAATTTATATAGGTCTATTTCAATGTTATCATATAAATACCTTCCATCCAATTCGAAACCATTCATATTGGCTAATGCAGTAAATGCTACTTCAGTGCTTGAATACTTGATTATTGACAAGTATTTATTTCCCGTTGTCAAAATTCTAAATGAAATTAAATAACTACTTAATAGCTTTAATTTATCCAAATTCTTGCATATATTATTACATAATCGAAGCTTAGCAAGAATTCTTAGTTAAATTAGAGATTTGAATAGTATCACAAGGAGGAGCCAGAGTATAAGTTGAATCTGGTTTAATTCGATGTGTTTCTTCACTTCCCTAAAAATATTCTTCTTAAGTTTTAACATCAAAGACAATCTCTCCTGGTTTAGTTGGTTAAGTTTTTAAAGAGATCTCTTCATAATTGGAAAAAAAGATCTATATATAAACAATTAATTTACCTTTATTTATTATCCATAAAAAGATATTTCATTAAGAGATTCCTTAGCTATAGCAGCATGTTCTTAAGATACATATTATATCAAACAACTTGATCTTTCTTTTAAGAATATCATTTTGTCAATATTGCCATATATGCTAAATATATTATAAAGCATAGTTGATGTTACAACCTTCTTATCAAACCATCTTGCATATATTACTTTAGATTTATGAACATCTAAAATTAATATTGAGAATTCATATACTTTTAAAAGATTATTATTATTTAGTTAGATATTGATCTAATTTTTCAGGTTATTAGTGAATAGTTTGACTTTTAGAAGTAGGTTGTTAAATTGATCTCTAAATAATTTTTCCTTTGTTGATCAATTAATCTATATTATCAACACTCCTTGAAGATTATTCAATAGTGTTTTTTTGAGTTTATTTTTCCACTACAGCAGCTACTTTATTGTCTACTTTATTAAATGACATATCTTAATTCAATTTCTTAAAAACTTATTATCTATCCTTTTCAGTAAATCCTTAGTTTTAATCAACAAATTTAAACAATCCATTATTTATATCTTCATCATCTGATTAAGCATTCAATAATTCATCTTCAAATTAATTTGAATCATCAGCTTCATCCTCTGAGTCTCTCAAACCTAAACCATTAAAGTTCAATTCTTCAACCTTATTAATACTTTTACCATCACTTTAATACATCTTTTAAACTTATATTTAATCTATTAATTTATCTGAACTATGAAACATAATATCTTTTGTGATATCACTTTCATGATAACTTTAAATAAACTCAATTTAATCTCCATTTTTAGCATTCTTATCATTTGATAATGTTAATTTCTTTCTATTTTATTTTCCATTCTTGCTTGATTCGATACTAATAGATTTCTATTCATCTTATTAATTAAACCCTTATAGAAAATTTTAGTAATTATCAGTCACATTCTGGAATGTCTATTAATAATCATGTATATCTTTTAAAATTGATTGCTGTTTTTCAATTTAATTTAATAAGTCTATAGACTACAATATAGGAGTTGCAAATCCATCAACACATACTTATTACAACTATCCCATTAAAGTATTAATCAATTGTATTTGTTATGACATTTAGTGTTAAAATAACATTTGTGATTGTAACAATTAGAAGTTTTATTAAGGAACTGTCTACATAGGTTTTAAAGATTGAGAAGATTAATTTACTTCATTCGGTGGAGATTATTCTTTTTATTTTTACTTTTATATTGTATAATCTAATAAACTTAGAAAATATACCAACACCCCACACATTGTTTTCTTAGAATGAGATATAGGTTAATTTGCTTGCATAAACATTCATTAATAATGAAGGATCATCACAAAAATATTTGTCATTCATCTACATTCTTGCCTTGAATGCTGATTCTACATTATCATACTCAACAAATGTTTTCCAAGTAAGAGATCTCTCGAATATAAGCATCTATTTAAAATCTACTTAAATATATGTACTCTTTGTATAGTGCCGAAAGGACTAAACACTTTTAAATATTTATCGTGTGGCAATGTTTTATTTGCTTTGTTAGTAATTACAACCAAAATCACATTAGTATGAGGAGGATCAGAATTTCTGTCGATTTAAGAATTCATTTTTAGATTTAGAAATTTATAAATATATTATTTATTTTATTTACTAATCAATATCTTAATTACAATATAGAAGTATTATAATCAATACTTATTTATTAATTCTATTCAATTTTAAAGTCTTTGACATATTTTTTTAACAATATCGAAACAAACATAAAAAATAAATGGAATAATTCTCTTTACTCTTATTTAACATAACCTCTAAAATTAAATATTCCTTTATTAAAATGCAAATAATAGTTAAAAAAGAATAAGTAATAATTAATAATTAATCATTAAAATAAATATCTGCCATTATATTTAAATATTTTAGATAATCAAGATGCTTTAGAATGAAATATTTATATGATAAATTTGTTCTAAGTTAATTCATTTTCTAATAAATTATGATGAAAAGAATACTAAGTAAATTTATTCACTAGTTTTCAAAAACAGAAATATATCAAAATTGTATTTTCGAATTCTTTAAGAGTAATAACAATGCTCTTCTATGATGCAACTATTTTAATATGATTAAAATAATAGTTAAATACAATTAACATTCGAATTGTAATTAGATCACTTGATTAAGGAAGGGTTTTAAAGATTTTATTCATTATGATACATTTTATCTTTTTATAATAACAAATATTAATTTTTGTTAATAATTTACATCTATTCCATTAAATTTCTATTATTTCATACTATTATAAGCATCTCAATATTTAAATAAATCAAAATCTTGTAAGAAGTATATATTATATAATTCATTTATTTTATAAATGAATTTCCTAGACTTTGAAGTTAAATATCTTAGGCAACTAATATAAGAATAAAAATGAAATTTGCTATATATATGGAAATGTTTATTCATTTTCTTTTTTCCTTATCCAAGACCTTAATTAATTCTTAACTTACTTTTAAATTACTTTTTAATTATCTATGATCCTTCCTTATAAGATTTTTTAAATTGGATGTATTTAATCAAAATAAAATTTAATTCATGTTGTAAATTAAAAAGAATTTTAAATAATATTACAAATCAAGATGATTATCAAAAAGGAAATATCAAATTTATGTCATTTGTTAATACTCAATAATATTTACCCAAAATATTTTATTTTTAAAAATGGCGATTATTATTCATTCTTGATGTCCTTACATAACTTAATGTACTTTTTGGAAAGATCTAAACAAGCATAATGAAAATATATGTAGATGAATAAATATAAAATAATAAATCTTATAATATTGTTATTAATTCTATTTAAAATAAGATTTATAAGAATAATTGAAAATGCTATCATTAACAATATCACAACTATATAAAAATGAAGAATCAATAAGTATATATTATAGTGATTTGTTACTTAATTAATAATATTAATTCATGAAATTACATTTATAATCAAATATTTTTGTTAAAAATTTACTTGTATTGACTAAATACCCTTTGTTTTCAAGTATTAATAAATATTAATCAGATCAATTCATTCTTCAAGGGGTATATTTAAATCCATATAAATCCAAATTGTTGATATTAATAATAACCAATAAAACTCAATAATAAACTTTTCAATTCTTAAGTCAGAATTAGCTATTAGACAGGACTTAATCGAATTCAGAATTAAATAAAATTGTATTACATTTCTATTAATAATAGAATGTATATTTAATAAATAAAAGGATTTTACAATAATTCTAGAAATACCTAGTAGTTTATGTGTGAATAAACTATTATAACTCAAAAATGAAAAGAATATTATATCTATAAATGAAAGATTTATATAAACCTTTTCATTAATCAAACAAGAGGCTTAAAATCAGATAAAAATTATAAATAATTATATAGGCTTAATGATATTGATATTAAAATAATAGGAGACTTAAGTAATAGTAAAGAAACCTACTACTTTATTAAAAGGTTTCCAAAAAAAAAGGAAAAAATAAATTATCTACTTGAGAAGTTACAATCAATTTTATCATTTATTTTGATATAATAAAATATCATCTGAGAATTAACAGTAATTAGAGTAATTTAAACTTTAATTTGATTAAATTCAAGAGCCAATTAAACTTATTAAAAATTTAGCTAGAAAGTCAAATAAAAAATAAGAATTGAAAATTATTTAATAAAGTCTTATTTAAATAAAATTATAAATAAAAGAATCAATTAAAAATCCTGATATGTGTTCAATTATTCATATAATATTTCATGGAAATATTCTTTATAAGTTTTTAATTTTTGAAAAATTAATTTATATTTATAAATGACTTTAATTACTATAAATGTAAAAACAAATTATTGTAAAACATAAAATTTTAACATTTTAAGAAATTGCAAATTTATTACAGTTTAGAATAAAAGTTTAATCTTATTTCTTCATTTGTTTTTCAAATTTTAAAAGAATGAATAAATAACTTTCCTTTAAAATTGCACTTTTAAGTTTTGAGAACAAAGGTTACAAATTGGTTTAATTTTTTCTTATTTATTTATGTTTGTAATGATTCTATATGATTTTGTGACAGACTATATTTTATGATATTACGTATGTGCTTAAATAAAATTAATAATTCCTCAACTCTTAATTTATTTATGCAAACTAGAAATTGGGAAAGCAAGAAACAACGATTAGAAAATCTTTACCGAAAAAATGAATTAAGTATATAAATATAAAGTATATTTGTAAGAGTAACAAAAAAGTGTCCAGTATATATCTGATACTAATAGAAATTTTTTCTGCAATTTTTAAACCTTTTATGAAAAAAATAAAGATTAGCAAATTCCAGCTTTAGAGTATTAAGCACTTGTATTTAGATTTTTATAAGAATAGTTGCATGTTTAAGAACTTTTTACAAACTAATAAGTTTTCGAAAAGTAATAGGAATTGTCTAAATAATGGATTCCAAAGATAAAAAAAAATTGGACGGAGGAAGATAAATAAATTTTGATATGGATTGTATTAAAAATCTGTTCTAGAGATGGCATTCACTTCAGAAAAATTGTATTATGTAAGATTTAAATAATAGCCAACTAAAGTATGGGAAGATGTAGAACAATTAATTGGCAGGAGGACTGCTGAATAATGTAAAATCAAATGGAATGATTTATTGAAATTATCCTTATAATAATTACCATGGACATAAGAATAAGATGAATATTTAATATTATTGATTAAGTATAATTGAAAATTAGCTTTAGTTAAAGCAAAGAATAAGGAATGTAAAATAAATGGTGCATCATAGCTAATTTATTAAATGCCTACTTTAAAGATTCTCCAAGAACAGGGAAGCAATGTAGAGAAAGATGGAATAATCATCTTAATCCTGATATAAATAGACATTAATGGAATTTAGAGGAAGATATTGAATTATTAGAATTAGTAAAAAAAAAATAGAAAAAATGGGCATTAATATCAAAAATATTAAAATCTAAAAGAAGTGAAAATGCTGTGAAAAATCGATATAATTGTTTATTAAAAAAAAATACTTGTTAATCTATTACAACTTTAATTGATGAATTGAAAAAGAAAAATAAATTGGAAAATCCAGAAGCCCCTTTGACATAAATTTCAAAAAGAAAAAAATTAATTCAAATAACTAAAAGTACAATTATAAATTAATTTAATAAGCTTAACAATCATAAAACTAAAAAGTGAATAGTGAGTTCAGTATCTAATAATTTGATATAATTGATATTAATTAGCTAAAATGCCTCACTCCTGCTTTTTATGATTCTAAATCTTAAAGTCTATTTATTAGCAATAAACATTAATTGATGTCTTTCTTAAGTAGCTAAATGATAAAAATTGAAAGTGAAAAATTTTGATTAAAACAATTAATAACATGAGTTTTCAAATTAAATGAGTGGATTTTTAAATTTAGTAGATTCATCTAATTTAATAAAATATGTACCTAATGTTTTTGCAAATAATTAGCAACCAATTTAATAAGAAAAGAGGTAATTTTTAATATTTAAATTCAATTAAGATCTTAATTTAATATTCCTGGGGTGTAAATAGAATAAATTAATTAAGAAATGATACTTAAAAATAAACTTTCTTTTTTTTCTTCAAAATTGCCTGATTTAAAGAATAGAGTTTCTATGGAATAAGAAGAAATTAACTAATAAATATAAATTAGTAAATGAATAATATTTATTAGTCAATATTTATAATATAATAATATATTAGTATATTAATAATGAATAGTATTTATTATTATTATTATATGAATTCTTTATTTTATTTTTAAACATTTTTAAAATATATGATATTAGTTTTTGTTTTTCAATATGATATTTAAGAATTATTGTATAACAATAGTGAGATCTAACTTAATTTAATTAAATAATATTGATCGTTATGATATTAGATTATTATAGTTATTGTTTATAATTAAAACATTTATTGAAGTTTTAATGAAGAACTCAGTTAGATAGAGTGAGAATAGAAAGCTTTCACAAAATAAAAAGAGTTAAAACTACAATCTATTCAAAAGAGCTTAATCATAATTTAAGTAATAATTAATTAAATTTAGAGAATCCATCATTTGCCAAGCATCTCGAACTATTCCACATGTTGTAGTAATTCATGTACTACAAGTCAACCTTAGAGTTGTTCCAAATTTGAAGAGGAAAATATAGAGAGTATAATAACTAAAAAAAATTAGATATATTGGTTTACAAAAATACATAATAAGATCCTTTAAGTTGTTTTAATTATGATGATTTCAAAGGAGTATTACCTGTAACTATTAATGGTATTAAAATTCTGAAAATTGATTGGGGTTATTTTATAGCATCTCCTAATATATCATCATAATGGAAGGCTCATTGTTTTTGGACTGTTGGATATACATTTGATATCAATATGAAGAAGATGAAGAGATCATAGAATATTAAATATCGTCTTATCATTAAAAGTTGGTGTTGTTTGAGTAATAAATCTTGGGTAAAAAATAAATGGGGTAGATTATTAGAACATGAAACTGGAAATTATCTAATTAGATGTTTATGTGCTTTAGATTTTAAATAAAAGTAAAAATATAAATAAAGAGTAAAATAGAGCAGATAAATACAAATATACTAAGAATTATAGAATGGAATGCATTAAATTATTTCAAGATACATTCTAGTATTATTTGTAAATGGAGAAACAATATGATGAAGAAACTAATCATAGTAAAAAAGGGGGTAAAACAAAAAGAATGGAATTAATTCATTAAATAAGAACTATTAAAATATTGACACATAGATGTTACTCAAATAAATTATTTTTTTTTACTATTCATTAATTATATTAGTATTTTAATATATCTATAAATAATGAATAAAAACTTTATTTTATAACAAATTGTTAATTATGAATAGTATTTTGAATCAAATAATTAAAAAAAATATAATAAATCAAAAGAATTTTATGTTCAAAGAGATTAAATAAGAATTGGCCTAAAAGTATAAGCAATTAGAAATTGATCAAATAGAAATCATGCAAAAACTATAAATTTATAAGGAGTCTGCATAAAATAAATAATATGTAGATAACAATTCATTATTGATTGATGATATACAAAATTCGTCTCTTCTCTTACTTTCCAATACATAAAGGGATGTAACAGATAAAACAATTTCTGATTTAAAAAAAGCATTAGAGGAATGTGAAAGAGACAGAGAGAATAAAATTCAATAGATTAACGAATTAAAAAAATTAAATTAAAAATTATATGAAGAATTAAATGTTTCAAAAAACAATGTTATAAAGTCAAATAAACTTCTGAATGAGATTACATAATAAAAAGAGGAATTAATGAATTAAATTAATATGATTAGAAAAAGAAAATCAGTTGATTCTACATTTTTTTAAACATCTATTACTGATATTACAAATCAAGATATATCAATTCAAATGAATAGAAAAAAATCTATGTCTTAATATGAAAATGTTGATTAAAAATAATTTCAACTTTATAAAAAGTTTACAGAATGTGTTAAAGATATGATAATAAAATTATAACCAAAATTATATGAAAGTATTGAAATATTTGTAATTATATTTAGATTAAAATGTTTCATTATCTGATGCATGGAAATGGTTAAAGATTATTATTAATGATTATGTTCAAATTGCAAATACAATAAAATAATTAAAATAGATACTTAATGTTGAATAGCCTTACATAATTTTAGAGGTTTAATAATTAATTAATATGATTGTTTATAAATAATGATTCATTATAATTATATATAATTAGTATGTTCTATTTCTATTGAAATTATATACATTAATTTAAATAATCAAAATTCAAAAATGGATAATAAGAAAAAAAAGAATAAGAATAAAGCTAAATAAGATAAATAATCATAATAATAATAACCATAAAATTAAATAGTACCAAAAAATTAATAACATCAACACGATCATAATTGTCATGATCATCATGGAAATGATGAACATCATCATGATCATGCTCATTGTAATCATGGATTGCCAAGTGATACCTCTAATCTAGATCCTACTAGTTTATTAAGTGGTTTAAATAAAGGAGAAGGATTACTTGGTAGTTTAAGTATGATACCTAAATTGACAGAAATGTTGAATCAATTAAGTAATTTTGGAGGTTAAGCCTTTAAATCTGATGATCCTCTTCCTGATTTCACTAAATTTGATTAAACTAAAGTAATCAATATATATATATAACATTAGTAAACTTTAGAAGTAGCAATAGAAGAGTTTTAATAGACAATTGAAAGTGTTCAAAAGAAAGATTTCACAAATCTTACAAAACCAGTTGTTTAAAAACAGCAATAATAAAAATTATCTAAACAATAATAATAATAAAGAGATAAGTATGATGATTTTATTATTTTAATAGAAACAATTAAATTATTAAATAAAATATAGATTATTTGAATACATTGTAAAAGGACTTAAAGAAACTCTTACAAGATGTAAATAAAATACTTATTAATCATAGTAATCACTTAGTGGAATAGCACCTATATTAAATCAAGGAATTGAGAATTTAAATTAAGATATCTAATATTATTAGAAGTAATAAGAAGTATGAGTATTAAAATATATAATATTAATTATTCATTTATTAACTATCTTTTATTCAAAATTCATTATATTTTATGATAAGGTCAAAAATGCAACATTCATACTAATCAAATTTTAACAATTTTTATATATTTACAAATTTTAATTGTTTATATGATTTATTATATCATTATTTATTTACATTAAATTTTAATGGATTAAATGCTTAATTATGCATTATTTAAAATTGAACCAGTGTTCAAATAAAAATGAAACATATTGAACTATAAATGAGTTCTGGCAAATACTATTTATATTTTTGAACATTTAAGTAATCATCTATAGTTAAATTAACAAATTCTTATAAATACATAATAGCATGTAGCAATTTTTGAGTATTAATATAAATATTATATATTCCTCCAATAAGAAATGAATTAAGAAGAATATATGAATAGAATCTTTAAAACCTAGGTAGCCAAATCAACTTTTTTAATCTGTCTTTAATATTAACCCTAATTGTTTTAATACAGTATAATTTATCATTTACTTTTAAGTAATGCCTTAAATGCATTGTGAAGACAATTATTTATTAAATACAGTACATGCTAGTGTTTAAGAAAGAAGCATTTTCAATAAACAGGAATAATAATAAAATTTAGACATTTAACGATAATCTTAAGTGTTATAAGAACCTTTATGTATAAAGAATGAAACAGAGAGAGATATATATTAGACTAAATTCAATGGTATTTAGAAAATCTATTATCAAATATAGGTCATTGGACTCAATAGGAACATGAATTATATCTTGAATTTATAAAAAATCACTTTGATATTTTAAAGTCACAATATGATAAAAAATCCAAAAAGATTTTTAAAATGATGAGTTAATTTATACCTACAAGAACAGCCACTTAGTGTAGATCACATCATTAAAAATTCAATCCATTACAATAGATTAAGAGAAAGAAGAAATCAAAGTGATGAAATAATATTATAATTAATTATTGTCATCTATTTTTTAATATATCAAAGGGATTTTAATTATTAAATTAAATAAAATATTGCTTTATTATTGATATAATTTTATTTTAATGGAAATAAATTGTAAATTACCCCCTAGAATAACAATGAATCCATTATACTATAGTAATGGTGCTAGACCTGTTATCTAATACAGAATCAATCCAAATGAATAAAGAAGATATACGACAGATCTTGAGGCTATGAGGAAATATTCAAAAAGTTAGAATTCATAAAAGCAAAATGATGATAAGTATTTGTGTAATTAATTAATTAGTGGAAATCAATAGAATAATCCTTAGAAATCAACAGGAATAGCAAGAGCTAATACTGCAGATAAATAATAATTGGAAGATTCAAAAAATCAATATAATTCTAGTCGAGACAATAAGAAACCACAGTAACCATAATTATTCAAAGTGTAGAGCTAAGCAAAACCAATCTTTGAGAATTTTAGCAAATATTAAAGTTAAAAACTAAAAAACCACAGTTTTGTTACTTAACATCAATAGAATGAGAAACCACATTCTTTTAAATAGATTGCATAGAAAGGTTCTTCACAAATATCACATTGTATATAATGAAATTAACTTAGTATATTATGTGGGAGACTTATAGAATGCAATTTTGAATTAGAAATCTTAAAGTTCAGCCTTGTTTAGAGAACATATATAATCATCCTTCACTTATATACCTATTATAAAGAATTTATAAATTGATAAAGAATAAATTAAAAAGAAACTCTTAAATATTCCATTAAATTTAAATAAGAAATGTAAAGTTTTATAATTTAAGTTAAGATAATAAGACAATAATATTTGATATGGATGAGACTTTAATACATTGTAATGAAGATGAAAATGATAAATGCTAGTTTAAGATCGACATCCAATTTGAAGATGGAGAAATCATAGAAGCTGGTATAAACATTAGAAATTTTGCAAAGGAAATTATTCAAAAACTAAGTGATTAATGTGAAGTAATGATCTTTACTGCATCTTAAGATGTATATGCTAATAAAGTATATAAAAAACTTAATAATTAGGTTATTAATATTTTAGATCCAAATAATAAATTAAGTTATAGAATTTTCAGAGAGAGTTGTATTTCAGTTGGTGATAATAATTTAATAAAACATCTAGGAGTTTTGAATAGGGATTTGAAGAATGTTGTTTTGATTGATAATTCTTCTTATAGTTTTGCGTAATTATTGATTTTAACACAAAGTTAGACACCATTTAGAGAATGGGATTCCGATTTTACCATATTATCATGATGATAAAGATAATTAATTGATCAAATTGTATAGATATTTGTGCTAAAATATTTTACCTGCTGATGATGTGAGACCAATTATATTGTCACATTTCAAATTGGATAAATTAAATTAATATGAGAGTGTGGAAGAAGCAGTATAAAATTTATATTTTTGAAATCATTCTTATGTATATTTTGTTAACACATTTTTTTAAATGGCAAAATGCTTTAATTTAATACTTATATCAGATTAATGCAAGCCGAAAATGACCATTATTAAGAGAGTTCAAATAATATTAATCATCTTCGTTAAAAATCATCATATGTATGAAGTATTCCAAATATCGTTTCAGTTAATCAGGAATAGAAGAAAAATTTATGATGACAAGGATTTTAGATAGGTTGTCAAAAATTTTTACAATTTGGTCTCCGAAATTAATAAAGGTTAATAATCTGTCTAATGATTATTAGTTAAGAAAATATCAAAGGCTCCTATAAGGAAATAGCCTCAATAAATGAAATAAAAAAATACAATCAAAAATAAGTAACCATCAACTAAGGAACTTTCTTATTCTAAAAGGGATGTCAATTTCAGACCTGATTAATAAGCTTAATAATACTTTAATTCTTGTTTTAGTCAATAAATTATGAGTCACTTGTTGCCTAATTTTGATCAACCTTGCAATAAATAAACTCCATTCTTTTATGATAAACCAAAGCCTCATCTCAATTTTAAAAGAAATCAAATGCATATTTAAGCAGCATATTAAATTTATATAAAAGAGTTTGGCTCTGGATTAGTAGATAGTAGGGATCCGACATCATTTGCAAGAAAAGTTATGAATTCCAACTTTAATTCTAAAGTAAAAATTCATTAAGAACCAGACCCAATATTAAGAAGAGGAAAAGGAGAGTGATAGATCAGAAAAATTAAATAAGTCTTATGAAGATGGCAAAAAGAAACCTTTAAAAGAATTAGTTCGAGAATTTTAGAGTGATTAATGATTTTAAGAAAACAAACGAAGTAATAAAAAAAGAGTAGTATAAAAATTAATAACATAAGTAATTCTTCATAAATGTTCTAATTCTAATTTTAGTTTTATTTCTAATTCTAGTTTTCTTAATAAATAATAACATTATTGATAAATATTAATATAATTTCTTCTATATTTTTTTATATTCTTTAATTTTATTCATATATCATTAATTGAAATGTCATTAATTACTAATTTTATTTAAAAATGGAGTATTATTATATTTTATTCTTTTTTTAGACATAGTTTATTGATATTTAATTCTTAATTATAAAAGGGCAAAAAAACTAAATGAATTGTAATTGAAATTTTGTATTTTACATTAGAATACAAACTTGTAGGAAAAAAAGGAGAAGGAACATTTTCAGAGGTCATCAAATCATAATCATTCAAAACAGGAAACTATGTAGCTATAAAGTGTATGAAAAATAAATTCACATCAATTGAATAAGTAAAGAATTGTATAAAGATTAAAGGTCAATCATTTAAGAGAGATTCAAGCTCTAAGGAAATTGAGTCCTCATGAACATATCATTAAGTTAATCGAAGTTCTATAGTAACTTAATATATTACAATTATGGTAGTGATGAACCTACAGGAAGATTGGCTTTAGTATTTGAATTAATGGAATAAAATCTATACGAACATATCAAAGGTATCATAATAATCATTTCAATTAGGCAGAAGACAACCGTTGAATCCATAGAAAGTTAAATCCTTTATGTATTAACTGCTAAAATCTATTGATCATATGCATAGAAATGGTATCTTCCATAGAGATATCAAGCCGTAATAATTTATAATTTAAATAGTGAAAACATTTTATTGAATTCAGATCATTTGAAACTTGCAGATTTTGGATCATGCAAAGGCATATATTCAAAGCATCCATATACAGAGTATGAATTAACTTAATCTTGATAATAGATATATCTCTACTAGATGGTATAGAGCCCCAGAATGTTTATTGACAGATGGATATTATGATTTAAAAATGGATTTATGGGGTGTTGGATGTGTAATGTTTGAAATCATAGCTCTATTTCCTCTCTTTCCAGGAACTAATGAATTAGATTAAGTTAATAAGATCCATAATATTTTGGGAACTCCAAATCCAAAGATTTTTGATAGATTCAGAAAGTAATAGAATCTAATTATTATAATAGATAAGCAACTCACATGGAAATTAATTTCCCAAATAAACATGGTAGTGGTATTGATAAACTTCTCTAAGGATAATCTAAGGAATGTATCGATTTAATCAAAATGTTATTGGTTTATGATCCTGAAGAAAGAATTACTGCTCAAGCAGCATTGAAACATGAATATTTTAGAGAACTCTATGAAGCAGATGCAACTTAAAAGAGTTTTTAACATACTCTATAATAGATTCGTATCTCTAATCATCGAGAACAGTAATGAATATATTTATATATAGGAATGATAATTCTTTAGAAAGAAGTCAAAGAATTGAGGAAAATAAATAGATGCATTAACCAAATTTTAAAAAGACATAGAATTATTATGCAAAATCTTAAAAGAAATCTGGAGTAATTTTAATATTCTAAATTGTAGTTACCATCTTTATAATTTGATTTAAAAGTAGAGAGTATATATAAAAATACATAACATCATGATAGTGATGATGATTTAGACAAATAATCATCAAATAAATAAATGATGTTACCTGAAATCAAGAAGAAAAAAAAGTATGATCCCAAAGTTATTTATGGGAAATAATAATTTTAATCCAGTTAAGCATATTAGTTTAATTCAAAAGGTATATATATTTCATAAATTAAATAAGCCGGTAAAAAAATGGCACATGGATTATAAGCAGATTATATAGTTTATGGAAAGAAAGCAGTAAATTAGTAAATCTTAGGCTGACTAATTTAAATTTATGAATTTTATGATTCATCATCTATTTAATATCAATATGTTTTTTTGAATAATCATCATTTTCTAATTTTAAATTAAAAATGAAGATATTAGTGAAATTGTAGAATATATATTACTAATTTCATTTTAATCTAATCCAATTTCCCATATCATTAATGATATTATTTAAAATTGATTCTCTAATAAATTTATTGATTAAAAAACCAATATTGAATTAGAATTAGTCTCTACTTTTAGTGAATGTATATATATTATAATATCTATTTTATAATCCTAAAGCTCCAGAGCATAGTATGGTTACTAAAAGACATCTTACATACTTATTTACATCAATCAAGATCCTCTATCTATCAAAAAAAACAAAGATATTAATATTATCAAATTATTGATAGAGATATGTTTCAATGGGTGAAAATTATCAAATTGGCAAATATCATTATCCATTTATAAAATAAGAGCATTACTTATCTCTAAATAAAGAATCCATTATTAATTTTCTATTTATTTTAAAAAATGTTGATAATTTATGGATATATATGTCTCACTCTATTTAAGTTTACCTAATTATTACTATAATTCAGAATAATAAAAGTTTACAAATTTTATCAAATCCAAATCTTACTTTTCTTACAATAATTTTTGAATTTACTTCAGAAAATTTAATAAAAAAAATGAAACAACTTTAAATTTGTAATTATATTATTATTTTAATATTAGAAGCTTTATGCTCAATCGAACAGATAAGAGCTCATAGTTCAGACGAACAAATTAAAGTATGGAAGGTGCTTCTAGAAAAGATATTATTTCAGATTAAAAATCCAGAAAGGAATTAGGAGTTCCTTAGGAGGATGATAGAAAAATGATTGGATCAAAAGAAAGTGAAAAAAGATCTCAAATTAAAATTGGAAGTCATTAATAATCAAGAAAGACTCTTAGAGGATAGGATGAAGAAGAAAAAGGAGCAAAAGTTATAGGAGAAGGTAGATTAGATGAATATGGAGAAGAAGAAGAGGATATTGTTTGTTTAAGGTTTCCTCATTTATCATTTTGTCCTTATAATTATCAATCTCAATTAAAAGAGACTTTATTTGTTGAAATTTAACCTGGAATTTATCTTTGTGGATTTGCAATGGGTTTATGGACAAAATTTTTATTATAAAAAGCAGTAACAAATGTATTGAATTTAACCTCGATGGAATATACAAAAAGAACTAAATATTTTAAATATTTAAACATTGATGTTCACAATACTTCTGATGAGGATATTAAAAAACACTTTAGAATAAGTAATAGATTCATTAGAGAAGTAGAATATTTTAATAAATTATTATATAGACATTACTATAAAAAGGGAAAGTGCTTATTCATTGTAGAGATGGACTTAATATTGGTCCATGCTTTATCTTAGCTTATTTGATAAATGAGATAAAAGTACCTTTGAAATTAGGTATTGAAATGTTACAGAGTCTAATACCCCAATTAGATATTGCTGTTCATTTCTATAAACAATTAGAATAATATGATTTAGAGAAGTTGGCTCTATTATAAATAAAAACTAAAGATTCATGATTTTGAATTGATTAACAAAAATAAAATATTATTTTTATTATAATTGACATACTAATAATTTGCATTTCTCAACATTTAATGATTTGAAATTCAAATAGTTATTTTTCTATTATTTCTTATACTGAATAATAACATTTTTGAATTCTTTTTTGGTTAATATATTGTTAAAATATTTAAAGGTATTATTATTATATATAATAATAATCTATGGCTTAAATTAAAAATATATTAATCATTTTCTATCTCTAATATTTTATACTTTATCATTCCCCAATATATTTCTTAATTTCTCATTATTTAATTGTTTTATTAAAAATGTCTATGAGAATAGTATAATCTACAAAGAAGATTTTAGACATGTCTCATTCTAGTCAAACTGTACTAAATAGTCAAAGGCCTCAGATGTCTCTAATGCCAAAGGAAAAACTTGTTATAGGATTGAATTCAAAATAAGAGAAAAAAATAAATAAAATTGTTATCAAATTGGAAGATCATATAAACAAATCTATTGTTGATTAAATCAAACTTGAACAATGTAAACAGTTATAGGAAGTTTAACATCCTAAAGAGGATCAATTAGAAAATAAAGAAACAAAAATTTCAATGGAAATTACTCATACTCTTTTCGAACTTAAAGTACCCAAGGTTATTGTATCACAAACACTTGAGATTCCAAAAATCATAGTACCTTCTTAAATTAAGATTGAATAAGAGGATAAATTAATGACTTATAAATAAACGAATTTGCTGAAGTAATAATTGTTTTAGATTAAAAAATGCAATGAACCTATTTAATTACTTTTACAAGAGAATAATTAAAGAAAAAAATATTATTCAAGAGCATAAAGAGAGAAAGAAGATGTTGTTCATTGGGGACAAAGAAAATTACTTATTAGTGAGATATGGTTTTTGACAAAGTATGGTTGTTTATCTAGGAATATTATATATGCAGGAGCAGCTCCAGGATTTCACATATAATTGTTATCTGATTTATTTTAAAATCATAAATTTTATCTATTTGATCCAAATGACTTTTAAGTAAAATAGGGACCAAAGATTACTATTTACTAACGTTGTTTCACTAATGAAGAAGCCTAAAAATTTAAGGAATTGTTTTAGGTATAAATTAATTAACAAGAATGATTATCTATTCATTTCAGACATTCGAACTGCCAATTTTAAATGTATGACCCCTATGGAAAATGAGTAAGCAGTACTAAGAGACAATCAATTACAAATGGAATGGGTTAAAATCCTCTAACCTTAAAAAGTAACTAAATCCATTCTATATCTATTAAAGGCTATGTTGAAATTTCGTTGTGCTTATCCTACTGAAATAAATGAGCCAACTGAATTCTTTCAAGGTGAAATCTATATCCAAGCATGGGCACCAGCATCATCTACAGAAACAAGATTAATACCTCATAATTATGTTAATACAATATTCTATGACAATGTTCAATATGAGGAGCAAATGTTCTATCATAATGATGTTGTCAGAAAGAAATAGAAAGGTTCATTAAGTTGGGATGACAGAGCAGAAACAGAAGTGTTAATTGAGTATTTACGTAATACAGGAATCAATGAAAATTAAATAATTAAATAAGTAAACCTAATCAAAGATTAAATTACAAAAAAATTGAATTATTATTGAAAATGATTCATAATATATAAATTATAATTATTTTATTAATCAAAATTATTATATAATATTATAGATCATTCTATAATTATATTATAGAATATCCCTATTTTAAAAATCCCAATCTCTAAAGTATTACTATTAATTACAATGAAACATATACTCATATCCTTCTTATTAATTACTATTGCTTTCAGTAGCTTAAGAGGTTCAGAAAGAAAGAATAAACATCATGATCAAAATTCAAGGAGTTATTCTGAATCCTCAACCGAATCATATGATTATTCTAATCAATCATCAGATGATCAATACTATTCTAAAGAATCAAATGGTGAGTATTCATCATACAGTTCATCTGAAGATTCTGATTCTGATTTATCATATTCATCTTCAAGTTCTAATGATTCAGATAGCTCAGAAGATTAATAGAAATCCCATAGACCAAGACCAGATGAGTTTACCAGATCAGTATTTAAAACTTTAAAATAAATTGAAAAAGGAATACTTTAAGATTGGAGATTAACTGAAGATCCAGTTTTAAAAAATCAAATTAGAATTCTTCTAATATAAAATTTAGAAAATCTACTCCCTATAGCATAAACTCCAGTTGAACCAATTGAAATCTAATCTGTATCTTCTAGAATTCCTGAAGAAAATAATTAAAATCATCAAAGACCACCTCATCCTAGACCTCCTTAACCACCACATCCAGAACCTGAAGATGAATTTGCAAATCAAGTTTTTGATACTCTTCATTAAATTGCTCAAGTGATATTGGAATAATGGAATGTGGAAAAAGATGTGGAAGTAAAAAATCAATTAAGACAGAACATTTTAGAATAATTAGGAGCACTACTTCCTTAGAATGAATGATTATAAATTAACATAATTTTATAATGAAATTTAACTATTTTTATAATAAATCCAAAGAATATTGATCATTAATTATTATATATTTATAAAATCAACCATAATTACTATAATAAACTTATAAATAGTAGTATGATTATAATATTATAAAACGATAAAATGATATATAAAAAAATTAACAAAAATATTTGAAATCCTATAATATATTCTGTGATTGTGGAAAAATGATTTAGAATAATTATAACATAATTTATAAAATTAAAGTATAACTATGTTAAATTATTGTGTATGAAATACTATAAGAGATAAAGATATTATACTATTATTTCAATGCAGAAAATTAATTAAGTTTGAAGATTTAATAATATAAGTTTATAATCAATCTTAGTATTAGTAATCTTATGATTTTTGAATTTTAAATTATAGTAAACAAAAATTAGTAATATTTTATATATTTATTTAAGGATGTACTTTATAAATTCAAAAACTTATATCAGACCTCTCCTCTTCATCCCTTAAGAAGAAATCTTACTCAAAAGAGTTAATTTGATTCTTTTTAGGTTTTTATTTGAAATCAAATTTATTTTCTTATTTTGATTTAATTGGTAATTGATTGGTTTAAGCAGTGGGTTATTAATCTAATGATTTTGTATTAACTGATGTAGTTCTATTTGGTTTAATTATATCAATATTAATTGATAGATTCTTTTAATTAATTCTGGTAGTTTAGTTTGATTATTCTTTTAAATTAGTTTGGTTTTAGAATTAGCTTTGATTATATAAAGATTTTGTAGTTGAAACATTTTTGATGATTTAGCCATGTTTAAGAGAAACTTTTGATTTAATTAATTACGAAGCATATTGATATGAATTTAGATTAGAATTTTTATTCTATTTTTAGGAACTATTAATGAAATTTGACTTTAAACCAAGTTTAACTTGAGTATGATGTCTACTAAGTACAAATTATGATTTTGTCTATTTAGTAGTTGATTTAGAAATTTAATCATTAAGATTATCTAATTTGATAATAGTTCTTTAGTTATTATTATTAAATGATGTTTAAGTATGCATTTTAATAAATTACTTATTTTTTAGTTTTGGTAAATTAGCAAGTTAATCAAATGCCGGACGAATATCATAATCTACTTGAAGTAAGATCTTAATAAAATTAATATTATCTTCACTAATATTATTCTACCTACAATTATATTCAATATAATAATTAATTTATTGTTGATTCAGTTTAATTAATAAACTTGGGTCTTTTGTTCCAGTTGTCAGACTATAAAGTAAACTGCCAAACATCCAAGTTTTCATCAATTAGTTTTGTTGATAATTATTGTTATATAATTGTTGGTATTTAATTTAATGAAGAGTATATCTTAATCCATAATCAATAATGTAAACATTATTTTAATTGATATAAAGAAAATCAGGATTGAAATCATATACTCCTAAAACATCTAACGAATAGAGATCATATAATTATTTCAGATATGTGTTGAATTAATGATTAGTAATTATAGAAGGCATTTTAATCCAAGTATTACTATTTGAATAAAAAATGAATAGATTGTTATCATCTTCTATAGCTTGTTTAATGTAATGAAAATATTATATTTTCTTAGAAATGCTTTCATACATTGTTAAATCTAATTCAGATTTTGGGAATATATTGATGTAATATGATTAATTAGTTTCATCGAATCCACGATATAACAATTAGTAAGAGTAATCCAAAGAAATGGGTAGTTCAATTTAATAATTAGCAATTTACATAAATTAATAATTATGATTTTTATATTACTTATACAAATCTCTTAGTCTTTAAGTATCTCTCAATTTTTGGATCTTACACCCTTTTAAATTTAGAAATTGAAAATAGAAACACTTTAAGAATACTTTATGTCAGGTTCAATATAAGGGTATGTAGGATTAAATGAATATTCTGATTTAATTGAAAAATTGGCAAATTCATTTCCTAAATAAGTAACATTACAATCCTTTGGGAATACATATCAAGGAACATAAATAAAGACAATCAAAATTTCAGCATCTAAATCACCAAAATATTAAATTACAATCATAGGAATGTTGCATGGTAGTACTGATTTAATATCAGTTAATTATCTCCTTTATTAATTATACTATATAACCATATAACTTTCTAATAAGAATCCATTTATGATAACATTACTTTAAGATAAATAATTATGGATTACTCCATTAATAAATACAGATGGATTACAATATATAACATATTAATTTAGTCAAACTTTTAATATACCTCTCATATATAAAAATAGAAATCCTTCAAATTATAACAAATGTTCATAAACTGAATTAGGTGTAGATCTTTCAAGAAATTTTCAATTTAAATTTGGAATCAATGAAATAGGATCATCTTCAAATAAATGTAGTTAAATCTATAGAGGAAGAAATGCCTTTTCTGAATCTGAAACATTAGCAATAGATAAATTAGTTTAATAGATAAGACCAAATATTTTAATTGTAATTGGAGGTGAATTTGATAATATAATTATTCCTGATTTGAATTAATAGACTTATTAATAATTGCTTAATTAAGTTTCATAAGCATATAAATTAAAAATGGGAGATTATTAAACATTATATGAAATTGAAATTAATGGAGATTTATGTTAAAATTATATTTATCAAATCAATAACATATGTTTTACTATTAATATTGGATAATATACATTAAATTAGACAATCCTAAACTACTAAAATCTTTTATTAGATTTTTTATAACATTACAGTCCTTCACTACAGTAAATGATATTTATATATATCTAGAATATAATTCGAAAAACAATTTAATTGTTAAAATCGTAAAATGCTATGTAATCAACTTGAGTCTAATGAAAAAGGTTGTGTAATAATAATATCAGTTAAAAATATAGGATATAATCAATTTAATGATAACATAATTATGGATATTACATTGAATTAAGGTGGTGAAAAACTATATCAAATTGATTCTTATTTAATTGCTTAAAACATTAAAAATATAAGTGATTCTAAATTAGAAAATGGAATTGAAATTGATGAAATATCCACAGATCGAGTTTATAGATATTAAATAATTAATAACAGAAGATTAAATCAAAATTAAACACTTTACTTTATCTTCTTAATCACTTAATATGGATTCTCTTATAATTATATTAATACTGTTGAATCCATTGATTTAACATTCTCACTCTAAAATACTTTATTGAATACATAAGTGCTTAAAACATTAACACCTTCAGATTTAGCTGCTAAAAAGTCAAATGAACAACTACAATAAATATTTCCTAATCGATCTGAATCTTATGTTTTATTAATATGTTTTGCAGCTATTTCAGTTATTTTCTTTTTCTCATGGATTATTAGAAAATTATATATTTGGATATATGATCCACATTAATTTATTGAAGAAAGTAAATCTAAAAGTGGAGGATCATCAGATGAAAAGAATTTAGATTAATTTCAATCTCATAATCTAATAGAAAGTAGATTAAATACATAAGTCAAATTATCATAAGTTGCTCCATTTAAATCAATAAGATAGAATGAATCACCTCCTTTGAGTAAAGGGACTATTAATTAAGGATAATAAGAATAAAAAAGAATTGGTAATTAATTATTACCTCATCTAAATCCTATTGAAATTGAAAATAGAGTACATAAAGCATTAGAAATTGTTCAATCATAAGAAGATTTAGATAAATAAGAATAAGAATAATAGAATTAGAATATTAATTAATATTATAATATATAATAATAGAATTAACATCATTTGGAATAAGAAGTATTAGTAAATACTCCAAATATTAAATAAAATGGTTAAAATGAAGATTAATTAGTTAAATTTGAAGATTGATATAAATTATACATAATATTAATTAAATTTAATCATTCTTATTCTTATGATCAATTTTAATTCTCCTTAATATTTTTTAATATTGATGGATACAATTTTACATGAGCATCAACAGCCCATACATAATCTAAATGAGCATAATCATCTATGAATTCTACTTTCATATGTGTTTAATCCAACTTACTTAACATTTTACCCAAATCATCTGTATCTGTAATTACATCTTTTGTTCCCAAATAAAAGTATTTAGGAATTATAAAATTCTTCAAATTATCTACTGGATATGGAGGAGGATCTCTTTATCCATATAATATTAAATTTTAACTAGTTCCATAATCAAAATATTATAATTATTTTGATCTAAAGAATTACATCCTACAATTATATAAATATATACCATTATACAATATTTTTAGATGCTGAACCTCCAGGCTCATGAGCAACCATATTACCGAAACGATTTAAATCGATCTTATTTTTTTATGGAAAACCACACAATTAATTTGTAATTTCGAAAAAAAAGCTTCTAAATATAGAAGGTATCATATAACAAAGAGCTCCTATTTTAATATTAAAACCATCATCAAAAACAAAGAAATAGGGAATTCCCAAATAATATATCAATTCAAATAAATATAATTTAATAGCCCATTACAAGAAATTTGATCTCTAAAAAATATAAATAATTAGGATTACCAAATTAGAAATAAACATGGCTGGACCAAGTCCAATAAAACATTTAAGATGATGTTAAAATTCAATGTTATTTGATAAATAAGCAAATGCTTATGTAGTACCTTGGGAGTGACCTAAATATATTACTTTTGCTCTTTGAGTAACATTTTTAACATATAATATGATAGCCTTGAAGTCATATTTTGCTAAGTCATCAAAGGAACAATCCCAATATTGTTGATTATAATTTACACCTTATAATTTAGTATGTCCAATACAATATTTATTACCTCTATTATTGGCTAGCCATACGTCATAGCCTTATTCAGCTAAGATATATGGCAATGTTAGCTTTTTATCGTTATTGATAAGCCAAGACCATGAACTATCCAATAATCCATGTTACATAATGATTGGATGAGGATGTGGATGAGTTACATCTTTGTAGATTCTCCAAATTGTGAGAATGTAACCATCTTCTGTAATTATTTTATGGCTTTCAAAATTGTAACCTTAATCAATGATCATGTCAGCTATAGATATGATAATTATTTATTATTACTTGCTTAAGTATATACTCCATAATATGGTTTATGTTTGTTGAGTATTTTACGTAGTTTATGGAAAACAGTTTGATTTCTAGATTCGCATTCTTTTACAAATAATGAAAGTACAAAATCTGTTAAATAGATTGCTATGTAGGCTGTATAATAAGTGAATGATAATCCTACATTCGCAAATGGTTTAATTACCCAAATGAAAAAGTAAAATGTGATTGTTTGAATTATTTAAAAATTCATAAATAAGAAGAATTATTATGATAATTGTGTTTCATTTATAATTAATCAAATTTGCCATTCTTCCAATCCTGCAGCTTTCTTTTGACTATCCATGACTCCATTGACTAATGTGCATGTTAACCAAGCAGTTATGAACATTTTGCCATAATAAGGTAAAGCACCTGCATAAAATCCATGTACTCTTTCATAGAAGTAAATTTGCTTGAAAACATCTAAATAATTTTAGTAATTTAATCTAATATATTTTAAAAAGACTATAATTACCTATTTTTAGAGGGATCTGGGAATGCCTTAAGAACTCTGGTTTAGACATTATCTAAGGGTAAGGTGAAAAGTGTTGCCCAAAATGAAGCCCAAGTTAATGCAAGGAAATGATTGAATCCAAAATCTCCGAAAACCAACCAAATTTTTTCCTTCATGTAATCATATGGTCCTGTTAAGGATACGTTTAAGGCTGCTAATTTGACAACATGAGCAAAGGCTCCTCTGAATAATGCTCTGCTTCCTCCTAATGTTTTAGTTGATTATGTTACCTTCTTCAACCTAGATTCTATTAATGGCATCAAATGCTGATTTGTAATTTCTTCTTAAAGATTAAGGGAGACCACCATCAGCTATCATTCTGACTTAAGCTAATTCAAATGGAGATGTAACAAATGCAGCAAATGCTCCAACAGATCCAGAGAGAACAGCCTTTTCTCTTAGTGTCAAATCATTGAATGGTTTGACTGGCTTAACTTAATCGTATATTGCTTTATATCTAAATGTTTAAATATTTGATACAAAAAGTTTCTAATAAAGAGATAGCCCAATCTACTGTATAATGCTGCGTCAAATCCATAATAAAAATGACTCAAGCCTCCTCCAGTTTCATGAATTTCTCTGAATATTCTCCATGGATTCACTCCCAATTCATTTTTCAATTATCTCAAACCAATCCCTTCGGTTCTGACTTAGATTCTAGTTTTAACAAATTCTGGATGTAAATTATATAGCTGTTACCTAATGGTTATGTGAAGAATGTAGCAATTGCACCTACTGGCACTGAAAGACCAACTACTTCTGTAAGAGATGGCTCCCAATATCTCTTGTATGATCCAAGCATTTTATTTAATTAATTAAAGATATTTAAATTTGATATAAAACAAAATTTATCTTCATCACTTTTTATTATATTAGAATCACACACACTCTCTTTTTACATCTATATTATCTAGTAACTTAATAATAATAATAATAATAATCAATATAAAATTTATCGTTTTTTTTTAATGAAACACAGTATAATTTGGTTGTGTTTTTTTGCCTTATTCTTCACAAATGCCATAAACATGTAAGCTAAAAAAATAAATAGAGTAGATAGGAAGAATAAGTACCTTTATAACCTGAGTAATAAAAACAAAAGATTCAACATATCAAACTCAATGAAAAGATTGTGAATGTAAAAGACTCCTAAGATTTCTATAATTTTGTGGCTTTGAATCAAAAAAAATTGTTTGAAAATTAATTCATTTAGAAATCTTCTGCTTCTGAAAATATGAGATTACATAATTTTAAAAACATCCAATACACAGCAGATATAGGAATTGGTTAATCTGGAAATGTTTTTAAAGTTGTATTAGACACAGGTAGTGCCAATCTTTGGATTGATTCAAATAGATGTTAAGAGCCAGGTTGTTTGAGACATAAACAATACAAACACGAAGATAGTCATTCGTTTTTGCCATTAAATTAAGAATTGACAGTAGAATTTGGTAGTGGAGAATTAAAAGGAATTGTTAATTCTGATACTATATATTTTGGAGATATCACATTACCTAGATAAAACTTAGCTGAAATCACAAGTGAAAATGGAATTATTTTCAAAAGTCTTGATTTTGATGGAATTCTTGGTTTAGCATATCCATAGATGGCTCCAAAAAATTTTAATCCAGTTTTTGATAATATGATGTAATAAAATGCTTTAGAAAAAAATTAATTTGCCTTCTATTTTGCCAAAGATCCAAATGATATTACACATAGTGAATTTACTTTAGGTGGATATAATGAAGCTCATGTTGATGGAGATATTAATTATCATAATGTTATTGATAAATATTATTGGATGATTAAAGCTGATAGTATTTTAGTAGGAGGTTAAGACATTGGATTATGTAATGATGGATCATGTAAATTAATTGTTGATACTGGAACATCCATTATGAGTGGACCCATGGATGATGTAGGTACTTTATTAAGGAATTTGAATGTAAAGGATCATTGTTCTGAAGTCAAATCCCTTCCTACAATTACATTCAAAATTGATGGAATTGATTACACTTTAGAACCTGAAGAATATGTCAAACCTACAACTACTGATAGTTCTGCATTTGCTGAAATGAATAGCTCAGAAGATTGTATATAATTTAAAAATCTATATAGAATCAATGGTTGAAGTAAATAGTTGGGATTGTATTGCTTCCTTTATTCCCTTAGATATTCAAGAACCTTAAGGGCCAGCTTGGATTCTTGGAGATGTCTTCTTAAGGAAATATTATAGCATCTATGATAGAGATAATGATAGAGTAGGCTTTGCCAAATCTAAATAATGATTGATCACCCATTATGAAACTAAAATAATTAATATACTTATATTATATTTTATTTTATTGATAATTTGTTGTCTGTTAATGCCATAATTAACTCCTTAAACACTTAACAGGTTGTGTGAATACTTTTTGTATTTAGCAAAATTAGAGTCAGAAATTGAAATAATTCGAAATGTTCTTTGTGAACATGATTATTTCCATCCATTTTTCATTTTTAAATACATTGATGGAATATCCATAAATCCAAAAGGTTAATTGAGCCCTGCCGATCTTCTCTAATTTCTAGAAGATAATGGTTTTGTACATAATTTGGAAGAATGTATATAATTTATAGACTTATATGATGAAGAATCTAAAGGATTTCTCCTATATTCACAGTAACTATTTATATTTATATATAATAGATTCTTAAGAATATGCTTACCTTAAAACAATGTAGCCTTAAGATAAAAGATTGCACTTTAAAATATTGATGTTCCTCATTATGATCAAAGGATTTCATACACATTATCAAAATTAATAAACTACGAAATAAAATCTATGGAAATTACATCATCATTCGTTTAAAAACTATAGGATTGTTCAGATTACAGTCCAACTGAATGTTTTGAATAGATGAATCCCCAAAAATCATAAGGTTTAATAGTCTCCAATTTTAAAGATCTCTTTTAAAAATCAGCCATTATTATCTATCCTCATGAACTTCAATTTTTATTTAAAAGATTTGATCTTCTTAATGATGGTATCATAGATAAATCTGAATTTATGAAGTATTTTAAGAATAGAGTCATCAATCCAAAAGAATATAAAACTCCAATTAAAGATAAATCTTATCTACAAAATTTTAAAGATAAAAGTTAATAATAGAAATAATTATAATCCCAATAATCAAATAGATCAAAAAAAGCATAAACTACTCCTATAAAAAAATTAAATTCTATTTTAAAATAAACAGGATAATCACCAAAAAAGGAATTTGATAATTAGAGATCAGTTAGTTTTATTGAAAGTTCCAAGAATTCCAAAACTTAAAATTTAAATTAAAGTTACATATTCAAAACTCCTAATCAACCTAATAAAAAATATATCGATTAAAAAACAGAATTAAGAGCCTAAATGTAATTATTCAAAGTTTAAAAATAATAAAAAGGTTAAATTAATTCCACAATTAAGAAAAATATTTAAAATTCTACTTAAAAAAAAGTAATAAAGAATTCTCCTAAAAAAAATAACAATTTGTTTAATCCTTCTAAATTTTTAAAAGATACTCTAATTTAATTATTAAACTTTGAAAAAGAAATCGAAAGAATTAAACTTAATTTATAAGCAACTCCTGATTTCTCTCTTTGCAATACTTTCAGAACTTTAGATAAAAAGAAAATGGGATTCCTAGTAGCTGAAGATCTAGAATAATTCATTAATAAATAAGACCTTTCACTTATACTAAAGAAGGCTTCTCTTGATGGTAGAATTAAATTTAATTAATTCATACAATTAATATCTCCATTGTCTATATATCATTAAGAACAATAATTTATTAGAGAACAGAGTCAAAATCAAAATTATATTATTCAAGGAAGAATAAAATAATTACTCTGTCTTTTATTTGAAAAATTATACTAAAGAGAACTCTTATTCAATTAAGTAAATTAGGAAATGAAAAACAATTAATAATGTGATATAAAATACTTATTTATGATGATTGATGAAGATTCATGTGATAATGAAATTAGCTTAAAAGATGTATCTATATCAAAACTACTATATACTAGCTTGATTCCTTTTTGTATAAGTAACAAGTATAACCAGAATTAGAAGACTTAGAATTATTATTCAATAGACTGGATACTGATAGAGATGGAAAAATATCCTTTCCAGATTTTATCAACATTTTTTCCTTTTGATTATATATATATATATTTATTATTTTAATGCTTCAATTTTTTTAAAGATTAGAAAACCCTGATTCAAAGTTTCATTTATATGATTCATTTTACAGAATAAAAAAGATAGAGAAGGTATGCATTAAAGAAAATGTAGATGGTAATTTTATTATAATACTATTTATGTAGGTTTATTAATAATAAATGGAATAGATTCAAAAGATAATTATGAATATACAAAATTGATGAATTGGGTGTTTCTTGGTCACAGTGGAATTGAGATTGAAACCAATGAATATTTGGATAACACTTTGAGTGAAACAATATTTATAATAACCAAAGATCATATGAGAGCATATTGTGATTAACAAGGTTTTAAACAATTAAAACCTTGTTTATTATAAATGCCAAATCTTAAATTATTTGTCCCTACAATAAAAGAGGATGAAAATAAAGATGAAAGTGAAGTATTAAAAATGGCTTAATTTGTGAAAATGATGTAAGGGCTAAAAAGAATAGGTGTATTGTTACCATAAGAGAAAAATAGAAATATTGAAAAATGGCCAATCATCTAAGGTTATGGTTTATTAGGAAATGGGTTTTTTTCTATGCAACATGAAATTGTGAATATGACTGAAAGAATAAATTAGTTATATAAACCACATGATAAACATTCAATGAAAAACTTAATTAATGTCATATCATAAAGATTAAATGGTCATGTTTCAGGATCTTTATAATTATTATCAGAAATACCTATTAAAAAAAGACCAGCAGTTACAAATGAATAAATGGTTGAAATATTTCTAGACACATTTGAAATTGAAGACAATAAATATATTAAACGAAATAATAAATTAATTCCAACAGTCACTTTTGGAAATTGCAGTTCATAAGAGAAATTACCATTACATTTAACAATGGAAAGCAGTGATCTTTACTCTTCTTTACGTTTTTCTAGAACATATTTTCTTACTAAACAAGTGTGTAGAGAAAATGTTATTATTCCAATACATGATGATTTCGAACATTTTGTAAAGGAATATCAATATCAAATAGTTGAACATTCATATCATAAAGACGAATGGTATTTTATAATTATTATTTAAGTTTATTAATTGAAATTTATAAAACATTAATTGAAAGTTTTTATTCTGCCTTATAAATGATATGTTAAGATTATAGAAAGATGACTAATTAATTGATATTTGAATTATGCTAAGAAAGATTGAATCCAACATTAACTAATTATTAGTTGTAATTTCTAAATGATAATCTGATTGTCTCTGTATCCAGTTATAATTCCTTTGGTGAAGAAGTACCAATTAATTTTAAAGATCCTATATCTTTTAAACTCACACCTTAATTCTTTTCAATTAGATTAGAGTATAAGAGTATTCCATCTTAAGTAGTCAAAGGAACTATTTTAGGGAATGTCATTTTTTCTGACTCATTCATTCTTTAAGAGAATTGTTATTATATAATTACTAGTAAAATTCCTCATCTTTAAATTATCAACACAGATGCTAGATTTTCTGATGATATTGAGAAAATTAAAAAGAAATTACCATTAGAGAAATTAGGTTAATAGATTTCAGAGAAAGTTGATAAAAATAGATTATTTATACCATCTAAACATGCTTTATTAGATATACCTATTTAAATTGCTTCATATATATTACATGAAAATGGAATCAGAATTTTTACTAATGAGATGGGTTGGTTCTTCATTTTGTTTGATTAAATGAAAAAGATTAAATTTACTTAGGGATTGGAATCTGTTTGGATGATATTTATGACTGAACCTATACTTTGTGCATCTTTATAGGCTAAAACTATTGCATTAGAATTTGTTGGAAAGTCTGTTGATTAAGTGTATATGAAATTGATTAATATTCTAAAAGAAAATGAGATTAAAGTAGATTATACAGATAATCCAAAAGAATTCTAATTGACTAGATTAGGATAGATGATTTTGAAGAAAGAACAAAAAGTTCCATTATTAGGAAACATGATTAGAGAATCTTCATTCTTATTAGATTATTTAGAATCAAAATAATTAATTATCTTAACACAAGTTAAAAATGATCTCAAATTATTAAATTATTTAGCTTTACAAGATGAATCTAAATAGATGGATGATAGAATTGGAATTATTTTAATTACAGGCACCTATAGTAGTGGTAAGACTAAATTTGCTTAATCTTTATAAAGATATGCAAGTGATTTTAATTAAAAAGCATAGATTTTAAGTTTCAGTTTGTTGGAATAATCTATATTAGATGAAGAGGGATGGTTAAATAAATTAGAAAATCAATTGAAGTATTCTCAAGAGTAATGCATATGTGTTATACCATTTTATTTGTCTATTGATATTATAGTGTAACAATTAAGTAATGGAAAACTTAGTAAATATGTATATATTAAGAATGTAGTTAATAAAATCAACATTAATAATATTTATCAAAATGAGAATTGCTAACCTATGTAAATTTATTTATGATATCTTTTTAGTGATAATTTGGTAAGTCAAAGTCTACCTGGTTACTGTTAATTTACAATTTTGGATTCCTTTGGAAATGAAGAATCTGAAGTGGAAGAATATTTTAAGATATTTAGAACTGTTTGTATTAAATCTAACATCTATCGTATTACTAATAATATGATATAATCATCTGTGGCAAAAGAAATATATTAATGTACATCATACAATTCAACCTAAAATGTATTTCTAAGAAGTAAATTGGCATCATATAAAAGTCAAATCGTTCCTTTACAAAAAGTATTTATTCACAATACTATTCCTTGTGTCAAATAATTCAGAAAAATCTTAAGGGAACTCTTTAAGACTTCACAATAACAAAAAATATAAACAGTTAATTATGAAAAACTTTCTGAAATTGATAAATTTATATATAGAGTTAAAGAATTCAACTCTCCTCAAAAACCACAATTATAGTATCTTAAAGCATTTCTTAGATTTGAAGGATAATTAGATAAGTTATATGAATATACAGCAAATCATAATTATATTGTTGAAAGATAAGTCAAATCTGTCAATATTTTACTTAAAGAATAATTGATTAATGGTACTAAACTTTAAATACCTTCTTATGTTGGATGGGATACTCACTCCAATTTAGGCTTTTTTATGGTTGGTTAAAATATTTCAAAAGATATCTGCCTAGAATATATTGGGGAATTAATCTAAAAAATGAAACCTTTATAACCTCTTCTAATAAAAAATAATTTATCTAAAGATATTATAAAAGATATTGAATTTCAAAATAGAATCATTGGATTAGAAAATGGAGAATTTTATGATGGTCAATTTATTAGAAATCAAGATGGAGAAATCTTGGAACACCATCCAAAATTAGAAATATTTATTTAAGAGTATTTAAACATTTAAAATCAGAAGATAGTTCAATAGAATAACTAAATATAGTAAGAGTGGAATAATTATTTAAATGCTCTTAAGTGTTGAGATATTATTGCTAAATAATATTTTTACAATATTATGTTATAAAAGTATTATTAAAAATATTCAAAAATCATCTAAAGTTAAAATTGGCTTATTCTATACAAAATAATATCCCTTTAGAAATTTTTATTAACAAATTCCATTTGCCATCTAATCAAGAGATTTCTTAACCTCTTATAAATGAGTTGACAATTTTGTAGATTTTGTAACCTAATCAGTTGTACTCTCTGACTAAGAATCCTTTTTATCTAATTTCTTAACTAATGATGCATCTGTTGTTTTGATCATCCAAGTTGTCTAATCATTAGAGGAGTCTTGCTTTTAAAATATTATTATAATTTCTTACTTTCTTAAGAGATCTGTTATTTGTTTATAATTTAGCAATTGAAACTGGAGAATTGTTTGTATTTGGAGAATGGTATGTGAATTTTTTTCTTATGTCTATCTATTAACTACTCTATACACTATGCTAAGAAGGTTACTTTTGTAATAGAATTTGATATTTTACTTAATTTAGTTTAGATCTCATCTATTGCATAGAAGAGTAATACTGTATCTATACAAGTTATTTTTCTACTTTTGCTTGTAAATTGGATATAATTCTTTAACAGGTTTCTGCTTATTAATATAAAACAGCTGAAAGTTCTTAGTTTTATTATTTTAATTAATTTTTTTTCTAAAATTTATTAAAAATGGTACTTTGGATAAATTTAATACTTTATTTTGAAGATTCTCTATCTCTTATTTTTGATCATCTATGATCTTTTCATATTGGATTAGTTTTCTCTCATCTGTTTTAATCTAATTATTATTATCTATATCTATCCACCTTTTATCATTACTCAAGCATTCATCAATTCTTTAACTATTATTTAATCTAGAAGTAAAGACTTCAAATTAGTTTGAATTGAAAAAATCATGAACCTAATCTTATTAGCTTTATTTCATTGACTATTATTATTAAAATGATTCTAAAACACCTAAAATTCTATTAAATTTATATACGTTTAAGATCACAAAGTTCTTTTTCTGTATTATTTAATTTTGACTCTAGAATATCAATCTCTTTCTATTATGATTCTATAAATTTAGTTTTATCTAGATTTGTTAAGCTTGTAATTTTATGAATCTCCACTATTTAATATTTTGTTTAATATTTTTCTAATATGTTTTAGAATTCTAAAATCATTTGTTCTTATAGAATAGCTGATGATCTTTCAAAGAATTCATAAAATTATTTCTCTATCTAAGAGACTGTACAATCTTATAGAATCAACTCAAAATTTTTCTAATTATTTTAATTTCCTTTAAATTCATACTAGGTATATAATACCTAATTATTTTAGATTTTTCAAACTTTATTATAAATGATGATTTTCTGATTATACTTCTGAAAGTTGATTTTAAAGTTTTGCAATCTTATGTTTATAATCCTCTTATTATATAGATTATTAAGATTAATTTTATTATTATTCTATTCTATAAAGGAGTAAAGCATTTTTCTTTTCCAATTCATCATTAAGCTAGATTTATTAACATATATTATTTGGTATACCTGAATTGCATTTTTCAAAAGAAGTCTTAGTCTTTCAATTGTTCTTTAATCCTCATTTCTTGTGGTGTTTTCTATTATATAATTTTTTGATGTATTATTTGTAGACACTAGCATAATATTAACTAACAATTATAAAATTATAATTATAAATAATAATAATTAAATATTTCATATATATATATAATTTAGATTAGAAATAATACACAACATCAACCTTACAATCTCAATAAACATTCTTGAATGAATGTTTTAGTATCCTTTATAATATAATATACTCTTATTAATTCATCGAATTGTCTATTCCTATAGACAGCTTCTGTATCACAAGAATCACATTTATATTTATAACACTTTTCACAACAGGAGTGTCCACAAGGAATATAAGTACGTGGTTTTTCAAATAGATTTTAGCATCTACAACAACGAAGACTTAATTTAAGTTCAGTTTCTAAGACTTCAATTCTCAATAAATGTTTTTAAATTTAATTTTCTTATGCAGACTTATCAATTTAATGATTCTATTAAATTAGTTTTTCTTTAAGAGATTAATTTTAAAATAATAATTATTATAAGAGAGATTTATCTTATTGAAGGTCGGTTTTTTATTTTGGAGAGAGTTCATTAGGTAAAGTTTATATAGGTTTTTTATTTATTTCTTAACGATCCTTTAATTGTTTTTTAATATTCTCTAACTAATTTTAAAGATTTGAGATGAGATTGTTTTATTATTCAATTTGTAAATTTGCATTTTTTAATAAAAGGGTTTCTTTTTTTATAATTTTATCTTATTCTTCAATTTATTAAAGTAATTATTAAATATATTATTAATTCTATTCTTAAGAGTTTTTGTATGAAAATTAAATTTTCTAAATATTATTTACATTTATATTATTGTCTTCTGTTATAAGTAATTCATATTAGTAAATTTATTTCAATTTAAATAGTAAATCATCATATCTTGTATCTAATTCATTTGTTTTGCATTTAGAATTAGAAAATTTTTGAGTTTATTTTAGTAATTCATCAATTTTCTGATCATAATTCTTTTTTGTAATTTTTTCATTTAGTTATTAAAGATCTAATTATTGCTAGAAAATATGAATAAAATAATTACTTTAAATTTTTAACATTATGTACATGAGGATGGAGAAGTTATCTTCATTACAAATGATTTATTTGTTTAAACATATTCTAGTTATTTTTATAAAGATTCAATTTAAGATTTTAAAGAGTAAACATCATGATGCTCACTTTTTTATAAAAGCATCCTTTTTTAAGATATATCAGGAGTTGTAGCAGTTGGTCTTGTTTTTTGCAGATTTCTTAAATTAGGTAGCATTTTTAATTATTTATAATTAAAAATTAATGAGATGAAAGTTATTGATAAGTGTATTAAGAATAAATTCAATTAAAAATATAAAATATTAAATTATATGTTTAACAAAAAGAAACTATTACAAAATATCATAGAACTCTATTATGAGTAAGTAGAATAGATGGAGTCTAATTATGATATTGATAATAGATAAGCTACTAAAATATAGTCTTATTATCGAATGTATGTGTTGCATAAATCTTACAAAAAGAATTAAAATGCAACAATCACAATTCAAAAATATTGTAGAGCTTATTTAGCAAGATAATCAGTAAAATAGAAATTAAGTGAATGTAAAAATAGAAGAAATGTATTAACTGTTCTCATATTCAATTAGATTATTTATCTATCTCATTAAGCATAAACAATCCAAAGATATTTCAGAGGATATATTTATCGCAAATATGTTCATGATTTTTACTTAAGAAAAAAGTAACTTGAGTTAATGAATATCAAAAATTAAAACTTCTTACAAGAATTACGTTCAAAAGCTGAATAAGAAAAAGAAGAAGAAAAAATTAGACATGAATAAGCTGCCAAATAAGAATTCATGAAATTAGCTACTAATTTACATCATTTAACATCTACCAAATCTCAACCTGGAATCTATAAGCCTCCATTTGCAAAAGAAAATCCAAAGGCCTTTGATATTGAAGTTGAAACTTAATTAAAAATTGCATTTTAAACTAATGTACAATGGAAAAGTTAAAAGAGAAGTGGAAGTGCCCAAAGAGCAGTCACCAGTCAAGGATTCAGAATTAGACCATAATCATAGAAGCTCAAATGATTTTTAATTATTTTATTGTTTTACTGTAATTCAAAACACATATAATACTATAAGATTGATTACAAATAAAGGCAAAAATAGGATGCTGAGGTAGTAATAGAATAAATTACCTTATCCAATACATCTTCCTAAAAAATTGCTATGATGATGAAACTCTCTTATACATACATTGCAAGTCTCACAATGATAAGTGTCTTTTCGATAATGAACTATTTCACAGATCTTGTATAATACATATAAAATACCTAGCAATTATTATGTTTATTATAAGTCTCCTGAAGGGAAGTATTTATTCCAGGATTTATAAGAGCAGCAATAATATAACCTAAAAGTTCTAATACATTAATAATGATTGTAATGCAAAATTAAATGGTCTTTTGTTTAGGTTTTGTAAACTGGAAATATGTAATGACAAATAGTCCAATTATTACAAATAGATTGATTATCCATTATGGACTAATAGCAAATATTGGTTCATCATTTATAAAAATTAAAGGAATATAGTTTCCAAAATGTCTTTTCCACTCTTTAGCTTAGGTCAATTTCTTTTTAGTATCTTCATCTGAATCTTGATCAAAATATTATTCCTCCTCTTTCATCTTATTGATTTTTAATTCTATTTATGAAATTTCAGAATCATCCAATTCTTTTTCTATTGGTTTCTTTGAATCTTCTATATTGTATTTGATATCTTCTTCATCAAATTCAACATTCATATCATCATCATCATCATCTTATTTATCAAAATATTCAAAATCCATAAAGTAATTATTTTACTAAATGAAATTGAAAAATATAATTTATAAAATAACATTAATTATATTTAACCAAACAAGCCTAAGTAGAAGATTAGAATAAGATAAAAAAGTAAGACAGAATTAAATTTTGGAATTGATTAAAATATTTGAATAAGTTTAATACAAATCGATATTGCATAATAATTTTCTTATTAGCTTAAACAGGCAACTTTCGATTTTTCACGTGTGATAATACTAGAGAATAGTGAAAAAGATTATATTCAATTAAAATAAGATTAAATGGTACTAAAGGTAATTTCATTAATATAAATTTAGGACAATTTATTAGATAGGTTCTATTATAAGGAATATGATTCCATTAGAGTTGATGGCTTTGTATATGTCTAAATTAAATGAAATAACTATCCAAACTTTTTTGGAATCAAATAATAGATAATTTCCTTATAAGAATATCTCATATATATATAAGCATAGAGAATAGTTATGGATAAAGATATTACTTAAAATATATAAGGAACGGAGTAGGAATCAATTGATCATTTAAAAATCAATTCATAAAAAGAGTATGTTTGAAGTAGAAAATTATAATTGTCTTGACTAAAATAAATCTACTGATTTAATGGTAACTTAAATAAAATCTGAAATAATATAAAAATAGACTGAATCTCTATAAACAAAATCTACAGTAATAAAAACAGAAAAATTAGATTTTTTTCCATTAGATGAACCCATATCATAATTTGAAGAATTCATAGATTATGTATTAATTTATATAATATTTTAAGAGTTTCGAATATAATAAAAAGTAAAGAGAATTTCTTTGAGCAAAATGATTTTCCTAATATTCAAGAACTTTAAATTAATTAAATTATATAAAATAATCAACAAGAAAATTAATTTGCAAATAGTCTATTGAATCAAGAATTTCTGATAGATGAACCTAAGGATGCTCTTAAATAAAATGCTTAAATAAGAATTTTAGATTCTTAGATTCAAGAAGAGGAATAAAAATATTATGATAATGAATGTAGTTTCTAAGTTTAAGAATCAAATTTAATATTAAGTAAAAATAAAAATGAAATTTTTGAAGATTAAGTAAATGATTAATTGGCAGAATTTGCAACCTAAATATAACAATATTAATCAAATCATAATTAAAGTTTAAATAATGAAACCTAAAATATTTCTATTCATCAATTTGAATAATAAATATATTGAAAAAGAATTGGAATTACATTTAGTTGAATGAGTTCTTTAATTTCATTGCAAAAAGAGTTTTGTAATTTGAAAATTAGTTAAATCAATTACTAAAAGAAAATAAAGATTTAACAAAATAATTTTATAATATTTAAATAGAAAATCAATTCTAACAAGAAATCTTAGATTTTTTAAATCTAAATTGTCAAAATCTTAATTAACAATTAATTAATGAAAATAGGATTTTAAAGCTAAATTTTCCAATAAAATGAATAATAATAATAATAATTGCTTGCACATTAAAAAATATAATAATTAATTGAAAGGACTCAACTATAAAATGTTTACCAAAGTTAATAATATAATTTATAGAAAAATAAAGAATTTTTAGATCAAATTGAATTTAATGTAGATTATAAAGGAGATATTCTACTTAAGTTAAACCAATAAAATTCTTAAAGTTTTAACTTTGATGATGAAATTTATAAGATTCAAGATATTTTGGTGTAATAAAATAGGTTTTAATATAATTATTAACACATTTCTTTTACTAATAAATTCAAACTATCAATTAATAATATTATCCATCTGATATTGATACTTCAACAATACGAATAATTATTAATGCAGATTTTGGTTTTACTCAAATTCATAGAAATAGAGAGGCTTTGAATACAGAGATTTAAGATAAAATTGAATAATATTGATTATCTAATGAAGAACAGAGCGTTGGGGAAATTAATTAGAACAGAGGTGTATAATAATAAGGGATAGAGTATACATTTTAAATTTTAGACTTCACTTTAGGAATAAACCTATTAGGAAAGAGATCAGTAATCATAAAATAAGTTTAAAAATAAGAAAGTAAAAAATTTTAAATTTTATGATTAAGTTGGAAAGAGTTTCAATGATAGCTAAAAAGAAGATATATTGAATCATCAATAATTGAAATAGATAAGAAATAATCATAGGAGTAAGGGTAGTGATATTTAGAATAATTAATAAAGAAAAAGGGAATAGGAAATATGTTGTAATGTACATTAATCATTATTTGATTGACAATGAAATATTCATATCAAATAGATAAAATGGTGTGTTGATTAAATAATACTTGATTAAGATAAGTGCGTAATTTTATTATTATTTTATGTTCGAATTCTAAAATATATATACAGATTATAAAATTTTATTGTTTCTTTTGAGTAATTTATATAAAAGTAGTTCAAATCTTAAATAAGCATTTGATTGTCCAATAATAATAATTAATTAAAAGATGTCTTGGAGAAAACCAAAAGTAATTCATTAAGAAAGTGGAAATGGCTATGAAATAAGAGGATTCGTTGAACCAACATTCAAAAGAGTTCCTCATTGTCACAATGATGATGATATCGATGTAGACATTCCAAATGGTGACCTTGAATTTGGTAAGATAATGTACGGATAAGCATGTGCTGGTTGTCATGATTTAGGTATTCATTAATGTTTAATTTTTTTATAGATAGTGATCTTGATCAAGGACCAGCTTTGAGAAATGCTTTTTTAAGAAGACTAGGATCAAATAAGAAATTTTCTAATTATGGATGGGATTTAAGAGCAAGAAGATTGTATTGGACGAGGAAATTGTTATGGGATTTCTTGTAAAACCCAGAGAAAATGTTTTTAGATACTAACATGCAATTTGATGGAGTACATAAATAATTATATTTATAGATTCAAGACCCAAGAACTTTAGGTAGTATAATTGACTACATGTAATATTTAACAGTGTATACTTATGATCACCGAGGGTCAAAAAGACCTATCTTTTGAAACAGAATCAATATATATATATATACATATGCATAACATTAAAATTTTAATATATCTTTTTATATAAGTCAGGCAATATTTATTAACAAATAAACAATCCAAAAAAATAATTATTATTATATATAATTATTTAAACATATTTTTTATTTTTAATGATACATTTTGAATCATTTTGAATTTGTTTAAATCACTCACTAAAATTTCTTTATTTAGAATACTGGAATTTTAATTGGAGGAGGCAAATTATTAATAATTTCTATATTTGAAATACCTGGTCCAGTTGAATTGGAAGAACTTATTAATTTTTTTGTATGTTCATTAAAATAGTTTACCAGTTTAGTTTCCTTTATTAACTATTAGGTTTACTAGATAGAATAAAATATATTTTCTTACAATATCTAAATTATGAATATCAGATGCATTGTTTTTTGTTAACTGTAAGCTAATGATATATTTAATCATAAGTTTATATTCATGAAATAAGTAAAGAATGTTCCCTTAAACTAAATTAATCTGAGAATTATATTATATAATTGTCTAATGATCATCAATCCCATTTACAAAAATAATCGGTTATTAAATAAATTATAATTCTACTTATTTCAATGTTGTAATAACTAATTTAATATTTCTCTTCTGGAGGATTTATGTGATCTTATTTTCATCTATAATATCAAAATCAAAAAGGATAGCTTTAATATAAGAATTTATATTCATCTCAAGAACTTAGAAATTCAGTGTCTAATGTTGTTATTACATTTATTCCGATGTTGTATTTATGATATATATTTAGTTTATTAATAATTCAATTTTATAATAAAATGAATATTAATAAATTTCGACATTCATTTAAAACATTTGATTGTATACTTTTAATATAATGATTTAAATTTAATTGATGGAGCCAATTCAAGTATTGTTTATTCTTATTCTTATTCTTATTCTGGTATCAAATGAAATTAGGGATTTGAACTATGAGATTGTTATTGTTCAATTTATTGAGTATTAATACTCTAATTATTTTATGAAGAATCCTAGATTATAACTGAATCTATAGATATCTTAGGAAAGATAGGGTCACATTCAGAGATATCATCTGGTGGATCTAAATTATTCTAATCCCATTCTCTTGGTTTTTCTGCCTTAATTATTTAACTACTACAAGTTTCTATCTTTTGAGTTTCTAGAAACATTTGATTCTATTTTGAAGGATTATTCTCTATTAACTTTTTTAACTATTTTTATTCCTATTCCAAAAGAGTATTGTAAAAGTTCTAAAATTCAAGTAAAATAATACTTATTACTATAACCATGTATTATTTTTCTACTCCCTTAGAATCATATATGAAGCAAAAAAATAAAGACTCTAGTTATTTGTTTTAGAGAGGATTAATCCTAAATTCTTTTTAGTTAAATAAATTTCATTCTTTATAATAGTTATAATATTTACAAATAGTATCTTGAATTATTCTTCCTAATATTTCCCAACTAAAGATTTATTAATATTTTAAAAGTTTAAAATCTTTTCTTGATTTTCTAAAACAAATATTGTTTAAATCTATTTCTTCTAGATTAAATTTTATAATTCTTCCTTATTTTGATTAGAATCAAATGAGATGATATAAAGACTTATCACGTCTGTGCCGTGTGTAAATTTTTCTTCATGTATAATATTCCTAATCATTATATTATATTTAATAATGATCAAAATTAGATATCATTAATAAATATTTTTCTAATCATGATTAAATTCATTTATTTTATATGATCTATATGAAAACTTTCTAATCTATATGATACTTTTTATTTTATAAGGCATTTCATGTATAAAAAAATTTCAATGAAAAAAAATAAATATATTTCTATTTAATTTACTCTTATATTTTTCTTTTAATTAAGTGCTAAATACTTTTATAGTAAGCTCATTATCCAAAATATAGAGATTCTGTAAATTAATGAAACTTCTTTATAGACTTGTTATTAATCATTAGTATTATTATTATTAAATGTAATAAAATAATATTAATATGGATCTAACACTTTATCAGAACCTTTAAAAAAGATTAGAAAGCATGTAAGATTTCAGTAATTAGAATGATGAAGTAACATAATTTATATTTGAATGCACTAAAATCTAGAATGTACTATTAGTTTAAGATATAAGAATGTACTTGCTTACAAAATTATGAATCAAATTTCTTAAGAAATATAAAAAGGTCAAAGAATTAATATTAAAGATAAAGATCAAGTTTAAATAATTAAATCCTGTAGATCCTTAACAATATTAGGTTACCTTTATATTTAGAAATACATTAAACTATAAAATAAAGAGAAGGATTTCAGAGAAAATATAAGAAACTAGATTGATGATCTTCAATAATAAGGCACCTTAGAAAAAGCTTTCTTATTAGAAGAAGCAATGAATTGCAAAACTAAAGAAGAGTATAAATAGATTAGTACTATCATAAAATTAATCGTAAATGTGTTAATAGATTTTGGATCTGATTCATTTCATTTTACATAAATATTTGATGTTATTATAAATGCTTTATTACTTACAGGAAATAACACTACTATTGGAAAAGATCATCAATTATTATAAATATTAGATAAATTATAAATATTACTTGAATAAACAACATAACCATATTTATTGACTATAGCAATGGAGTCAATATTAAATGCATCTACATATATGGAGAAATCAACAGATTTTGTGCAACCTAATTTAATAGCAAGAATTTTAATAGTTAAAGTATATAAGTTAAATAAATTAGATTCCATATATTGATGATCTATTAAATTATTTTGGTAATTATTTAGGTAGATGTTATAAATTTGAATATAGAATGTTTTAATCTATGTTAAACTTTGGCATTACATAATAAACACTTGAATTGATATTAAGATTAAGCAAATATTTTGTTAAAACTTATTAAACTGAAATTTTAATGGAAATAAAAAAAAATCTTATTCCAAAATTAATAAAATATATGAAAAATATCAATTGTTTTGATTCAATTTAAAATATATTTAATTACTACTTAATTTCATCATTTTAATAATTAGGTGATCAATAATTAGATAAAAAGTATCTTAATGAAATAATAAAAAATTATGATGATAATTTTTCATTTTACCATTAAGAATAATTACAAAGAATTGCAAATTTTATTGTATTATTACCTTCAAATACTCAAAAAAAAGAATTTATTAATTTTGAATCTTTATAAGCAAAATTAAAAAAAAAAAATATTTCAATGTAATCAACATAAACATCTTAATTATGTAAAAGTGAGAAAATTTAAATTTGGTTTAATGATGAAAATCCATAAATAAAAGATAAATATGCAACCTAGAAATTAGTTGGTTTAAAAAATTTATTAAATAGTATAAATTTAAATATATTTCAATTAGCTTGCTATTTAAATAGTTTCATCTAAGCATTATTTTGGAGTTTAGATTTTAGAGAACTAATTATAAATAAATTTAAAAGAGAAAAAATTGAATTTTTAAAACCATATAGTTTAAAAACCAACTTTTTAAGAGTATAATATTATATATAATATATAGTGTTTCTTATTTTTGGATTCAGTTAGTGATGAAATTAATTTTACTCCATTATTATTAAAAAGATCCTTAAGAGAACCTTATAAAACAGATATTAGACAATAAGATGCTGCTGAATTTGGTGTTCATTTGTTTGAAGATATGGAAAATAATTTTGATCCAGAAGAATATGTAAAAATCTAGTTAATTTTATATATAGCAATAAATAAAAGAGATTTTTTATGGTATGTCATAATCTACATTTTAATGTAATAAATGTGAAAAAAAAACAAAAGGTCCAGATGAAGAATTTATGTATATCACTTTAAACTTTGAAGATGATAGAAGTGTAAAAGAGGAAATAGAAAAAATGATATTGAGGCATTAAATGAATGAATAAATTACATATAATTGTGATTAATGCAAAAATACTAGTTAGAGTACAAGGACATTATAATTTTCAAAATTACCTAAAAATTTAATTATTTAAATTAATAGATTTGAATTTCAAAAAGGAAATAGATATAAAATAACTGATTAAATCAATATCAAACCAATAATATAAATAAAAGAGAATCAAAAATTATTAAATTATGAATTGTATTCAATCATTATACATTTTGGAGAAATACCAGATACTGGTCATTATACTGTTTATTGTAAAGTGAAAGAAGATTGGTATCATTTTGATGATAGCATTGTACAAAAAATTGATAAAGATTTTGGAAATGTTTAAAAGAATTTTAAGTAAAATTATTAATAATTTTATATTTAGAAAAGAAGAAACCCCATATTTGTTATTCTTAAGAAGAAAAAATGGATGAAATTATTTATAAACTTTTTTTTTTATTTTTATATGATTCTAAAAATTGTTCATTTATATATACTATTTTTTTATTTAAATTCTTATTAAAGTCAATTATATATCAATCAGAATTTTTGTTTTATATATTCTTAATTGAAAGATTTAAAGAAGAATTGATAATCATTTTAGTAATATTATATATTCAAAGCTGAGGTTCCAGCCTAAGACCTTTTATTAAATTAGCTATTTAATCTTATTTTAATGATGAATTTTCAAGTGCAATTTTGGATACTTCAGGATTGTATTCAATTATGAAATTATCCATAAGCTATTAAATTATAAATTCTAAAATTTACATATTTATCATAGAATTCTCCATACCAAATTATTCTTAAATCACCTTGTCTAATTGCCCATAGACATGTAAATAATATTATCAATGGATATACAAATATTGATTAAGGAAGTTAAATTTTAGTATTTGAAGGAGTTAATGTAGCTAATAACCAACAGATTATTCCAAAAAAGAGTCCAAGCAATCCAATTATAAAATAAACTCTGGAATTCCTATTTCTATCGAATCTATATAAATATGAAATGGATATCCCTGGAATCACTAAATCCATTAATGATAACCAAACACAAACTTTATTTAAATTGTATCTAAATTATGGAATTTGAAAAAGCACTGGAAAATTAGAATACTTTTCAATAATAAACTATTATTACTTGTAAAACAATAATTTCATAATTGACTTTGGCAATTGTTGTCAAAAGTGCGAAAAAATAAAAGCAATCAAATATCATTATAAATCCATATAATATAGCAATTCCTCTTAAATTTATAACCTTAAATAATCTAAATAATGATCCAGATATGCAAAATGTAATCATATTTGATATGTACCAAGCTTAATTCAGTGTTAAATAAAGGACTACAAATAAAACAGATAAAAATAATGATATACAATCACATACTCTTATTGATTTAAATATTTCTACTTACAATTTCAAATTTACAGATAAAAAACATTGTAATTCATTGAATAGAAACCAACAACAAAACAAAGCAAATATTAAGCACATTATTAATACTACTTCATACCAAGCATTTATATAATTTACAAGAACATAAAACATAATAGATGCAAAGATATAAAGTATGTACAATATCCAATTAACTATAAATCCCTAAAAATAAAGTACTTGATCTTCCTATTAAAAAGATTAAATTGCAATAAATCTATTAAAAAAAGAGTATTTCTTAAAATCAATTTTAATTTTTAAAGATCTAATTTTAGCCATTTTAGTAAAAATCCAAACACAAAAGCATCCAAATAATATAATTATTATCATTGATGTATCAAAATTTATTTTTATTTATTATTGATTCTCAAATGTTAAAGATTAACAAAGAAACCAATATTAAAATATAAGATTTTATTATTAATTTGATTGAGGATTAAGAACTGCAATTTAAAATTCCATCATTCCTGAATTAATTGTATTTGAATTTGTATCAATCTTATCCATCAAACAATAGTTATTTATTACAGCATTTGTCTAATTAATGATTGTATAATTTGCTATTTATTTATTAAATCCTAAGTTTGTAATACTAAATTAATTATCCTAAATCTAGTAGCCATCCAAGATAACTTATAAGGTATTTTCATAATTCAATGTTTAAGTGGCATTAATCATTTCTAAATCAGGAGGTGTACAACATGAAGTGTCTTTCCAATGAAATTGTTTATTGTATGATTACTCTTAGCTATATATCACCCAAGAGTTTTATAAAGAGTCAACAAGTTGTATACTTTATGAGAAACTACATTCCACATAAAATATTAAAATACTTACAAACATATTTTTTATTAATATAAAAACCTTATTAATAACTACTTTGTACCTTAATATAAATGTTAAATCTAAATAAATATTTTCTGTAAATTTACTAATGAGAAGTGATTATTTGATTGATATTATCAAACTATTTGTTTATGATCTACATAATTAAATTACATTATTAAATTTAAAGATGTAATTCATTATTTTTGGAGATTTATATGTTATAATTTGAAATCCAATTAGTTAATCAGAATTCTGACATATTATTGTATAATTTGAGAATATATTTATAGAATAAAGTTTTTTATTATTCATCCATTTTCTTTTTAGTTTTATTAATAAATCATATAATCGTTATACTTTTTGAATGCTTAATACTTCAATTAATTTTTTTGAAGAGAATGACATAATCAAATTAAGGAAATATGTATGGAAATGTCATTTATGAAGCTTATTGCAAAGGAGAATGAATGGAAGAAAGACAAAGCAGTTTTGGAATAAAAAATATAATTACTTGAACTTTAATTAGATGACTATAAATCAAGAGAGTCCAATTATAAAAAATTGAATGAGACTATATCATAAGCTATAAATGATACTTCTACAATGCAAAAAGTATTTATTTCATAATAATTGTTATAGAGATCCATGTCAGAATTATAAAAAAATGTCGATATTTAACAGAAAGATCATAATAAAGCAATTTACAAAGAGTAGATTAAGTCTTTAGAACTTTAAGTAATTGATTGATAAAAATAGAATAGGTTAGGTCATTAACAGAGTAATTGTAAGAAAAAGATTCTTAAGGAAAAGAAATGGAATTGTAATTCTAGAAGCAATATTATCAATATGATCATAGAATTGTTTCATTGGAATAAGAGAAACTCTAAAGTAATCAAGAAAATGCAAAGTTGAAGGATTAGATACTTAAACTTGAGGAAAGCTTCAAATAAAAAGAACAATAATTGAAAAATCAATTCGAATAAGAATTATAAAGAATCAAAGATCTAAATATGTAGGATAATGATGTAAAACAATCAGATTATGAATCAAAATATTCTTAACTGTCTTTGTTATATGAGAAAGAAAAAGAACAACTTCAACTAAGAATTAGCAAATGTTAAAACACAATCAAAAGATATTAATAGCATATAGAATAAAATGTAGATATTGTTAATGTCAAATAATAATATGAAGATTAAATTGAATAGCTTAAGGAATAGAATTCTTTATTATAATCTTAATTTCAATATGAAAGATAAATCTTATTGTAATAAATTGATGAATTAAAAAAACAATAAAGAGATCATATAATGAAAGAAAGCATAAATTATCATGAATCAACTTCTAAAAAGAGAAGTGTAGATGCAGTCAAAATTAAAAGTTCTTTGTAATCTTATGACAGTCCAGTTTAATGTAAGAGTTTTCATATTGCCAGTTAAGATTCAAAAGGAATAAGTTATAATTAATATCTTAAGAATTCATCAAATTAATCACTTAATTTTACTTAGAAGTAACTTTAATAATAATAATAATAATAATAATAATAATAATAATAATAATAATAATAATAATAATAATAATAATAATAATAATAATAATAATAATAATAATAATAATAATAATAATAATAATAATAATAATAATAATAATAATAATAATAATAATAATAATAATAATAATAATAATAATAATAATAATAATAATAATAATAATAATAATAATAATAATAATAATAATAATAATAATAATAATAATAATAATAATAATAATAATAATAATAATAATAATAATAATAATAATAATAATAATAATAATAATAATAATAATAATAATAATAATAATAATAATAATAATAATAATAATAATAATAATAATAATAATAATAATAATAATAATAATAATAATAATAATAATAATAATAATAATAATAATAATAATAATAATAATAATAATAATAATAATAATAATAATAATAATAATAATAATAATAATAATAATAATAATAATAATAATAATAATAATAATAATAATAATAATAATAATAATAATAATAATAATAATAATAATAATAATAATAATAATAATAATAATAATAATAATAATAATAATAATAATAATAATAATAATAAAATAATCAATCATTTGAAAAATCATGTAAATTTAATGATGGAATACCTATGTCTATGGATTAATTTAATTTAATGAAAAATAAAAAATAAAAATCATAATCAACTTTATCTATTCCAACTAGTAATAATTATAATTTGAATTCATTATTATAAGAAGCTAGTTTATTTTAATAAAATTAAGAGTCTTTTCAATTAGATTCCAATAATAATCCAAAAGAGGATCCCTCTAAATTAAGAATATTGAAATAATTGAATCCAAACATTGCTAATAGATAATTAGATTATAATCGATCAGTAAAACATGATTAATGCAGATAACCAGAATAATCATATTAAAGATCAGTATCACAGGAAGGTTTAAAAAGTTCAGTTTCAAATCTTAGTAAAATGTTAGGATAAACAGAAATTAGCTATTAATAATCAAATTCAACATAATAATAAACAAACAATACTTCATTAAATTGTTTAAAAGTACCTGTGTTTACTTAAAATTAATTAAATAGTTTAAAGAATAGTACTTTATATGTTTATCCTTGTGCAACTTTAAGGATGAATGAGAATCATGTTCAAAAGGCAAGATATAACAATAACCATAGTACTCATGAAGAAATAAAATAAAATAAAGAAAATCAATTGCCATCCAAAAAGTAATCTAGAAGCGATATTAAGATGATTATTGGAAAGTTATTATAAACAAAAGGAAAACAAAATGATGATATGGACAAAACTTCTTAATTTTCCAAATTTAATCGAATTTGAATAATTTATTTTTTCATTTATAACAATTTAAATTCGAAAAATAATTAAATATTATTAGAAGATATAAAATTAAAAAGAATCATTTAATATAGAGTTCTATTTGCATTATAAGATTCATAAACTAGAGTTTTTTTATCTTTAATCAATCAGAAGTGAATAATAATTCTTCTAATGTTATTTATTTGTAAATGCATTTTACATTAAAAGGTGTTAAAACACACCTGAAAAATTGTAAATGATTTCTTAAAAAATCTTGATTTATTAATAATACAAATAAATTGTAAATTAGATAAAAATTTATAGATTGATATTTAATTTATAATTTTCTTTTTTTTCTAGAGAGAATTTATCCTTCATCTTATATTGAGAATTATTTGATTATAAATTTAGAAAATTTATTTGATATATATATGTGAAAATAAATTAAAAAATTCTTTTAAAAAATTTAAATATGATTAATTCATTTTGATAACAATTTATAATATATAATAACAGTTCAAATTCAAATTCAAGTTTAAATATTTTTCTCAGTAACTATCCAATCTCTGTAATGGTTTATACGACTTACTAGATTCTGACTATACACACCCATAATATCTTGGATATTCTTAAAAATATTATATTGGAATTTTACTTAGATGTAAGAATCAAATATTTCATTTGTAATTTTAAATCTTTTGTGGATTAATTGAATTTCTTTTTTTCTAAAATGTGTTCTATTTTATGAAATAAAATCGATTTCAATTTTGATCAATTTTCTCCAATCTATAGAGTGTTCCTTAATTTAAAATATAAATATACTTTGTATATAGTAGCATAAAAAGGTACTTAATTTAATTTTTTAGCTAATTTATCAAGTAAACGAGATGGGATAGTGTAATTCTAACTAAGACATGATTTCAAATCTTAAGTAAAATCTTACATTATTAAATGGTTAGGTTTGAGTGATTGAATAGTTGAGACGATTGCTTGGCAAACATTTTGATTGATGTTAAGCATAAGTAAATCATCTTTTTTAATAGTTCTTGAATGATTGTTTGTGATATATTCTAAAAGTAACATAATTTATTTTTTTTGTTATTCTTAATTTTTATTATCAATAATCATAAGTGGTAATAAGTCAGCTAGAATATTAATGATTTTGTATACAATTTTCAATTAAGTAATTTTTGATTGGTTTTGCTCTCAAAATAGATGATTTATAAGAATCAATAATTTTTAATATTTTACGTATGGCTCTTTCACTAATTGAAAATTAGATGAGAATTTTATAAAAGAGTATCTTAAAATTTGTGAAATGTACATGATTTAACTTATGCTATTCTGAAAATTAATGTAGCTGAATCCTAAGTTCAGTACTATTACCTTGTGATTATATTAAATTGGTGATTAACTGAATTGCAAATTGTTTGAAATCCTTTTCTAAATATGGAACTAAGAATGGTTATAGGGTAATATCTTTTAGAAGTTGAATGTATAATAAGTCAACAATTTGACTGATAGTTGAATAGCCTCTTAATTCTTGGTAGAGAGATGGAGGATTCAAGAGTGGTTGTCTAAACTATTCAAGTTTATAAATGATTTTAAGTAAGTTTGGTTCCATGAGAAATGTGAGTATGAAATTGTGTTTAAATCTAGTGAATTCTTATTTAGTTTGTATAGGAAGTGTATATTTTTCTACTTACAAATGATTAGATTGTTTAAGTAATTCAAGTAACAATTCATATAGTTGATCTGATGTCTCATGTTCAAATTTGATTTTGAGAGACTCCCATAGAATCTAAGTCTTATCAGTGATACAATATGCAGAGGTTCGACGATTGACTGATTATAAACTTTTACGAGGAATCTTTTTGGGATGTTAATTATTGATGATATCTGTGAGTTTGGCAACAATTGAATGATGTTGAAGTTTTCGTTACTTGATCTCGTTGGTTTTAAGATAGGATCTAATCGGAGAATTAAATTGAAAGTTGGGAGTAAAAGAGGACTAGTTTATGAGTTAAGACATATTTGGGAGTCTGACGGAATAGGCACTTGAACTACGGGCTTGACTAGGGGAAGTGTATAGCATATTAATAATATTGACATAATCACACAGAAGATTTTATAATAGTTACTTAATTTGTAATTCATCAGTATTATAAGTGAGTGAATGGCGAATTAATATATTTATTTATAATAAGAATGAGTGGAACAGATGAAGGGTATGTATGATATTGATTTTTGAGTAGAAGCCAAGAAGACTCTGATGATCAATAATTTGTCAAGACCTCCGTTAATATGACTTTGTCAGAAAGACTTAAATAATAGGCTCTGGATGTTAATAGGATGTTAAATTAACTAGAAAAAGACTTTGCAGAAGAGGATTGTCAAACTTATTATATTTTGAGCAAGAAGTATTTAAATACATTAAATAACTTAGTTGGTTTGAAAAATGGAAATAGTATGTTAATTATGATAATGTGGTGAATAATTAAAGTGTTCCCAATACTTCTGGATAAATGATGCCTCAAAATTTCAATCATGATCTTATTGAACAATATGTCAATGAGTGTTTCAAATATTACCCTCTTAGTACAAACCCTTGGAATTTATGGTTGAGACCAAATCTTGAAGAAGGTGTACACTATATTGTAATTTCGCAATAACTTTCAACCTATTTTAATAAATATTATAGAGGCACTAATATTGTCAGAAATGCAATAGGTAAAGGCATAGAAAAGAAAGTTGTTGTTAATTTGTTGAAGGTATGAAGTATCTTCTTACAAGAATAGTTTAATGCAATTCTAATGATTCCTAATACTGTCAATTACATTGCTTAAGACAATCTCATTTAATTCGATAAAGAGTATTTGTAAGTTGATGAGAACACAACTCTTTATGATTATTATTCTACTATTTTGAAAACTGTACCCACTTTTAGAGGTAACTATAATAATCAAAATGGTGTTCGTATTTGGAGATATACTAATGATACAGATCCTCATAAAGCTCTCTTTTCTGAAATAAAAAAATAAGTTGAAGATCTTGATTTTAATGATGATTTGGTCTTTAATTTTACAGGTTCCCCTGTTTAAATTTCATCAGACATCACATTTAAATCATTAAATTTGATTGATAAAGATATTATCATTATTGAAGTATTCTCAATATACTTATGTAGTTTTAATAATTAAACAGACCATGGTGTATCAGACACCCTTCTGTTCCAGTTGAAGGAAAGTGTGAGGGATGTTCAAATATTACCGTACTTAACTTTCTTTGTGTCTGCAAAAAGGTTTCATATTGTACAGAATAATGTAAAATTAATGATGAGCGATTCCATCTTTCAAAATGTGATCGTCTAGGATCTGATGATGAATAAGTTAAATCTATAAATTTGACTACTACTTCAGTCAAAGGAGTAGCTGGATTATCTAATTTAGGTAATACTTGTTTCATGAACAGTGGTACTTAATGTCTATCAAATACTTATTCATTAACAGAATATTTTTTATCTAATAAATATTTTGAAGAAATTAATGAAGATAATCCATTAGGAACTAAAGGATAATTAGTTAGAAAATTTGGATCATTACTTAAAAAATTATGGTGTGGTGATAAAAACATTGTAATACCAACAAGTTTTAAGAAAGCTGTAGGTTAATTCTAACCAATGTTTAAAGGATTCTAATAACATGATTCTTCAGAATTGATTACATTTTTATTAGATGGATTACATGAAGATTTAAATAGAGTTAAAAAGAAACCTTATGTTGAATCTAAAGATTATTAAGGTAGACCTGATGTTGAAGTTGCAAAAGAAAGTTGGGAAAATCATTTGGCTAGAAATCAATCAATTATAGTTGATTTAATGCATGGTCAATATAAATCAACATTGAAATGTCCTAATTGTTCATAGATTTCAATTACTTTTGATCCATTCTTAACTGTTGGATTAGGCATACCAAATAACAAATAAAAATCCATTTAAATTAAAGTTATTAAATCTGTAGTCTCTATAGAAACTAAATATATTAATTTTGATGGTTCTAAAAAGAAAATATCTCTTTAAGAATTTATAAATGAATATGTAATGAATCAATTTAAAATTGATCCTGATAGTGAATTAATGTATTATTCATATGTAATGAATGATATATCTGATCCAATAAATCCTAGTTAAGAAATTAATACAGTTAGAAAAAATTCAAAGAGAGGATGCTTAATAGTCAAAGTATTGAATCAAGAGGAAAAACTAATAGCAAATGATGAACGTGTCTATTTGAGTTATGTTTAAAAAGCTTATGATTCTTATGGACACAATTTCAAAAAAATAATACAACCTTAAACTTACATAATAATAAAAAAGGAATACACTTTAGCTTAGATTCATTTAATGATATTTCAGTCTTTATTACCTATTTTCTGTGATTTGGTAAAAGAGGATGAAGTAAATACAATAGAGAAATTGAGAGAATATTATGAATAGAATATTCATGGAAAAGTAAATTATATATACTTATAAATTTATAGTATTACACACTTAATAATAAATAGAATATAATGTAAATGTAAAAGAAATGTATTTTCTGTAATGCTAAAAATTGTTCTGAATGTGAAGTGAGTTATTATACAGAAGATACATTTGATACAATTTAATAAAAATAAATGATTAATCCTAATGATTTGATGTAAAAGATAGAATTATTAGTATTTTGGAATAAGAGTCCATTTCAAAATATTAATACTGGAGATATCTATTAATATTATTCAAATCAATAATATAGGAAATAAATTGAAGGTATTTAATAATATAAATTATAGAGGAGAATAATAATAATAATAATAATGTAGATGATGAGAATAATAATGGGAAAGGAAGAATTATTGGAAAAAATTATTCATCTTCATATTTGATGAATTCATAACCCAAAGTTACACTACAAGAATGTTTAAGATTTTCTGAACAACCTGAATAATTGGCTGAAGATAATGCTTGGTATTGTAAGGTGTGTAAGGATCATGTACAAGCCTATAAAAGTATGTAGATTTATAAGGTATTAAATTATTAATATTTTTTAGGCTTCAGACATTTTAATTTTCACTTTAAAGAGATTCAAAGCATCTCATGGGTTTTTCAAATAAAAATTAGAGACATTTGTTGAATTTCCAGTTAAAGGATTGGATTTAACAGAATTTATATTAAATTAGAATAAACCTCATGAGAATTTTTAGATAGAGGAAGAGTAGAAAAAATTAATATATGATTTATATGCAGTTTCAAATCATTTTGGTGGTATGGGTGGTGGACATTATACTGCATTTGCTAAGAATCATGTATGAAAATATGATTATTATTATTAGTTCAATGGATAATGGTATAATTTTGATGATTCTTAAGTAAGTGAATTGAATGAGGATTAGATTGTATCTAAAAGTGCTTATGTTTTGTTTTATAAGCGTAGAATTGAATTAGAGTAGACTTAAACATTAAATACATAGGAGTTAAATTGAAATTTAATATATATATATATATAATAATGTAAAACAAGAAATTAAAATGGAAATCAGATTTTGAAAAGTCTGTTATAATTGAAAACTTTGTAAATAGAGGATGGATCAAATCTTAAGAGAAAGAAGAAGAATAAACAGATTGGAATGTCTATTGGGCAACGGTGTGGAATGTTCGTAATATCTTTAATCCTAAGAATGGATTCAGACTTAATGATTAAGTATACTCAAATTAATATCAAAGTAAATTATTAATCACTTTCCAAATCATTATGAATTAACACGCAAAGATTGTATGGTGAAAAATCTTAAAAGATTCAAAAGAGAATAAGATAAAGAAGTATTGGAAACATTCAATTTTGACTTTTTGCCAACTACTTATATTTTCCCTGGAGAATATTCACTATTTGTAGAAGAATTTCATAGAAATCCAAATCAAACTTGGATTGTTAAACCAGCTGCTAGAAGTTAAGGCAAAGGAATATTTTTGTTAAGGAAAATTTAATAATTAAAAAAAATATCAGGAACAACAGTAACAAGTAATATGACTTAATTAAATCTTGCTTCAAAGGAGAATTATGTTGTATCTAGATATATTGATAATCCATTATTAATTGGAGGAAAGAAATTTGATTTAAGAATGTATGTATTAGTTACAAATTACAAACCATTAAAAGTTTGGATTTATAATAAAGGATTTGGTAGATTCTGTAATGAATAATATACTACTGATGTTGCTGAAATAGAGAATATGTTTGTACATCTTACAAATGTAGCTATATAATAATACAGTGATAAGTATTCTTAAAAACATGGTGGTAAATATTCTATTGATGCACTCAAATTATATGTAGAATCTGCATATGGAACTGATGCATTAAATAAAATGATGGATGATATTCATAACATTATGTTAACTTCATTAAAAGTAATTATTTAAATATATATATATTTAGTCTGTTTAAGCTGTAATATAGAATGATAAACATTGTTTTGAAATGTATGGTTATGATATTTTACTTGATTCAAATCTTAAACCTTGGCTTATAGAAATCAATGCCAGTCCATCTTTAACTACTACAACACCTGTTGATAAAAATCTAAAAATGAATTTGATCAATGATGTTTATAATATAGTATTACCAAATGATGATTTCCCTGATAATGATTAAAAATGTAATGTTATATTTATTATTTCTAAGAATAACAACCTACAAAAGTAGGAGGATTTACTCTTCTATATGATGAGAATCTAGATCCTAATAATAGAAAGACTTAAAAAAGATAGAGTGTTAAAATATGGAAATGAATTATTAAATTAATATTTAAATACTTTTTCCTGTTAAAAATTTGTATATTTGTATTATAAATTTAAAAATGCCAAGTAGGAGGCGAGCCAAAAAGAAGAATAAAAGAACTAACAAATGTACTAATTATTATTGCAATTCAAGAATAAAGGTCGACAAAAGTAGAAAAACAAAAACCTGCCAAAATTGATTATTAACCCAAACATCTAACAAGAGCCTAAAGTAAAACCAAAGAACAAAAGGAACATAAAATCAAATAAGAATCCATTAAGAGTTAAAACGATTAATATAATAACAATGAATAACATCCTCAATCTTAAAATGAAAAAGGAATTCCCGCTTCTTTAACATTAACTAATTTACAAGGTATATTAACACATTGTGATTGATGAAGAGTGTTCCGATCAAATTTCTTAGATTTCACAGTTATTTACTCTCTAAAAAAGTGAAGTTCCAAATAATATTTCCAGATAATTAAGTAAACCCAAGATAATGAGTATTCGGGCTGCTAAATTAACTTTCCCTGAAGATTCTAAAGAAATTCAAATGGATATTGAACAAGAAGAATGTCAATTCATTAATCAGGCCATGATACAAACAAGATGTAATCTTTTGGGAATGCCAAAATAGAATAAATATAAAAAAGAACATTCACTAACAACAGAAAAAAATTTCCCATCTGAACATTATGAATAATCAACACACATACAAATCCCTCATCCTGATAATATTTAATAAAAATTAATTTTGATGGAGGAATGTTTTACATCCTTACTTGAATGTACAGTTCCTGATGAAATTCTTTGTAGAGATCAAGAAAAGATTCTTATAACAAGATTTATTGAGGATGGCATCAAAAATAATGGATAAAAATAAGCATTATGTATATTTACTTCATTAATAGAATAGATATATCAGGAGTTCCTGGAATAGGCAAAACAGCTACAGTCTTAGAAGTCAAAAATAAATTATTATCCAAAAAACTAAACTTTGAGTTCATTTATTTTAATGCCATGAATGTAGGATCTCCTGAAGATATTTATCCATTCCTTTATGAAAAATTCACTAATAAAAAAGAAACCTCTAGAATCAAATCTTGCATCCTTTTAAGTACTTGATTTACTTTATTTTTAAGCTGAACTCTTCAATAGTCAATTAGAAACCATCCAATAAAATAAAGTTGTTTTATTAGATGAATGTGATAATCTCTATACAACAGATTAATAAGTTCTATATAATTTGGTTGATTGGCCTCAATAACCTTAAGCACATTTAATCATAATTATGATTGCAAATACTATGGATTTTCCTGAAAGACTTAAACCTAAATTATAATCAAGATTAGGAAATCATCGTATAGTATTTAGGCCCTACAATAGTACTTAAATAGAGAGTATATTATAATAGAGGATGAAAACTAAGAAAATTAAATAATTATTTGCTTCTAATACTTTAAATTATTTGGGCAAAAAAATTGCTACAATTTCGACTGATATTCGTAAGACTTTAAGTGTTTGTAGAACAGCTATTGTTTTGGCTAGGGAATAACTCTTAAAGAAGAGTGTATTTTCTTAAATTGATGTAGATCACATCAAACTAGCTTATGATATGATCTATAATAAACCTTAACATAATTCTTTGTAATACTTTAATGATGAGTTGAAATTACTTTTAATAATGATTGCCCTTGAAATTCACATAAAAGGTTACAATTATGCATATTTTCATCAAGTAATCTAAAGAGTGAATCAACAAAAATAATTGCATAAATAAGATACTTTGAGTTATTTTTAAATGAAATAAGTCTTAATAAAATTATCTTAATTAAACTTAATAGAAATTAAAGAAGAATAAGTATTATTAACAAAAAGTACATGGCAATAAAAAATACAAGTAAATAATTTATCAATAATAATTCTAGAATAGTTTGGATAAGGATAGATTATTTAATTTGGAGGATATGTTGATTTAACTTAAAATAAACATTGATGATATTAAAAATGGACTTTCAAATGATGATCTTTTCAAAGAGTTTTCAAATTTATTTTGATTTAAAACTAAAAACTTAAAACTTAAAATAATAATTATAAAAGATTTTCATTTCATTTTATAGAAAACTATCTTTAATCAATTTTATTTAAAAACTATTAATAGATATTTGCATATATAATTATAATATATTTAATTCATCTTAAATCTTTTGATTAAGCAATTTAGAAGTAATTATTTAGTAATTCTATTTTTTTATTTATTCTTCAAATTTAAATTAACAAATATTTCATATCATGAAAACTTATTTAATAAAATTAGCAAATTAAAAAGATTAGATATTATCCATAATTATAAAAAAAGAATAATTCAAAAAATATGAAAATTATTAATTAAAAGTTGAGTTGATTTTATTAATGTCTGAAACATAGACTAGTAAATATGAACCATACTTTTTAATGAAATTTCTAATTAAAATGTTATTTTTTATGTTTTAATTAGATTTATCACATAACATAATCCACTCTAGAATCTAATTTAATAAAGTATTTTTTGATATTTATTAATGGGTTGTCATGTAACTAAAAATGTTATTTCTGATAAAAAATTCAGGGAATAAGCAATTACGGATGAAATGTTACAAGGTATTATATCATAAATTGTGAGTATAGAGTGTAAGGTTGATGAAGATGTGAAATCGAGAATAAGCGTTTACAATCAAGCACTTGAGAAAATGCAAAAGATTCCAAAACTTAGAAATACAAGTATTTTAAGATTTATAGTAGTATTCAATCCAATAGTTTAAAGAAGAAAAATGCAAAAATTTGAAGAAGACTGATTTACTATATCTATATATAAAATATATAATTAAATATATAAATATGCAAGAATTAAAATTGATTGGAAAGGAATGTCCAATTACCAGAGGAGGATGCAACTTTTTATAATATGATAAAGGAAAGTACATTGTGATAGGAGGAGTAAATCGATCTGAAAACGGATTGTAAGAATTAAATGATTTTTGGACATTACATTTACCTCTTAAAGATGGCAATCTGGCAGGAATTTGGAAAGAAATGACTCTAGAAAATTAATAGCTCTATACACCACGTTCAAGTTAAGGAGCATGTATAAGTGATGATAAGATGGTTTATATATTTGGAGGTTAAAAATTCTTGGAATCTTAATCCACAGACGAATTTTATAGGATAGATACAGCTTAGAAAGTGTTAACCATAATAAAATCAAAGAATAAACCAAGAGCTAGAAATTCTCATACTTTAACTTATTATTAGGAAAAATTATTTTTATTTGGAGGTGCTAATGATAATGGACCATTAAATGACTTGCACATCTATGATATTAGTATAAAATGAACTTCTATATATAGAAAGTGAAGTATGGTAACAGATTAAGGATGTTTCAGAATTAATAATGGCAAGAGAGATGCATACTGCTCACATTTTGTAGATGAATTTAAAGCCATTGAAAAAGAGTGAATGTAATAAGGCATAAAAATTGGTTGGAATATTTAATGAATTTTAAGGAGAATCTAAGGAGTAAATTGAATAAATAGCAATTAAAGAGTAAATTATTGAATAAAATAATAATGAATAATAATAATAATAGATAGATGAATAATAATAATAATAATAATAATAATAATAATAATAATAATAATAATAATAATAATAATAATAATAATAATAATAATAATAATAATAATAAGAAAATAATCAACAAGATTATCTTATTATTTTAGGTGGAAGAAATAAAAATGATCTTTTACAAGATATTCAAGTAATTAATTTATCCACTTTTGAAGTGGAATAGATTGAAAATCTTCCAACTCCATTATGTGCTCATACTTCTGTTAAAGTCAAATAAGATATATGGATTTTTGGAGGTTGTGATGGTGCTTCATTAAATTCAAATATCTATTAGTTATAAGATTAATCAATAAAGAAAGTAGGTACAATATAGACAGCCATAATGGCTAGTAGTGCATTGTATTCAGAAGAATTAAATAAGATTATTATATTTGGAGGATGCACTTTAGATAGAGATTTAAATTAAACATTTGTTGTACAAATTTGAGTTTAATATAATATTTATATATATATATAAATAAATGTAGAAGACTCCAAAGCCTGAATTCCTTTAGATTCCATCTTAAACTAAAAGTGTTAATAAGATAAACATGATCGAAGTGAAAAATGAAGGAATGATTGTATCAAGATTTATATCCTAAGCATGATGTTTGTTATGATTTTTTTGGAACTAAGATTGCATTAGGATCATCAGATGGACATATAGAAATATAAGAAATTAATGTTAATTCATTTAAATCAGAATAATAGAAAGACATATTATCATATAAAATTAGTGATTTGTAATTTATTCATAATTGAGATAGTTAACATAAAGGACCAGTTTGGTAATTGAGTTGGTCTAATCCTAAATATGGAAATATTTTAGCATCTTGCTCTTTCGATAAAACTATTTGTCTCTTTAAAGAATAGAAATTAGGCAAATATTCTTTATTGCTTCAATTATCAGAACATTAGGAATCAGTTCAATCAATTTAATGGTCTTATAGAAAATTAATATTGGCAGCTGGAGTAGCAGATGGGAGTGTACATATATATTACAGAAAGAAAAATGGATAAATCAAAAATTAATAAGATTGGGAACATAAATCTGTACATATTAATTTAAATATAAGGAAAGTTAACATTAATCTTGTGTAAATCAAGTGAGTTGGGTAAGAGACAAAGAATTGGATTTTGCAACATGTAGTACTGATAAGACAATAAGAATATGGAAAGTAACTACTCCTATAGATGGAGAATATAAATTAACTTAGATTAAATATATCTAATGTGAAAGTTGGGTTAGATCTATTGATTGGGCAGCTGAGTAATATTATTAAGATTAAATATTGGCTGCAGGATTGGAAGTATAAATTAAAATTTTATAAGTCTACTTAAGTTGATATTATCTATTTAAAATGGGATTAAAACAATGATTAATAAGTTAACATCAGCAAAATAGTTTAAATATAAGCTAAAGGTCCTTGTTGGAAAGTATAATGGTCTCCATTAGGTAATCAATTAGCAATATCTACATTGGATGACAAGAATGATCCATTTGTTTAAGTGTATAGATAAACATAATAAGGTGAGTTTGTAGAAATTTGAAATATATATATTTATATAAATCAAATATTTTCTTCATCTTATTTTTGATTCTATTGAATATGAGTTTCATTTCTATTTTACTATTAATTTTCTTATGGTTCTTGTGGTTATTGTGCTCCTATGATGTTATCCTTAATCTTAGAGATTGTTTTGCCAAATAACTTAACTCCTTATGCTGTGATAGATTTATCTTCATTTAATGATTAATTGTTGTATGAAACACCATCAAATTCCTCTAAAGAGGTTGTTAAATTCTTAGCAAATTGGATATTCTCATTATTTCTATATTATTCTATAGATCTAAATAGTTTGCATATAAATCAATACTTTTTGAGAGATCTTGAAAAAACGTAAAATTATTTGCTTATCATTTTGCCAGGATTAAAGGCTTAGGTAGTATTTTATAGAAACAATGTGTTAATTGAAACTATTTTAGGTTATTCTTGTTAGGAATCTTGTGATTCTTTTGAAGGAAATTCTTGTTAAATAAAGGGAGTATTTTCTGATTCGTGATTCATTTTGGTTTATATATTATTAATATTATTTTATAGATTTAATTAAAACTTAAGTAGTAATAATTATAGTATATATTAAATAGATTATATAAGATAGTATTGAAATAAATATTTATATCATTTATATGCATATTTATCTAATAATCTAATTAGATTATTTTATTTATATTTTTAAATGAGTTCAAATGATAAATATGATAGATAGGTTAGAATTTGGGGACCACATGGATAGGCAAGACTATAAAATGCAAGAGTGTTATTATTGGGGTAATGATTGAAATAATTGAATTTAGTTGTGATCCTGTAGGAGTAGAAACTCTAAAAAATTTAGTATTACCTGGTATTGGTTATGTTATCATTGTTGATAATAAATTAGTCACAGAATAGGATATTGAAAACAATTTCTTTATTCCTCACGATACTATTGGATAGAGTAGAGCAAAAGTAGTGTTTGAATATTTATTGGAAATGAACTCAGATGTTAAAGGAGAGTGGCATCAATTAGAGAATTATAATATCAATGATCAAAAATTTGATTTAATAATAGCAAATGAATAATAGTTTTTAGAAAACAAATTTAATTTGATTGAACTTTAAACTTATGGATTTATTGGTAAAATAAGATTGTATTCTCCAAAATGTCATATTATAGAATCAAAACCAATGAATCAAAAATATGATTTACGTATTTTCAATCCATTTTAAGAATTGAAAGAATACTTTGATTCAATAGAATTCGAAGGTGATGTAGATTATTTAGCTCATATTCCTTATATTGTTATATTATATAAGGCTCTATAAAAATATCATTAAATTAATGGAAAATATCCAATTACTTTTAAAGAAAAACATTAAGATTTCAAATAGGTTATTTTAAGTCTATGTGATAATCTAGAGTATTAATATAAAGGTAATTTTTATGAGGCAATTGATAATATTGATTAAGCATTTGAAAGTTAAAATTGGAAAAACATTCTTGAATCAACAGAGATGGAATAAGATGATAATGAAAGTTAGTTTTACATATTACTGTAAGCACTTAGATAATTTGTGTAAATTCATGGAGTACCTCCTTTAAGTAAAGCTTTTCCAGATATGAAATGTTTTACATAAACATATGTGCATTTAAAAAATAATATTTATGGAGTAAGAATAGAAAAAGACTTTTAAATATTCAAAGATCTTTGTTAAAATAAAATAAATGATGAAACAATACGTTTATTTATAGAGAATGTCTAAGATTTAAAAACTATCAATTATCGTACTATTTAATAAGAATTACAATAACCTAATTAAGTTGATGATTATGATAATGATTGCTACATTTGGTATATATTATTGAGATCAGTTAATGAATTCTATCAAATTAATAATAGATGGCCAAATCAATAAAAGAGTGATATCTAATTATTATAGGAGATAGTTGTAAAATAATGTAAATTAGTCAATGTGGATAGTGTACCTGAATCACATATTTTAGAAATATGTAGATATGAGGGATCAAAGTTACACATGATAGCTTCAGTGATAGGTGGAATGGCATCTTAAGAAGCAGTTAAATTAATTACCAATTAGTTTGTTCCTATCAATAATACATTAATTTATGATGGACTTAAAAGTGAGGCATCCATATTTGAATTCTGATTCTATATATATTAGATCATAAGTATAACAATATACATTTTTAAACTATATCGATCTTATTTTAATTTCTAAATTTACATAATATCTAATATAATTAATATCATAATAAATGAAACAATCAACAATATATTATTATTTTTTATGATAAATGTAATGAATAATTAAAAATTTATTATAATATAATATAATATTTTCTACTATTTATTAAATATTGAGATATAACAAATAGACAGAAATCTAGTCTGTTAACAAATCAATTTTAGTCTATTTTTTTTGGTATATTTCTTTATCTTTCAGTTTATGGTTCCTGATATTTGAAATTAGTTAAACTACATTATCTTGATAATTTAGTTTAAGGTTCCTGATTTAATTCACATTAAGATCTCCCAATATGATATTATTTTAATTTATTGGTATACCATATGTTCACATCAAAATATTTATAATCAAGTAATGCTTAAACTGCTTCTATAGCTTATTAACAATCTAATCTCTATTGAGGTTCTGCTTTCACTAATAATTATACTAAATCAAAAACTGAACCTTTTTCCTTAATTGTGAATTAACATGTTTTATTATTTTTAAAAGTTTCCTTTTCATTATTACTTCTAAATAGTCCATCTAATGTCAATAATTTATAAAGTATGCATCCTACACTGAACAAATCTACTTTATAATCATATGCTTATTTCTTATTCCAAACATTAAGTACTTCAGGTGCAGAATAACCAGTAGTACCACAAGATGGGTATTATTCAAGCTGTTTACCATTAAAACAAGCTAATCCAAAATCGATTATTTTGATTTAATTATTATGATACATCAGATTTGCTGGTTTTAAGTCTCTATGAATTATTCCATTTTGATGAATGCTTTGTAATCCTTTTAAAAGCGACTAAATTTAATTAAAATATTACTTCCATTATTTATAAAGCTTCTTATATTGAGTAGGGTTTAGTTTTACGTTCTAGATGCTACTTTAGATTTGATCCAGGAAGATACTCTGTAACAATATAGTAATTGAATTCATCTTTATAAACTTCTTTGATTTCAAGAATGTTTAAAACATTACCTTACTTCAATTTTTTGAGTATTTCAATTTCATTTTTAATGGCTGGACTCTGATTGTTTTAACATTTAATACTCTTAATAGCTACAATATTAGAGGTGAATCTACAGATTTCTTTAGTGACCTAACAATATTAATTACATAAAACTACTTTTCCAAAAGAACCAGTTTAAAGGATTTCCTCTTTCTTATAAAACATTTCTATCTTTTAATAACAAACCAAAGCACCCATCTTTGTCTTTAGATTCACCATATCATTTGGATTACCAAAGAAGTCTTTTATTTTATCTTAATATGGAAGCTAAAACCCAACAATTTTATTATTAAGAACAGACCAAGTGAATACTTTATCTATTTTTAATTAATAGATATATTTTGGATTCTACTGGTTTTGTTTCTATTTAAATTTATCAAAATATTTAATTACTTCACTTAGAGTGAGACATTGCGTTGTTAATTGTAGATAATATTTTCGATTTAAGAATAAGTGTCTTCTTTCTACTATACATTCATATAGAATGTTTGTATTGTTTTCTAATGAAGTCTATCCTGAACTTGTAGGGATTAACATTTATTACATTGTAAATAATAATATTCAATGATATTTAATCTTACTATATTCAAAATATATCATATATTTTATCATTTTATTCAAATATCAAATGAATTATAGTTTAGCCGTTATTTATTGATCATCTAAGTTTCAGATTAAATTTATATGTCTTATAACTTATTGATCTTACCACCTAAGTTGCAATAGTCAATTTAATAGTTATATAAATTGATTATGCTCTTTGAAAATTTGAGACCAAGTTTTTGTATTGATTTAAATTATATTTTTAATAAAATAGTTGTATAAATATAATTATTTTAATATTAATAGTTTATTATCATCCTATATATTTATATACTCTTGAAATTAATTAACATTCATTTGTTTATTAATCTTATCAAATAAATAGAGAATATTTCTAAAATTCTAAATATATTAAGTCTAATTTCTAAAAAAATAACTCTTTTTTTTTAGAATACTTAGAACAGTTACATTATAATCTATTAACATTAATAATCAAGAATAAACCAGGATGATGATAAAAGGTAATGATGATTCAATTTATTCTTTTTATTTGATTTCTAAATTCTTATAAAATTGATTTCCTTAATGGACTGTGTTATACAAATAAAAGAAATGTGCAAATGTTATATTCTTTGAACATCAATCAATTATATAAACACAATAAATTTTAAATTAATTCGTCATTATTTAGCAGCGTTTGATAAGATGCCTCTAAAGATTTTTGATCCTCCGAAATTAAGAATCTATTAATATTTAATATAAATAATTAATTACAGGTGATTAATGTTTGCTACCTTTATTATTATCTTTTTCAATTTTACTACTTTAAGGTTTATGTTCTAAAGATTATGATCTTTCTTTTTATTCCCCAGGAGTAGGAGGTAGATTGACTGGATTGGCAGCAGGTGTTTAATATTTAATAGTTTTGAGTTTCTTTTAGTTTTAATTAACATAGCCTTCAGCTTTCTTAGCCTTTTCTTTCTATTCCTTTTTGATATAAATAAAAGATGAATACTTTAAGGATACGTTTTTCAGCTTCTTTTTATGCTGATAAGATGAAGTTCTTAAAAATTAAGGAATCTCTAACAATTTTAGAGCAAGTGAGACTTTTGAAATATTCATCTAGCTATTGTTTTCGTTCTTCTATCAAATCAGGATCTGAATTAACTGATTTCCACCAATAAGTGCCAGGAAAAGAAGGTAATGTGATTTTGAGAGTCTCAAGTGCTTGATGAAACTTTTTAAGTTCTGAATATCTATGTTAATTATGGAAGACTAGTTGATTTTTTTAATTGAAGAAGCTATCAAATAGGTAATTAGAGTTACTTAAGTTGATAATAGACTGTTTATTCATTCTTTTATGATTGAGATACTGTAATTACAAAGTCGAATATATTGTCTTGCATGAAAATATTGTAAATTAATGCTCTATATAATATTTAATAATGGTAAAGATTACATATTTGATTAATGTTATATGATTAGAATTATAATGTATTGGTTCTGGATTCAATCTTAATAGGAGGAAGGAGGGTACACAAAAATAAATAAAATGAAAAAATCTTTTATTATTGAAAGTGATAGAGGTAATGAAGATTAATAAAGGAAGGGGAGGTTATGTAAGTAATGATTAATAAGGTGGAATAAGAATTATTGTGTATTATTAACGATATTATTAATATAAATAATTTTATAGTTAGCTGGAATGAATGAGTCAGACAAAGAGAATAAGAACGGTATTAGGCTCAATAATAGAAGGATAATAGGGAATTATTAGCTTAGTATATAAATATATTAATAAAAAGTTAAAACATTGGGAGAAGGTACTTTTGGAAAGGTGAAGTTGGCTGTTCATCTGAAATCATAAGAGAAAGTGGCAATAAAAATATTGGAGAAAGAGAGAATTGTAGAAGTTGCAGATGTAGAACGAGTGTCCAGAGAAATACACATCTTAAAATTGATAAGACATAAACATGTAATTCAATTGTACGAAGTATACATTTCTATTGAATATATAGATTATTGAAACTCCCAAGCATATCTTTATTGTGATGGAATTTGCAAATGGAGGAGAACTCTTTGAATATATAGTCAAACATTAACGACTTTAAGAAATCGAGGCTTGCAAATTTTATTAATAACTGATATCTGGTATTGAGTACTTACATAAACTCTGTATTGTACATAGAGATCTTAAGCCAGAAAATCTACTCTTAGACTTCAATAATTCTATAAAGATTGTAGATTTTGGACTAGGAAATACATATAAAAAAGGAGAATTATTAAAAACTGCTTGTGGAAGTCCTTGTTATGCAGCTCCTGAAATGATAGCAGGTTAAAAATATGATTGTTTAATGGTTGATATTTGGAGTAGTGGAGTTATATTATTTGCTAGTATTTGTGGTTATTTGCCCTTTGAAGTATTTTTTTAATTTAGTTAATCTAGGATCAAAATACTTCTGCTCTTTATAAGAAAATACTTAATGGTGAATATTCTATACCTAAATTTGTATCAAATGAAGGTGCCAATTTTATAAAGGCTGTTTTAACAACTGATCCAAAAAAGAGAATTACAGTTGAATAAATGAAATCACATCCCTGGTTCAATCTCTATTAAAGTTAATCTAAGATATCTCCAGGAATCATTGTTGGATATAATAGAATGCCTATTGATGACTCTGTTGTAGACTCTTTATCTCAACAAGGTTATGATAAAGAATACATAATTAAGTGTTTAGATGCCAATAAACACAATGATGTTACAACTGCTTATTATTTGGCATTAAAACGTAATTTAATTAATGGAATCCAATCAAAAGCTGATATTAATAGTAGTGTTTTTGAAGAATCCTTATTGGAACCTAAATAAAGACCTAAAAAACGTAATCATTTATTATAATATCTTTTTAGCTCCCATTTCTAATATTGTTGCCACTTCAATCTTTAAATAAAATAGATCTGGTTCAGTATAATAGAATGGATAAACTAATAGCAATTCTTAAAATAGAGGCAAAAGTGTTCCATAAGCTATTAGTGATGACTAAACTTAAATGCTTGTTAATTATGCACATAAAATGAAATACTAACCTATCAATCCATAATAGAAATTTGCAATACCCACTGATGTTACACAAATCATCTCATTATAATCTGTTGATGACACTTTAGAGAGACCTAAATCCATATCTTATCATATTCCTAAAAAGACACCTACAAATCATTAATCTTCTGAACACAATAAAAGCAAGACTGGTGTCTAAAGAGATTCTGTCTCACCATAATCTAAATCTAAATAAAAGAAGAGTTTATAATAAAAATAAGTTAATTCCTCTTTTGAATATGTCAGTGTCAATAACTATAGTACTAAACAAACTGAAGAACGTAAAAAAAGTAATAGCAAACATACAACTAAAGATTTATTTGATTTAACTAATTATCAGAAAAAGTTAATGATTGATTGTAATCAAAAACCAACTAGTTAACTATGGCAATTACAAAATAACTTTAGATAGAACTCTAGATTGTATGAGATACCAACTTCGACTAAAACAAGTAATTCTGTAAATAAAAGATCAAAAGTACAAAAATAAGAAAATAATAATAAGAGTACAAATCAAAAAAGTACTTTAAATAATAGTTTTAATTTTGATAAAAAATCTTATTATAATTGAAAATACTAAAACTTTAAATGGTTTGAGTATGATAATTATATACATTCATATATTTATATATTTTTATTTTTTTATTACTTTCTCATCTTTTATTAATTAAATATGATTAAAATTTATTTGTATGAAAATATACAATAATATAAATTAATTTATTACTACTTAAAAGATACTATAATATAATATTCATTTTGGCATTAATTTGAAATCTTAAAAATGCAAATCAACTTCTCTATTTATTAAAAATAAGGAATTAAGTACAACATTTTAATATGATTTATTATTTATTAATCTTTAAAATGTTTCTTTCATATTTCTATTATAAATATTATTTATATATACTTATATTCATCTATTTTTTTATCATGAATTTCAAGAGTAATTTCAATCATCCAAAAGAATAATTTTAACAAATACAATTATTTATTATTTATTAAAATTTTGGTTAATTTTGATATATCAATTTACACTAAATACTATCTGAATTTATTTTCATTGAATTATTCTATTTTACTTGATTGAATTAAAAAGTTAAAAGCTTATAATAAATCAAAAATGTGCTTTTATCTATGATTAGATACAGCAATTTAATATATAGTTGAGAATAGATTATAATATTATTTAGGGTTATTGTTGTTTTTCACAAGAAATTTAGGAGTAGCACCAGAAATAAATTTTAATTCTTAAGCCTTCAAATTGAATTAACATTCAGTTGTTAATAATAAAATTCCTGAAATTTAGTATAAATTCATTGCAAGATTAGTAAAACTTGTTTTTCTGAATTCCAAGTAACTTTTGAGTTCTTCCATTCTCATATCAATATTTCCAATAAATTATTTGTGTGTTGTTAGTAATTCATTCTAATTAAATGAATAAATATACAATATTATTGCCTTTTATGATATTATCTATAAAATCTTTATGATATTCAAGAAGATTTTATTAAAACTGTTCTTAAACAATAGATTCAATAAAATCTTATGTTCTTTAATTATCTCCAAACATATTTTCAAAATTTTCAAAGAATTTTTTATCCTAAAATACTTCAACTCCATATTTATATTTCATCATTTCAGCTTATATTTTATCAATAGCTTATGAAAGATTAGGTTCAGTAAGTATAATTAATAATCCTCCAATATCTGGGTATTTTTCAAATACTTGTCCTAAAATTCCATTTAAAATTTAATTCATTTCAATCATTGTATTTTCATTTTGTATTTCTAAAAGAGATTGTATAATAAAGAATAATGTAAAATATTCTAATTTAGAAACTAAGGAATTCTATGTTTTATAAATTTCTTTTAAGACTTCCTAATATCTTTATAAATGTATATCAATTTTGAAACCAATATCTCTTGGAATAGCATCTTATAAATCCTATAATGTCCAATTATCACATCCATCTTTATTTACAATATGAGTAGTCTTTAGAGTCATCCAAAAGAATAAATCTTAATCTTAAGTAAAATGTTGATTTTCAAATACTTATGATACTGATCCTGAATCAAAGGCAATCAAATAACATTATTCAAATAAATCATCATCACAAAATTAATCAAGCTTTTATATTTTTTATTGATTTGTTTCACTAAAAATATGTTTAATAATAATTACATTTTATCTTCTAAGAGTTCAAAAAATAATTAATATTTTTGATTCTTGATAAATTAAAACATGATTGATTTTGCTTATTTTAATTATCCACATCTCATTAATAAGAATAAGATACCACTTGGATAATATTGACCTACACTTTAGATAGTTAGACGTTTTGATAAGTTATTATAATAAATATCTTTGAATTTCTCTAAAATAATATTATATATAATATAAATTACAATTAATATTAGCTAAATCTAGAATTCCAATTCTTCTATTCATTTCTGATTCTAAAATTTTAATTGAATTCTAGAGAAGATTTTTTTGAATTGTATCAGATTGAAATTAGATACCTTGAAATTAAAGAGATAATAATTTCATTATATCCTTATGATCACTCTAAATATTCACAAAACAAGAAAATAAAGTTTCATAATAATCTGTTTTATCAACATACTTATTTTCTTAAATTTATTTTTAGAATTCTAAGAATTGCTCCAATTTTTCATAAAATTCTTATTCTTTAAATAATTTTTCAATTATTAATTAATTATGAGTATTAAAAGAAATAGATTTAATTGAAACAGATTTTGGTTAGACATATTCTGCTCTGTTATCATGTAATAAATTTATTAATTCTTTAGTTTATCTACTTTATGTAAGTATTTCTTTTTTTTAAATTGTATTTATCATCTAAATAATATATAATGATATATTACATTTTTATTCATTTAAAATTTATTATTAAGTTCCAAATAATTTGATACCTATTATGAATATAATTCCTTGATTTTATTTTGAGATTAAAATAATAAATTTTATTTTTCTTAATCAGCTTTGATTCTTTGACTCAATCTTTATAATTCATCTTTTTTTGTATATTCTAAATTACGTTCATTTAAGTTAAATTTTTGAAATAATTAACACACCTTTTAACTGAGAGTGTCAACTAATAAATCTAAAATAGTTTTATAAAATATATTACATTAAGTTTGTTTAACATTTATTTGCTTTTGAAATTTTTTCTATATTCTATTTTTTAAATACTTAGTTTGCAACACAAATAATTATAATTCCTATTATTTTGTCTATTAATATTAAGCTAATCATAAATACCAATTCAGGCTTTTCCTTATAATACTTAACTAGGTTTTCGAATTCACCTTTCTTTAGTATTTGATTTTGAGGTTATACAGTTGTTGTAGTCAATTATGGCTATAATTATTAATTTGCTAATGGTTATGGTTATGGTTATAATCCTCCTTATTGTGTTTACATTGTTGGTAATGTTTGAGCTTTTTTATTAATTATAGTATTACGTTAACCAAAGATTGATGGTGCTTATTATGTGTTAGGTTAGGTAGTTAGAAGCGTAGTTGGCTACAATCCAAAATTCATTATTACTTAATTTTAGAGTACTTTTTATTTAAAATATTAAAAATTATTAACCACACTTCATTATTACATTATTAGTAATCATTAAATTTTATAATAAATAGATTAATCATTGTAGTAAGAAGTATTAATATATATATAAATCAAGTAATTCATCTTAGTTTACCTATGGTTGGTTTATGTATTTTGTTTATTCTAAAAGTATTAATAGACTTTTTTGATTGTAAATCCATTTCACCAAAATCTAATTTTCTTTGCACGCATTACATTTCAACATCGCTGAATGTTTTTTAGAATTTATCTACAAATGGTATGTTTATCATTTATTGGAACTTGCTTGATGATTTAGGAGGTGTGAAAGACATTTTGTAAACAATAATTTTTATTATTAAAAATATTATTATTTTAATTATATTTATACATTTGTATATGCAAATAATATATTTATTACTTTTGTACAATTATACATTTTTTCACTAATAATATTAATTTTGAATAAGGTCATTAAATTATACGTTGCATGTTTAAATTCAAATTAAATTAATTATGAATAATAAAGGGACATTCAAGAACAGGGATATCAATACTTTTTTAACTAACTATCCAATATTAGATAAATAAACTAAAAAACCATTTGAATATTTGAATCTCGCTTATTCCAAACAATTTGATTATTCCCCTATTAAGAAATAATCTTACTCTTCTAAAGCCAATGAAACTTAATATAAGAGTCTCTAAGAAACTTCATTTCTAAGATAAAACACTTTACCCAATTATGAACCAACAAGATGTTCTAGTTTGAAAAATGGAATCATAAAAGCTTATGCAGCAAATACAAATTAAGGATTAGTTAGAGATTACAATGAAGATAGAGTCTCAATTATCTTAAACATTATAAAACCATAAAGTAGAGAAAATGAACAATGGCCAAAATGTTCATATTTTGGAGTATATGATGGACATGGTGGTTCTGCATGTTCAGATTTTTTAAGAGATAACTTACATTAATTTGTAGTAAAGGAACCAGAATTTCCATGGAATCCTATTAATGCTATAACAAAAGGATTTGAAGCAGCAGAAAAATGCTTTTTATAAATGGCTTAAGATTCATTCAATAAAGGTATCCCAGAAAGAAGTGGATCATGTGCAATTGTAGTATTAATCATTGGTGATACATGTTATGTAGCAAATGTAGGAGATAGTAGAGCTATATTGAGTGCAGAAAATGGAAAAAAAGTTATTGATCTTTCAAAAGATCATAAACCAGAATTAGAGAAAGAAAGAATTATTAAAGGAGGAGGATAAGTGTATTAAACTCATGGAATAAATGAAGATGGATAACCAATTTTAGGACCTGTGAGAGTAAATCCTGGAAGATTATCTGTATCAAGAACTTTTGGAGATATTGAAGCTAAATTAGAGAAATTTGGTGGGAATCCAAAAATAGTTATAGCTGAACCAGAAATAAAATAATTTAAAATTATAAATGAACATGATTTTATTGTTTTAGGAAGTAAACATAAAATATAAAATTAAATTAGGTGATGGTATATTTGACACTATGAGTTCAAAAGATGTAATAAATGGAATTTGGAAGGATGTTTAAAGTAATTAAAATACTAAAGATTTACCATATATGATGTCAAATGCAGTGGAATCAGTAATCAAAGAAAGTTTATTACGAAAGACAACTGATAATGTTACATTATTAATTATAGCTTTCTCTATAACACCTTTGAGAGAAGAAGAAATAAGAGTTAAGACTATATCATATATAGATAAATTAGTTAAAATTCCATAGAGTAGCAATACATCTAATTTAAGAACTAGGTATATTTATTTATAAATATTTTAGTAAATTTAATGATGAAAATAATCCATTTTTTATTAATGCATAAAAATTAAAATAAAATCCAAAGTTAACTAAATTCAATTTTGAAGATAATCTTAGATATCGTTTAATTGGTTGATAATAATGTTAAGGAAAAGTGATTCAATTTGAAATTTTTTTCAAAATTAAATTATTACTTATTCAAGCATTATATATTTAAAATTCTAATAGTGTATCTAAATAATAAGCATATTTTTAGTTTACAATAATATATATTATAATATTAATTTATCTTAAATGTCAATTTTTTCACCTTCTCAAAAATTATCAGACTTACTCAAACATGAAGGAAGATCAAATTCAATGCATTCATTCTATAATAATAGATCATCATGTTACTCTACATTAAATTTGAATAGTTCGTTGCTTAATGGATGGGATTCTTAAAATCATCAACCTATCTCAATTTTAACATCTAATCGTAGTGACATCAAATAGATAAATGTATCTGCATCTAAATAAGTATCAAATAATTATACTTAAGGATATTACTAATGAGATAGTATCATCTAAACATGATAGGAGATCATCTACACATGTATTTGTTCATTCAGGATTGGATGCTTATCAAAAGTATTAGAGTTAGCCAAGGAGAGATATGAAGATATATCCAAATTTTAAATAGGAATTATTGCATGAAGTAGTGAAGATCGAAAAACCATTTTATATTACCTCAGTTGATGAAGTGGAACGATATTGGAAAGCCAAAGAGTTAATGTTACTCAGATAGAAAAGTCAATTGGAATTTGAAATAAAGTTTCAAGCATAACAAGCTAATAAAAAACCAGTGATTCTCAAAGTAGAACCTTTACAGGAAATAGCAGATATGGAGGTTGAAATATAATAATTAGAAATATTATTAAAGTATGAGTCCCTATTAAGAATAGGAACAAAAATAAAAAGGTTAATGAATTGAAATGGGAAAGTGAAGAATTAGATGTTAAATATGAAAACATGATAGATTAAGATAATGATACACAATTTCTCAAATATGAAAAGTAGCTAAAGAATATTTAATAATCATTTAAGGATTTAAATAGAAGGTTTCATGAAACTGAAGAACAAATTACAATGAAAGAAAATGAAATTGAATCTAGAAAGAAATAAATCCAAAGAAAATCTTCAATTATTTTACCATCTAATCTCAGAAACTCAATGACTGACTCTAAATTCAAATAGAGATCCTCTTTTAAGAGATAAAGCATAAACTCTGGAACAATGAGTCCTACTCGAGTGACCTTCTCATAAAAAAGTTAACCCTCAGAAGAGTGTATTAAATTCAAACATTGATATTGATATTATTTCTATTTATTTAAATATTGTAAACATAAATTATCTTAAACTCTTAGATAATGATAATGAAATTAAAAAATCATATTTAAGATATCATTTTCCAAAAACTATACTTCTAATTACTGGTAATGAGTCTTATAAGGTTTAATCCACATTATTTTTGCAAACAATCAGACCATCCTTGTTAGACATCGATAATGTTTTGGGAATAACCTTGCTATCTTTAATATTTCAATACTTCTGAACCAGATTCTTATAAGGAATATTCTTGAACTCCCTTTGTGAAGTTGTTTATGAGAGTTCTTTCATCCAAAAAATTTATCTTTGTCTACTTTAATTTTGATTTCGAACTCAAATCCATTTAACTCATATTTTAAGATATCTTAAAATTCAGCATTGGCATCATCAATCATATTCTTCATGTTTTTGATGTCTATACTTATTATATCTACTTATTACTATTTCTTATTGTAATCAACATTCTTAATATTGATATACAAATATTCAAATATATGATCACTATTTCAATAGATTAGTCATAATTACATCAATAAATTCAAATCCCATAACTTTTCCAATAAATAACCAGTATATCTTTCCTTCTTAAATATTTTATGTAAAGAATATAAATACTATCTTTTTTTAACTATTATTAAACTGATAAAGAGCATCTATTAGACCTAGAGATTATCACAATTTAATATATATGTATCAAATATCAGTTCAGATAGATAAATATATTTTTGTCATCATACATTATTTACATAATTATGATTACTCATTAATTATTATGATTTTCTATTCTTATTAGACACTTTATTTTTTTTTGTGTATGATCTACTTTAGAGATTCTTGATCTTATAAATTTTTGTATTACAACCATATTCTTACTAAATAAAGAAAATTACTTGATATTATTATTAATATACCTTTGCTATTTATGCTCCTTTTTCTCTTATAATATTCATAAGGAATACCAATATTTATTAACAAATGTCTAAATTATTGTTAATTCTATTTTCAAAGTTAACAAAATAATATAATAATACTTATAATTTTGATAATTTATAATGCAAATAAAATAAATTTTTAAAATCTTATTGATTTTGAAATCAAGTTCCATATTAATTATTTTGGTGCTTTTTGATTGATAAATACACCCTTATAATATTAAGATTAAAAACAAATAATTAAATAATTATGTAGATCAATTACTTTTATATTCTTATAGCATGTATATATAAATATAATCTTTGTTCTTTTACAAATTACAAGTATATAGTAATTTATTAAATACAAAGAATTTGAAGAAATTATATATTTTTCTCTAATTAAACTTATGGATAATACTAAATTAAAGAGAGATTAGTTTCGATTAATGCTGCATTCATAGTAGCGTTTGAACTAGTTTTAAGAGAATAGAAAAAAGTTCTTGTAAATTATTATGGAAGAATAATAAATAAATGAATTGAAATTGAAAGTAAAGGTGGCAATTCAATAATTGAATGATAATTTAACTGACTTTGATTTCGATTGCCCTAATAGCGAATTAAATACTTTTACAGCTAATATAATGTAAATATTACCAGAAATGAAAAAATGTATTGAAAATTTAGCAAAACCTGACTTAGAAGGATTAGGAAATAAGTTTTGGAACATATATTGTTTTTTGTTATATAATAAGGATAATCCATGCTTTATTGAAATGTTAGATTTACTTACATTAGGTTGTTAGAAAAGTATGGTATTTTGTGACTCTTATTGTAAATCGACTTTATACAATAATCTATAGACTAACGTAACTTAATTATCTATTTAATATCAATTGGAATTTTTAAAATAAACAGTCCTTATTTAATCTCATTAAGAGCATTCATTATAATATGATAAAATATGTGAAATCATTAAATAAATAAATGCCCAAATCTAAATATCAAAAAATCTGGAATATTAATATAAACAAATAATATAAATTATTATAGATTTATTTTTAACCTTAAGAATAGAATAAGTTAATAAAGTGGCACTGTAATATCAAATAAATAGATATTTTTTAACATTATTTACTAATTTAACATCTTTGGATGAGATTCTAATAGGAGATGAATTACTCAATTATATTGATTATTTAAATAGAAATAAAACTCTATTCAACATTTCCACAATTGAATTAATCAATTAATTATCATTTAATTCATAATTAAGTTCATATCCTGATGAAAAATCTATGGCAATTGCTATCATAGGAGTATTGATGTCTGGTAATTTAACTTAATCAAAATACTATTTTGATAAATTTAGCACTGAAAATTTATCATTGGATTAAAAACTACTCTAAAACTTAAAATTATAACCTTAAGTAAGAAGAATGACTGTTTTTGCATTTTCAAATATCTTTGGAGAAATCTCTTATGATAAAGTTGACTATTTTTAAAATGGAACTGTTATTTAATTCTTAGTATATGCAAGACAAGAGCATGAGGTTGAAGTTATCTATGAAATTTTACAAGCTTTGCGAAATTTAATTTATCATGCTCAAGAGAATTATTTACCAATTTTACTACAGTAAGATGTTGTTTCCATAATTTTAGAGTGTGAAAACTACTTATTGAATGAATAATAAGTTGAATGTATAACTATAAATATATATAATAGGTTTATTGATGTTAATCTATAGATTTGAATAATATGATTAAAAGGAATTGTAGAATTTGATATAATTTCCTAATTTTATACAATATTTGTGTTTCAAAGGAGTAGCAAATTTTGTAAGAAAAGTATTTGATAGTTCTAAATTTGGAAATAGTGTATAAAAATAAACAAATAATGATGGATAGAAAGATGAATACTAAAATAAACTTCTTAAATTGTGTGAAATTTTTTGTTGAATACAAATATTGCTATTGAAATGAAAAATTAAAATTAATTAATGAAATATTATTAACAAAATTTCACTTTCTTTTATCATTTCTTAATAAAATACTCTCTACTATATAGAAAAATGATTAATTTTAAATATCTCAATATTAAATAACATATTATAATCCTATTTTATTTTCTAATATATATTAAATAAACTAATTTATTAATAAATAATATATATTTATTATTTTTTATTAAGAAATAATTGTTACTTTATATACAAACTATAATATGAGATGAAAATTATCTAACTAATATTATAAATAGTTGAATGTTTTAATATCATTGTATTTATTGGTTTTTTGATTCCATATTTTAATTATAAATTTCTCTATAATTTTAATAATACTTATTAAATCTTAATTGCTATTTATGTTAATCTTGGTTTTAATTAAAAATATACGATTAATATCAGAATATTTAAAAAAATGGATCTTTTTTCAGTAATATAATCAATAATTTAAATATCTTGTTGAAATATTTGTTGATTTATAGTATGACCATATTTAATTAATTGAAATTAATCAATTATATTTTAAGGATCTTATTAATTTAAGAGAAATCTGATACTATATATAAATAATCTTATGAGATTTATAATATAATAATTATGATAAAAAATGAGATTGATTGATTTTCAAAATTAAGTCTTTAAAGTTGAACCTCTTGTGCTTTTTCTAAGAAGATTAATAGCCTAAATGGGTGGTTTTGGTTGTTTTTACTCAACTTTTAATTTCAAAGTTTTAATAAACCTTTTGGCCATCATGACAGTGCAAAATCCATTGTCTTCGGCTTTAGTATTTGATTTATTGATTGATTTTTTAGGGAGATTTTTAGTTACTTCATAATGTCTTTCTTTTTGAGTATTAAATTCAGTTTGTTTTCTTCTCATTTCTTCAACTTCATGTTGAAGTCTCATGAATGTAACAATGTCTTAGCAATCCATATCAACACAAATTTCTTTGTCTAATTTATACTCTTCTAAAATAGCTTTTTCATTATTAAAAAAGTTCTAATTTTAACATAAGCTTCTTAAGAAATCAATGTCTTTTTTAACTACTGGGTATCTAGTATTCTTCATTGCTTTGACTTTCTACAAAGCAACTTATGCTCTTGACTAAGATGAGAATTAAATAAATATTTTACTGAAGAAATTTGAGGGGATTTAAGAATAGTAGGAGTATTTAAAGCTTTAAGATTTTAACTTGCTAATTTATTTTCTTCCTCATATATTTGAGACTTCTTGATAACTTCTTAATTAGGTTCATTAAGACTATCATCAGAATCAATTCCACTGAAACTGCTGGATTCTGAAACATAAAGTTCAAATTCTTTTTCTTTTTTCTTTTTTTATTAAAGTAAATAAGCAGCTTAATTTTCTGGATCACCAGATAGACTATCATCAGAATCTTTGTCTACTTGAATGAGAGTGTTAAAACGTTCTCTTTCATTAGGATCTTAAAGCTTTTGAATAATTTTTTTCTTTGCATTTTGGAATTAGTATTTACACTTATCTTATATTGATTTTCTTGATTCTGTTTAGATTCGAGTGCGATGAACAGAATCTTTGGTTACCCTCATTTCACTGTTTATGATAGTTTGGAATTTGTAGGCACCAAAACCTACTCCTAATTAATTAGTCATGTGAAAATTAAATATGAATGTTGTTTGGATAAAAGAATTTATTATTAGGTATGATACATTAGTATAAAATTAAAGACATTTTCATTATAAAGAAGCAATCTTTTTCTTCTTAGGTTCATACATTTCCAACTATTCCTTTTGCCAAATGAATTATCTCTAATCAGCTGGAGTCATACGAAGTAAAATGTGAGTCTAATAAATAATAATATATATAATTATATTACCCTTCTAGTTTAATGCAACATAGTTTTACCTTCAGGATTCTCAATAACTGATTCCTCATAATTAAGATTCATTTTATTCCAAGGATCAGCTTTGTTAAGAATCAAAAAATAGGCAATATTATTTTATTTATGAATCAAGGCTAGATATAAAGGAGTTCTTCCTACAATATCTTAAGAATCTGGATCTGCTCCATATTTTAATAATATTTTAGCAGTAGATTCTAAACCTCTCATAGCACACCAATGTAAAGTAGTCATGAGTAAATGATCATATTCATAAACTAAATATTTATTATTATCTAAACATTTAATGATCTCTTAATCTTAACCCTATTTACATAATTAAAAGAAATGTTTTGATGAATTGTGTTCAAATGGTTTTGAAGGAAATACTTTATGTGATAAAAATTCTTTAGTTGTTAATTTAAGTTTCTCCAAATGTCTCAAATATTAAATCAAAGATGCTCTTATTGTTTTGTATTTATGTTTTAATGGTATATTTTCAGATGGAAATTTTTGAAAATTTAGTAATCCTCTTATTTATTTACTTCCATAAAGTTTGTTCTTGTATACAAATGTTATTTACATTAAAATCATCAATTTCTGAACAATCTCTATATCTAGAGAGTTAATTTGGACTTGTAAATTGAGGAACTAATTGTTGCTATGGTTGAATTTATTTGGAAATGATTTCAGATTTGATATCTCCTTTAGTGATTTCATTTATTAGTTGATATTTTGGATCTATAGTTAATGAATGAAATTTGGTGGTTGTTTAATTTGGGCGATAAGTTTAAGATGTAATAATTTAGGATTTTTTGGAAAGAATTGTTGGAATTTTTTTATTCAATTTAACTACAAATCTTTATGGTTTATGATTTAATTGTAATTTTTTAGTTTACATATTCTAAGAGGCAGAAGGAGTATGTGTTTTAGTTGTACTTTTACAATAATAATTATTAGATGTTGATAGAGTGGGTATTTGTATTACTTGAGTATGAGTGAATGGTATATCACATAATAATTAACTTAATAAGATTGGATGATTCTAAACATCTTGATGATTAGGTATAAGCGACTTGAATTTTGTTTTTCTTGGAGTTGTTGGTACTGATTAATGAATCTTGTCTAGGTTCAATAGACGTATATAATTTGTTTTGGTGAATCTATTTAAGTGAATATGAATACTAGTTTTCAGTCTTGTTTCTTTTCATAAAATATTAATATATAATAATAATGGATAAGGACATTGATGTAGATAAGGTTATTTATATCTCCATCATAGATCTTAGAGAAATTGTTAGAAACCAAAGGAGCTCGTAGTGGAAAACCAGTAAATCTAACAGAAAGCGAAATCAGATCATTGTGTGTTAGAAGTAGAGAGATTTTCTTAACTCAACCAATGTTACTAGAATTGGAAGCACCCATAAAAATATGTGGTAAAATACTATTCTTATATAAAGGTGATATTCATGGACAATATACTGATTTATTGAGATTATTTGAATATGGGGGATTTCCACCTGAGGCTAATTATTTATTTCTTGGAGATTATGTCGATAGGGGTAAACAATCTTTAGAAACTATCTGTCTACTACTTGCTTATAAGATTAAATATCCAGAGAATTTCTTTCTACTTAGAGGTAATCACGAATGCTCTTAAATTAATCGTATATATGGATTCTATGATGAATGCAAAAGAAGATATAATATTAAATTATGGAAAACTTTTACAGATTGTTTCAATTGTTTACCTGTATGTGCAGTCATTGACGAAAAGATTATTTGTATGCATGGAGGATTATCTCCTGAATTAACAAATTTAGAATAAATACATAGGATTATGAGACCTATTGAAGTACCAGATACAGGGTTATTATGTGATTTATTATGGTCTGATCCTGAAAAAGATGCTTAAGGATGGCAAGGTAACTTAAATAATTTATCTATTTTAGAAAATGAAAGAGGTGTTTCATACATTTTTGGATAAGATGTTATTTCCAATTTCTTGAAGAAAAATGATTTAGATTTAGTTTGTAGAGCTCATTAAGTTGTTGAAGAAGGTTATGAATTCTTTGCTAAGAGACAATTAGTTACTATCTTCTCAGCACCCAATTATTGTGGAGAATTTGATAATTCAGGTTTTATATTATTTAATGATTTAAGGAGCACTTATGAGTGTAGATGAAACTTTGATGTGTTCATTTCAAATACTAAAATCATAAGATAAAAAGAATGTCCCATAAGCTAGACCAAGAACACCTAAATATGTTAATTGATTTAATTGAATAATTATTTAATATAAATCATTTTCCTTTTTCAAATATAGAGATGAATAATTAAAATACGAACTTTATATTAGAATAGTAAGATTTTTTACTAAAATTATTTTATTATAAATTATAACGATTATGATAAATAATATTAATAATTATTTAGATGGACACACCACCATAAAATAATTCAAAATATAATGTGGATGATGATTTTAGACATGATGTTTGCTAAAGAATCTATACTAAAACAGGAAGTAATATAAATAATAATAAATAGAAATGAATCAAAATTAAATTTAATAAGCAAAATAATTTTCAGAAAAAGATTAACTATAGAAAATGTAGAATGATTTAAGAGGACAATTAAAATATATTGAAGAAACTAATTGGATGTTTGAAGGTTTAAATAATAACAATGATAATTTTTGAATTTATTATACATTGATAATCATACTATATTGTTATTATTTTAAATTAATAATAATTCTCTATAATTAAAAATATTCTTGACAAGTTTACTTAAAATGGAATTATGATAAAATGAATGAATTTTTGAATTAGTTGTTAATTTCTAGAAAAATCGATTATTTTTTAAGAAATTAATGGAAAAATCTGTTAATTTTGAATGATTAGCGATCATTTAAAAAGGATGCACATAAAATTTGAATAAAAATTTGAGAATTCATTTTATTTTGATAAATAAAATATAAGTATTTTTCTAATTAGGAAGTTTAAGAAATGTTGTGAAATGGATTATAAGTTATATATTATAGTAATTTAAAAGAAGTTACTTTGAATAATTTATATTTTTAATGGACTCATTATAAATACAGAAGTAACTTATGGTTGAGTAATTGAATAAGTTAGAATACATGGATAAAATCCTTCCATTACACAAGGATGAAGTTTAAGCAGAAAAGAAATTGTAAGTTCAGATCAATAGTCTAAATTTTAAAAGAATAATCGAAGGGTAGGAAAATAATAAATTGATGGCAGAAATAGAAGAGTCAAAATTAGATGTACAAAAGAATAGACAAAAAGCCTTTCAGAAATATTTTACTTCATTTATGACAGAGAAATAACAATAAGATGTCAATATACTTGAATTTAATTAAAGTGATTTTGAAGTTTTTCAATAATTAAAGGAGAGACAAAGATAATTGGCATAGGAAGATCTGACAATAGCTAGATAGAAGGAGAAAAGCAATTAAATATTTGAATAGAACCTAATGAAGAAATGGGATAGAGTGAGGAAAAGTAGTATATTAAGTTATTTTAAGAATTACGTATGATTGGTAGAATGAAAAGATTATATGACGAAGTAAAATTGTATGGTACAAGCTGTAGAGTAGAGACTTCAATAAAAAGACATGAGGTTATTTAGGAACTGGAATAAATGCTTAACAAACAGAATTAATAAATAAGCAAACCAATGCCACAGAAACACAGTAAAATTATAATCTATGATTATATTAGAGCATCTATTCTTACCAGATTCAAAATTTAAGAAATATTGGCAATATGTTCTGATGATATTATTAATTTACACAGCCTTTATAACTCCAATCCGTTTAGCATTCATAGAAGAATTTAATATAATATGGTTTAGTTTGGAATTAATTGTAGATATATTATTTTTTTTGGACATCTTAATTACTTTTAATACAGCTTATTTTAATGAAGAAGGAGTCCTTATAGTTGATCGTTAATAAATAGCAAATTAGTATTTAAGAACATGGTTAATATTTGATTTAATGGCTATATTTCCAACTGATTAAATATTTGAGAATGAAGCTCAAAAGTTATCCTAATATTTTAAGTATGAATATTTATTAAAGACAATATAATAGATTAACAAGATTACCTAGGATGTATAAATTGATAAGTATTAGCAGAATGTGGTCAACTGTTTAAAATTCATAAAATCATAATGATTGTTTTTCAGCAATTCAAGACTTGATAAATTTAAATTCAACAACAGTTAGAGTACTCAAGTTTTTTGGTACTGTTCTTGTTTGTGTACATATAATGGGTTGTCTTTGGTATCTAGTTGCTAAAATGAATAATTTTGGACCAAATACTTGGGTATATGAATTAGATTTGCTCAGTAAAAGTGAATATGAATTATATTTAACTTCTATTTATTGGGCTGTAGCTACTATTTGTACAGTAGGATTTGGTGATATCCATGCTTTTAATGATAGTAAAATATAAATTATACATAGCTGAAAGAATTGTATGTATATTTTGGATGTTTTTTGGAGTTGGCTTCTATTCATTTACTGTTGGTTCCCTTTCCACTTTAATGGGAACATTGGATACAAGAGAATCTCATCTACAAAGCAAGATTACTTTTATGGATGAGTTTTGTGAAGAAACTAAATTATCATTATAAATGAAACACAAAATAAGAAAAGTTTTGGAATACAATTCAATGATAAATATATTCTCATCTGCTGAAGTAGATGAGTTTCTATCTGAAATACCTACAAATCTTAAATATTAAATTGCCTAAGCAATGTATGCTGGTCTTAAAAATAGAGTATCATTCTTCAAAAACAAAGATTCAGTCTTTATATCTACTTTAATTCCTAAATTATAGCCTTTAAAAATTAATGCTGGTGAATTTGTATATAATAAGGGAGAATATCCTAATTAAGTGTATTTCATTGTAAATGGAAGAGTAAATATGGTTATTGGAGTATATTCAATCACATTTAAAACATATGTAACAGGTAGTTATTTTGGTGAAATTGAAATATTTGATAATAGTGCACGATTTCATTCAGCTAGAGCTGAATTAGAATGTGAATTATTGGCAATTGAATAGGATGTATTTAAAAAAATATTGCAAGCATTTCCAGAATATTTTGAAGAAATTAAAGCTATTTCATTAGAAAAATTAAAAAGAGAAAAAGATTCAATTGAAAAATTATAAGATTTAACTGGTTTATCATAAACATCAGAATTTTTTAACAAAAAGAGAACTCAATCTATATATAAATCAATTAAATAAAGAGAATCTGTTCATTTCATAGAATATAGTGAAGAATCAGAATAAGATATGAAATCTATGAGATCAAGTAAATTTGGTTTCTTTAAAAAGAAAACCAATCATTTAATTCCTGAAGAAACTCTAACTACTAGATTACATACCTAAGAAGATACTTCCCAAAAGAATCTTGTTGTTTCAGATAGTAGCCAAAAAAAAAATGAAGAACCTGAAAAATTAATTACATTATCAATTCCAGATTAATTAAAAAGAGATAGTGAACATAAAATAAAATTATATGGTGAAGTTCCTATAGCAATATCTTAATTTAATGAAGATCTTGATTAGACTCAATAATCAAAAACTAATCAAAGAATCTAAAGTGAAGAACCAAACCGTCCTACTCAAACTAAATAAGTTAGATATATTAGTTAGAATCTCAGATGTAGTCCTAAAAGAAAAGAATAACGAAAACCATCTATATAGATATCTTCAACTAATGAAATTGCAGGTTCTGATACTCCATTAATCTCTTCAGTAAGATCTAATTTTATTAAACCTTCTATTAAAATTGATGAGGTCTCTCATGAATCAGAAGGCTCAAATAAAAACTCACCAAATATGTCCATACATCCCCATACTGCATTCTCTAATGCTTAATCTCCTTAAAATTCACCTAGAAGAAATTCAACTCAATCTAAATTCCCTAAACCTTCTCCTTTTCAAAAATAATAGTCAATTTTCAAAAATGTTAGTAATCAATATATTGAAGCAAGTAAACTTAAGAATTTGCCTAGATTAGGTGGATTTAGAAGAACATATAGAAAAGAAAGAGAAATTGAAGTCTTAGAGGAAACTATTGAAAATGAAGATTACACTTAATTACAATAAAAATTAGTTGAATTATTAGAGAAGATTAAGAAATAAAAAGAGCAATAAAAAGTTAAAAAATAATAAATCAAATTCAACATTATAAATCCATTGCCTAAAAACATTAAATTTGAATAAAAAGATTCTATAAGTATTTCAGATTTACCAAATGTTGAAAAATAATAATTATCTTAATAAGATAGTAATAGTAGTGGTATATTAGAATGATATCACATAAATTTTCATCTCAACTTTATTATTTATTTATAAATTTTTTCATATTCTTCTGAATTTCCTTGTATTTTTTAACATTTTATTACATAAACAGAGTCACATAAAAGAGCCATTGTTAATGTCATTACAAAATCGCATTTACTTATCCTCAATTCAAATTTGCTTCTTCTTATATCAAAATTTTATTATTATAGATGAGATATGATTTTTTAAGTTAATTTTTATGGATCTACAAAAACAAGTTAATTGAGATGATAGGGACCTTCATGTTACCTTACTACAATCACAGGACTTTACGGTCGCTCATAAGAATGTTAATTATTAAAATTTGGAGCCCTATAAACAGCAGATCTTTAAGGAGTTTTCAATGTTCTTGGTTTTTAAGGTGGTGCAGGTGAATGATCTGCATTTTCAAAGGCTCTTTATTTAAATTGCATGGCTTTTAATTTGATTTGTTCAACAGTAGGAAATAAGGTTTCAGGTTTTTTTTCAATACTTAATGAAACTTATCTTACTCTAGAATTATAATCATATTAATTATAATTAGAATAGTTTGGAGTATTATTTAATGATGTTTGCATTGATGTTCTTTCAGGATAGGGATTCTAAGTTGATAAATTTAATTACTGATTCGTAATTACATCATTATCTTATGGCTAATCATGATTGCCCTCATATTAATTATTATTCATAGTGTTAATTTGTGATAGATTGATTAAAGTTTAGATTTCATTGAAATTTTCATTAATATCTTCAATCTAATTCTAATTTTTAACATCTGGTATTTATGATATCCTATCTTATTAAGAATTTTAAACATTGAAATTTTTTAAAGAATTGGTAGATTTCTATTCTTGATTATTTTTATGTGATATTTTATTTTCTTTAATGTCAACCTAACTAATCCTTTAGGATTGTATATTAGATGTCTCTTTAAGGATAGCTTCTTATGGATGTTGTGGAGGAGGGATTTAAATTAATTTATATTGAAATGTCTCATCTTGATCCTATTATTTTTCTTTTAAATATTTATTTAACAATAAATAGTATGTAGTAGTTACTTGATCATGTTTATTGGCTTTTAAATAGGCATATGCTTGAGACAATTTAAAATTATAATTAGCCAATTATTGCAAAACCTCTTCACAAATATTGATTTATCCATATCCTGGAGTTAATATTGGATTAGTAATACATGTTTAAATCCAATAATGTTTGACTATTTATTAAATATTATATCTTTTGAGAGGATCTACTTACAATATTTTTTCAAGAAGATCCTTACATAAAGGACTCATGTATTTTGGAGTAGCATATTCACCATATATGATTTTTTTATACAATTAACTTGTATTGCTGTCTTCAAAAGGAAGGTAACCATTTACCATAGCATATAAAATGACTCCACAACTCCAAGTGTCTGCAGATTTTGGATCATACTCTTTTCCAGCTATCATTTCAGGAGCAGCATAACAAGGACTACCACATGCAGTTTTGAGTAATTGGCCATCTTTAAATTGATTTGAGAGACCAAAATCAACTATTTTGATCTTGTTATTTTCATCTAATAACAGATTCTCAGGTTTTAGGTCTCTAATATATTTAATTACGGTTACCTATGCATAACATAATTATCATGCATATATTGAACTCCAGAGAGAATTTGCATCATATACTCTGCTGTCTCTTTTTCATTCAATCTTTAGTTTTTAATTATAACTTCAAACAATTCTCCACCAGGTGCATATTCCATAATCAAATATAAAGAATTTATAGTTTCAACTATCTTCAAATAATTGTGATCTTTACTTCATAGATCTATATTATATTTGGGTGACGTAGTTTCTTTAGACAATTAATCTCCCTTGAGATTCTTTCGTAATCAATGTTTTCTTTCATTTTATCTTTCTCCAATATTTTAATGGCTACAGTTTCATTTGTAATAGTATGTTGACCCAATTTAACTTATCCGAAAGTTCCTTCTCCAATAGTTTTACCTAGGATGTAATTTCTTATTGATTTAATATTCATTCAAAAATTAAATTAACTGATGGGAAGTGTTTGTAAGAAACAAGACGCTGAAAATGAACTCAATAGTTTAATTCCAAAAAAGAAAGGAGATACAATAACCATATCATAAAATCATGGAGGAGGATCACAAATTATCTAAAAAAAGAGAATTACTGGAAACAAAGGAGAGTATGAACCAGATGCTGTTGTTGAGAAATTAGAAGTGGAAGTATCAATTACTATATGATGAAAGCTTAAACGTAATGACAAAAAAAAGTTGGTTAAGGTTGAAGCTCGTTAGGATCAAGAGGAAATAGTAGAAAACATTTAAAAAAGTAATAAAAAGAAATCACCTTTCGATTACTAACTCATTCTGAATTCTTTCAATACTAATTCTCTCTTTTAATCACTTTCTCAATAGGAACAGTAAAAAATATATAATATTTCTTCAGGGAAGCTATTTTAGAATAAATGTTCTATTGTACTACACCTGATGGTCAATTCGTATTTAGACAAGGAGATTTGAAGGCAAGTTCGTTTTTTCTGATTGGTATTGATTGGTTTATATAAAAGAACGTGGTTAATGTCAGATCATTATAGATGGAGAAGTAAAGAAAGTTTTAAAATAATCTGATTCATTTGGAGAGAGAGCACTATTATATAATGCACCTAGATCTGCATCTGTGAGAGCAGTAGGAGATTGTGCATTTTGGGCAATTGATAGAAATTTGTTTAGAAAAATGATAGAAGATATGAGAATGCATGAATTTGAAGAAAATAGACAATTTGTAGAAAATTTAAAATCTTTTGGTAAAGTATTTAATTCATCCAATAGAATTTTTAACTTTTGATTAAAGAACAGCCATTTCAAGTGTATTATTTACAGTTCAATTTAAAAAAGGAGAGATTATAGTATAATAAGGTGAAACAGCAACATCATTTTTTATTATTAAAAAGGGATCTGTATCAGTGATTTAAAATGATAATGAGATTAGAAAGATGAAAAAAGGTGAATCATTTGGAGAAATGGCTTTATTCTAAAATTCTACAAGAGGTGCTACAGTAAAAGCAGCTGAAGAAGATGTGAGATGTCTTGTAATTACTAGAGATGAATTAACTAAAATTTTAGGTGATAAAATATAAGTTATTATGTTTACTAATAAATAAATATGGGCAATTTAAAAACATTAAGTTTTAGGATAATTAACTGAACTCTAAATTTAAAAGATTGTATAAAATATGAATTAATTCAATTATGAATAAGGTGCTGTTATATTTGAAGAAAAAGTATAAAAATTAGTGATTGTGTTAAGAGGAGAAATAATATTTGTAATATCTACATTTATACTTAAGGCAGACTGGGTCAAAAATGAAAGCCGCTAGTGAAGGTTAAGTTTTTGGTGATGCTTACTTCAACAAGTAATAACTTAGTGACCCAGTTATTGCCAAAGATAAATGCATACTTGCAGAAATTGATTTCAAAAGATTTGAGGAAGTCATTGGAGGTTCCTTAGATTAAGTTATCAATAAAAATTAAAAAATTAGTGAAAAGTAAATTAATCATTTAATATTTTATTAGACATAAAAAATAAGAAAGTTATAAACATGATTACTCTCATCTTAAATTAGAAGAATTTGTTTCATTAAAAAAATTAGGATAAGGATAATTTGGAAATGTTTACTTAGTCAAAAATCCAAAAGATAATCCTCCTCATTTTTATGCTTTGAAATGTATATCCAAAGCATAAATTGTTGATTAACATTTAGAAAAACATTTAGCATAAGAAAAATAAGTATTGACATCTGTACATCATCCATTCCTTATGAAATATTATTGTAGTTTTTAAGATACTAATCATGTATTCTTTCTAGTAGAATTCATTAAAGGAATGGAACTATTTGATGTAATTAGAGATATTGGTTTATTGAGTGCTTTTGATACTCAATTTTATATTGGATCACTCATTTTATGTATTGAGTATCTAAACAAACAAAAAATTGTTTATAGAGATATTAAACCTGAAAACATTATGGTTGATGAAAAAGGATATGTTAGACTAATTGATATGGGCACTGCTAAATTTTTAAATCACAAAAGTGGTAGAACTTATACTATAATTGGAACTCCTCATTATATGGCTCCAGAAATCTTACAAGGAAAGGGTTATACTTTCCCTGTTGATATCTGGTCTATTGGTATTTGTATGTATGAGTTTATGTGTGGATAAGTTCCATATGCTGAAGAAGCTGAAGATCCATATGAAATCTATGAAGAAATCTAAAAAAAATAATTATCTTATCCCTAATTTCTTAAAGACAGAAAAGCTAAGAAATTTATGGAATAATTACTAAATAAAACCCCTGAATTGAGATTGGGAGGATCTTATGCCAGTTTGAAGGCAAATTAATGGTTTGATTAATTTGATTGGGTATTTTTATAATTATATTTCTCAAAAAGGATAAACTCTATGATAAAGAAATGAAACCTCCTTATTTGCCTCCATAATAGAAAATGCCAGCTACAGGTAAAGATGTACAAGGTACTCCAATAATGAAAGAATTATAAAATTTGAATGCACAAGTCTATAAAAAAGAGAAGGCTAAAGATCCTAATTGGGATTAAGAATATTGAAGTATTTCATGTACACAACTTTTTTTATGAAGAATCTATATAATATTCTAATTTATATAAGTAAGATCAAAACAATATAATAAATCCATAAATTTGTTATTCACTTGACTTAAAAAAGAAATTCTCAAACAATTAAAATTTAATTAAACTTTAATTAAAAACAATATTATTAATATGTTTAAAAAATAACAATAAATATATTTTATTATAATAAGGTTAAATAAATTTTTATGATCATTTCATTTTATATATTTTTGTACTAATTCTGAACAATCCAATTTATGTATCTACTTAACTAAGAAATCTTTAGAAACATTTTATTTTATTTTAGTAATATCATTTTATAGTTCTTAGTATAAACTTTTCTTCAAAAAAATACTTCTACTAACATCCCTCAAAATCTCCTTCTTCTCTTTAATTTGAATTTAAACTACACTACCAGATCTTTATTTTTCTAGAACTTTTTTAACTTTTTCTATTTATTAGAATTTTGCTTTTTCTAAATTCACTAAACTTCTAGATTTAGTATTCTTATTCAATTATGGCTACAATAATCTGGTTAACTTATTATCTTAATAATTGTCTTCTAAAGAGTAACAATTATCTAATTTTTCCCTTTCAATAGATTATCGTATATTCACTCTTTTTTTTATACTAGATGTTTATGTTAGAGAGGTTTAAGAATTTTAATTTTAAGAATTTTTACGAAATCTATTTTATTTTTCTATGTATTTCTCAAGATATTTTTATGTTTCTTCAATTTTAGATTATGATTAGTTTAATAAATTAGTTGTCTTTTAATTATCATACTAACCAATACGATTAACATGAGATTTATTTAACTTTTATTCAATTTTCTTGTATAATTAATTACATTATTCTAGTTCTTATTATTTTAATTATTTAATTCTGTCATTAACTTATTTTTATTTAATACAATCTTTAAATTCTTTCTCTTTTTACTTAATTTTACTTTAACTCAATCCCCTAGAAAAATCTTCTGACCTAAGTCAATTAGTATATTTACTCTAACATTTCCCTTTCTAAAATTTCTCTTTGTTTTTAGAATGCCTTTTCTTACTATTCTAATATTAATTCTTAATGTTTTTTTGCTATAAATTCTGTTTTTTTGTTAAAAGAATGTGCCCTATCACTTACAGTTTTCAAAGTTTTTTATTTAAGTTTTTCAATCCTTCTTTTTTCTTCTTCTTTTAATTTTTGTTCTTTGATTTACTTTAATTCTTCTTCAACTAATTCTTTAATTTTATTTTTCATCATCAATTCATTCCTATCTCTTTTTAGTTATTATAATTCTATTTTTTTATCTAATTAAGAAATAGCATTATCAATATTTAAATTAAGAAGAGAATCAGTTTGTGTATAATATCTTGTCATCTATTGATCTAACTTTTAAAATTCTAATTCTTCTTTTTTTATTTTATTTCTCTCTTTAATCAAAAATTTTCTTCTATGTGCTATTTGATGTAAATGCAACAAGAATCTTTATTCTGTTAAATAATTTTCTTCATCTGGTAGTTAGAAAGTTGAATACTTTTTTTAAACAAGTTCCTCCTCCTTCATATTTAAATTTAACATTGCCTATTAGATTTTTGGTGAATTGAAATTTAGATCTATACTTAGTAAAAATTAGACATCAAATGTTAATTTTAATTCCATTTATTCAAGTTTAGGTTAAGTCAAAGCCAGAGGGTCATCGCTAATAAGTAACATTTTATTAAATTAATTGATATATTTATAATAATAAAAAAAAAATTTAATCCACTTTATTAATAGATATGATTGAAGTTAAAGATTCAGAATTTGAATCATTGCATTATAATTTGGAGATCAAATTAAAAACATGTTAATTTATTGATTGAATTCATTAAATGATTAATATTTTTGAGTATCAATAATTAATTATAATATAATTGAATGGTTCTATAACTCAATTCAATTCAGTTTGTTAAGCCTATAACATTGTAAATAGGAACGATAACTATTTGAATAAAAATTGATATTAGGGTAAGTCGAAGATCAAAATTTTTAATTTTAATTCAGAGAAAATAAACTATTTTAATTTTTCTATATATATAAATTTAATTATTATAAATTTTGTTCATAGAAGGAGAATCAATTACTTTTATTCCTTTACAAAAGATACATAATCTCAAAAGATAATTCTTATTTACTATTTCTTTCATTAAGTATATTTTTATGCTTCCTTTGTATAATTGTCAAATTATTTAATTTTATATCTATTATTATTTTTGGTATAAGATTTAATAAATTATCTAAATAGAAGTTGTATTTAACATAAATTTTCTTTCTAAGATAAAAGTTCCATTAAATTTATTTATATAAAGGGATTTTTTTGTTTCTAAAAATTGGAACATATAACACGTAGTTAATAAAATTGATGATAGAAATATATGTTGATATTAATCCAAAGTTAACTGAAATTAATCCTAAAAATCGATATATAATATAAAATATAAAATCTATTGATTTACAAAGAAAGTATAATGATGAGATTTGAAAACCTCTACATTAATTTTTTTAAGAAATGTATAAAAAGTAATTAATTGCCAATTGAAATTTAGAAGTGATGGCAATTTTAATAAAAATTTTTATTTAATTTGATTAAATTATAATAATATTGTTTAAATTGAAATATTACAGAAGATTCAAAATGCGAATTCTAATTATAATTATTTAATCTTCTAGGGTTTGGAAATTCTTTATAAGATTAATTTTTCTAATCCCATATAATAATTTTATTGTGAAATATTTCATAATGTAAAAAATCTCTCTAAAACTAAAGTAACGCTTAAAATCTTCCTTATTCACAAATAAATAATGAACAATTTACATCATTATGAATTTTAAGTTTATTATAAATAATTTGTTTTAAATGTTTTTCAGTTAGGTTTTAACTTTAGTATTTAGATTTATTGAAATTGATGATTTAAATAATTATTTTATTTTTATTTTAGATATTGTATCTACTTCAAATTCTATCTTCGTATTTGAATAATCATTCAAGAAAAATAGGCAATCTCATTTAAATTTACTGATGTAATTTATAAATAGCATGAAATTTTATATTTTGATGGATATGAAAGGAAATATTATTCTTTGATACAAAGAAGATTCCATAATTCAAAAAAATTTAATTAAATTTAGGATTTGGATGGTAATTGATTAAGAGTTTTATTATCAAAGTGGATAATTAGAAGAATCTTCTTACTAATATTAATAATAAACTTATAAAATAATTTCACACAACATTAATCCATTTATGTGGTTTGCCTCCAGTCTTATGAAATAATAATAATAATAAAATACTTGAATCTCAGTGATCATATCAAACAACTTGTGTGACAACTCACCAGCATTTAATTTAGGATCATACTTAACTTCATAGATTTTATCATTATATCCAATAGCTTCGATTGGTTGAATGCTGACAGCAGTACCTGATCCAAACATTTCAATCATCTAAAAATTAATATATTATTTTTAATTACTCTTCCTTCACTTATTGCTTCTATAACTTCTTAAATGTACAATTTCTTTTCTATAACTTTAAATTAATTCATTTCTCTAGTTAATTCCTGAAATAAAATTGAATATATTACAAGTAATGAATCTCTGACTATTCCTGGTAATATGGTACCATCTAATTAAGGTGTAACCAATTCTCTTTCTCCTTATTTATTAGTCCAAAAGAAAAACAAATTACAAACTCCCATCTCTTAAACCAATCCATCTGGTAACATCCATAAATTTTGGTGGAATCCAATTTATTAAACTTCTTTTAAAGGCATGACAGTTGGTGCATAATTACCTGCAACTTTATATCCTCCAACACCTCCTGGAGCTGAACGAATCTATATTAATCATTGAATTTATTACTGTTGTGGTATTACAAAATACTCTAACTGGTTTCAGTCCAGATGGAAAATATGGACCTACAGGACATAAAACAACAAATAATTTTGCTCTGCTTGATGCTCTCACACCTAAAGCTTCTTCTGTTGCTATAATGGTTGGTCTAATGTAACAACTAAATCCTGGTCTGTCAGGTATCCAATCCTGATCCACTTTCAATAAACCTTCAATGCATTTTTATAATTCAGCTCCATCAAAGTCAGGTAATGAGAGTCTCTTTGCTGATTGTTTCATTCTGTACATATTACAATCCAATCTAAATGTTCTGATAGATTTGTTTGGTCCTTTGTATGCCTAATAATAATCTATATTTGTAAATACTTTAGCTCCTTCAAAACATTCAATGGCATAATGTAAGCAAGCAGCAAATGGATGGATGGAGAAACTTTTAAAAGGAATAATCTATGGACGTGACCATCTTAACCATAAAATTGATTTGATTACCCCATTTTTTCAGTCCAATCAACTTCTAACATATGATCAGTGTGAAATGCTCCGAAAGTCATTATTTTGGGATCGCAAGGTGGTTTAGTGATATAATGCATGGTGTGGGTGGTAGTCATATCTCTAGCCTTGAAATTAGGATTTTGATAATTACTTAGAAGGACGGATATGGACTACTTAGGTCTAGATTTTTGTAATAGGAAAATCGGAAGAATAACTGTCATATAAATGATATGAGAATACCTTTTGAACTTTTGACACACTCATGGACCGTAAAATAAATATTTAAATAATTTGATATCTATATAATGCAATTACGCATTATCATAATACTAATTAACTTATTAATTACGCTATTAATATATTTCTTAATCATTGACACAATTCTCATATCATTGCATAATATTAACCTTATTATATGTTAATACCCATATATATACATATAATAAAGGATTGATTAATTATATTAAAACATTTACTAAAATAATTAATTTATACTAAATGCAAAATTACATTAATTCTTCTCTCTTAACTTAGAAACAACTGATCAAGTATATTGAAATGAAGAATAATCCATTCTCTAAACTCTACATCAAATTTGCAAAAGCCAGAGTCCTCAATGAGTTTTAAAGATTCATGGAAGTTAGTAAAACACTCTCCCACTTATTTGACTGCTAAATCTCTGATCTACACTATGAGGTTAGCCAAATTGATGATTCTGAGAACAAAAATGTTAGTTCATAATAAAAAAATTAAAAATGGGAAGACTCAAATTGTGAGGCTGAAGATTACATATTACTAGATAAGTAGGACAGTATTAAAATTTTTATGCAATATCTTAAATTGAAAGATCAGTTTGTAGACTTCTCAATTAAGTTTCAAGAGTCTGAATTTGGATTGTTTATTAGTTAACTTGATATTTTGAAAAGCATATTCAAGAAGGACATCGAAGTCAAAATAATTGAGAAAACAAGAGAAGGTGACATAAAATTAAATTAAATGAGGAGATCATATAAAGAAAGAAAGTAAAAATAGAGAGCTTACATAAAAAAGAAAAAGGATATACAGAAATATTAAGATTAATTGGATACAAAAGAGAATTCATAAAGATTAGATCATACATCTTCTTAAGATTCTACATTAGTTAATTTAATTGAGAATTCTAATATCAATAGTTTAATCTCTCATAAAAATAAAGTATATCAATAATTTGGAAGTACATTTATAGGAGATTAAGAATTCAAATAACTATTCAAAAAATCTTATTTATGTTAATCAGAATATGAGATAGAAAATAGAGATGATGTAATAATATTTGATACTACTATGGGCAATAAAATAGAATTAGGATAATGTATATTGAATGTTTCTTTAAAGTAGGCCATTGTCAATGTAGAATATAAAAAATACTATCTTGAAATGACTAAAGGGAAAAATACAATTAAAATATACTATATTGATTTTATAGGCAAATCTTATACTGAATTTAGTAAGAATCTAGTGTACTACACTAATATTGATGTGGCATTGAAAGAATTCAAAGAAAATCAAAACTCGTATTTAATTTAATTTGAAACTTGTTCTGAATTTTAGTTTACACAAATGAGTAATTCGTAAGTTAAGTTGTAATAAAGCAATAGAGTGATACCTTTAATCATAATAACTAATTAGATATGATAATAAATTTTTTGTATTATATTATTTAATATTGTAACAGAATTGGTTAATTATAATCTAGAAAAATGCTGTTTAAGTGCTCCTAAAATTAAAAAAATTACATTTTAAAAATTCAGCGAATGATATTGCTCAGGATTAAACCAAAGTCTATAAATTGAATATAGATCATACAGTAGCTGTAAAAAATTCCGTCTGTTAAAATAAGTAAGAATGGCATAATTTTAAACAACAAACAGCTTAATAATAATGGGATGTTATCTGAAAAATGAACCAATATTTTAGAATGAAAAATTTTACTGTTAAACAAAAGTTTTCTAATTTGTAATAGGTTAAAATAGTTTTATATCTAAATTTTTCGGAAATTAATATTGATCAATTTTGGAGCCCAACTCAAAAATATTTTAAAAGAAGCATTTTTTAAATAATTATAGTAATTTCTAATTTTTATTCTAGATAGAATTAGAATGAGACAATACTAATTGGAACATAGCTCATCGGTGGAGCGTAGACCTCCTCAGTCTAAGGTAGCAGGATCAATACCTGTTGTTCCACTTTTTATTTTTAATTACAATTCCATTTTTAATTTTTAATTACAATTTTTTTGGATATATTATTATATAAGAAATAATGATAGTTTTGGTAAAATAAAAAGAAAATTAAATATCCATTGTTTTCTTAATTAAATGATAATTGTAATTAAAATTTTTTAGTTTAAATAGAATCAGAATTGGAACATAGCTCAACGGTAGAGCGTGGACTTCCTCAGTCCAAGGTAGCAGGATCAATACCTGTTGTTCCACTTTTTATTTTTAATTACAATTCCATTTTTAATTTTTAATTACAATTTTTTTGGATATATTATTATATAAGAAATAATGATAGTTTTGGTAAAATAAAAAGAAAATTAAATATCCATTGTTTTCTTAATTAAATGATAATTGTAATTAAAATTTTTTAGTTTAAATAGAATCAGAATTGGAACATAGCTCAACGGTAGAGCGTGGACTTCCTCAGTCCAAGGTAGCAGGATCAATACCTGTTGTTCCACTTTTTATTTTTAATTACAATTCCATTTTTAATTTTTAATTACAATTTTTTTGGATATATTATTATATAAGAAATAATGATAGTTTTGGTAAAATAAAAAGAAAATTAAATATCCATTGTTTTCTTAATTAAATGATAATTGTAATTAAAATTTTTTAGTTTAAATAGAATCAGAATTGGAACATAGCTCAACGGTAGAGCGTGGACTTCCTCAGTCCAAGGTAGCAGGATCAATACCTGTTGTTCCACTTTTTATTTTTAATTACAATTCCATTTTTAATTTTTAATTACAATTTTTTTGGATATATTATTATATAAGAAATAATGATAGTTTTGGTAAAATAAAAAGAAAATTAAATATCCATTGTTTTCTTAATTAAATGATAATTGTAATTAAAATTTTTTAGTTTAAATAGAATCAGAATTGGAACATAGCTCAACGGTAGAGCGTGGACTTCCTCAGTCCAAGGTAGCAGGATCAATACCTGTTGTTCCACTTTTTATTTTTAATTACAATTCCATTTTTAATTTTTAATTACAATTTTTTTGGATATATTATTATATAAGAAATAATGATAGTTTTGGTAAAATAAAAAGAAAATTAAATATCCATTGTTTTCTTAATTAAATGATAATTGTAATTAAAATTTTTTAGTTTAAATAGAATCAGAATTGGAACATAGCTCAACGGTAGAGCGTGGACTTCCTCAGTCCAAGGTAGCAGGATCAATACCTGTTGTTCCACTTTTTATTTTTAATTACAATTCCATTTTTAATTTTTAATTACAATTTTTTTGGATATATTATTATATAAGAAATAATGATAGTTTTGGTAAAATAAAAAGAAAATTAAATATCCATTGTTTTCTTAATTAAATGATAATTGTAATTAAAATTTTTTAGTTTAAATAGAATCAGAATTGGAACATAGCTCAACGGTAGAGCGTGGACTTCCTCAGTCCAAGGTAGCAGGATCAATACCTGTTGTTCCACTTTTTATTTTTAATTACAATTCCATTTTTAATTTTTAATTACAATTTTTTTGGATATATTATTATATAAGAAATAATGATAGATTTGGTAAAATAAAAAGAAAATTACATATCTATAATACTTAAATGTAAATTTGTTTTCTTAAAGCAAGCCTTCTTAATTTCAAAAATTGAAAAAAAATTTCTAATTTTAAATAAGCCATATAATCATTCCTAGTTTATTATCTGTTATTAATAAAAAATCAATTAATTATTCAGATTTCAAGCCTAGATCAAGAAAAATGATATAATTAACAAGAACGACAATTATCATGAAAACTACTTCTAATTTTTAGAATCAATTAAGGCAGATTAAATTTTTATATCTTACATTTATTTTACTATAAACATTTGATATCTTTATTATATAAGGAGAAATAAAAAGATTTTGCCCGAATATTAAAATAAAATATAATAATGAGTTATAAATTTAGTAACAATAGCAATAAATCTATTTCGATTTAATAAGAGCTTAGTAAACCACATATCTTGGAGAGAATTACTAAAAGGAGAGATAGTTTTTATACTGATATCTATTAAAATTTTTAGTGATAATGATGTATATCAAATTATGAAGAAATAACAAATAATAGGAGCATAAATAAATGGGGAAAAGTCAGAAATTTATAAGAAAACTTTTTTGATCAGATGACAATAATAATTTAATTGATAATTAAATTAATTTTCTGATTGTTTCTAATACAGATATTTTTTTGTCATCAATAAAAACTATACAGATAAAAAATTTTTTATGCTATAGCAATTTTCATTTTAGAAGTTTTCCTTTTAGGTTCTCCATTATTGTTATTTTAATTACAAATCATCTCTAACTAGTAAAAGTAGAATTATTTGATGTATTATCAGGAATAATTAGCTTCTATATTTGAAATAATAAATGGTTTTGTAGAAATTAGATTAAAAAGTATAAACATGTAAATTTGATATTTATATGTTTTGGTGAATTAGAATGTATTATACTTTTTGGAAATATAAAAATATCATACTAATTTTAGCAAAGTAAATTATCTAATTATTTCATTTAGTGATAATAGTATTATCTTCAATTTTAAAGAAAAAATAGCCTTTGGATCTATTATTTTATTTAAGCCTAAGACTTTATTGTAATTAAAGGATTTGATCCAATACATAATATTTATGTAATTTTATTAAAAATTACTTTGTTAAAATACAGATTATCATAGATTGAAATTATTATTATAAATAACTTTATAAACCATGCAATCCTGTTAAATGCTTGAGTCATAAATTGGCCTCATCTGTTCAAATAATCATTAAGATTAACCAGTTATTTTTGTTCTCTTGGATGAAGGAATTTAGAGTTTTGAAAGATTGAAGTGTCCTTAGTGCTTAATATCAATTAGAGGAAAAATTAATGGTATGTCATATTAAGAAGCTATTACAAAAATATAGGAATTAAAGGACTAATTATTCTAAGAAAACTCAACATATATTAATAGTAAACTTAATTCATTAAAGAACTTACAAGATCATTTAGAAAATACAAAATCATTGGTAATGTAAAAGTTTGAATAAATTATTAATCATTTGGATTTATGGAAAAGAACATTGCATGAATTAAACTAGAAGTTTTCTACTTACAGCCTTCTAGAAGAGATTGATAAAATCAATATTCCTAATTAATAATTATTTTAAAATGAATAAAGAAAATTTAAGGAATAAATTGGAGAATTAGATAATACGTTTTAGAAAAAAGCCTATTTCAATTTAGATACGCTAAGAAACTCAATAAATGAAGAATAAATTAATATACTGATGAATAACATTATTCAAAGAAATGAAGAAAACTAATTTGAAAATTTATAATAAAGTAATCAATTGTTAATTAATTCAAATTAATATTTAGAGATATCTGACTAAAAAAAAATAATATTTCAGAAAGATTCTAATTAGCATTCAGAAATACAGGTATCAAGCATACAATAGAGTATAATTCCTCAAGAAGATACTAATTAGAAATCTGATATATAAGATTCTCTCTAGTTATAATATATAAATACAAGTGAGATTAATGAGAAACCTGAAAAAAAAGCTTATAAATTAATTAGTTCAGTATAATAAAAGGAAATTTGTACAGGTCTTGCAATCAATAAAGATGGCTCCTTAATTGCTGCTTCATGCAATAATGATATAAAAGTTTGGAAATTTAAAGATGGAAATTTGATTGATTAAAAAATACTACTAAAAGGACATGAGGGCATAGTATTCTGTATCATTTTTAGTTAGAAAATTGATTGGTTTGTATCAGGTGGAATGGATAATTCACTAAGATGTTGGATAGATAGAAATAAAAAATATTGGTTTAGTTCTCATAGTTGGGAGGGCTCCAAAGCATATACATAGCATACTAATTCTATCTTATGTTTGCTTTTAAATGAAGAGGAAGATGAACTAATATCATCAAGTAGTGATCATTCAATAAAAATTTGGAATGTAAAAAGCAAAGATAACTCTATTGAGTATAAGTATTCTCTTAACAAACATTCAAATTAAGTTTTTTAGATATCCTTAAATTCAACTAATACTGAGATGGTATCCTGTAGCGAGGATAGGATTATTATAATGTGGGGTAAAGATGCAACCAACTAATGGGAGTTCAAATATATTATTAATAAAGATGTGGATGACTATGGTCTTAGAATTAATTTTTGTTTTGATGATGCTATTATATGGTGTTAAAATTCAAAACCAATTGCACATGTTTTTATATTAGAAAATGGAATTTTCTAGCATAAACCTCATTTGAGTATTAAATTAAAGCCTTTAGCTGATTATGATTATGGAAGTGACTATTGTTTCTTCCCTTCAAAATATAATTCTAAAACACGAACCTTAATTCTTAAATAAAATAAATATATATACAGAATCAAAAAATCGATGAATAATTAATTTTATATTGATGGTGATGGGATTGTAAATAGTGTTGCTAGCTGCTATGGAACAATTTAAGATGATCAGAACTATATAGTGATTTGGAATAAGGAGTTATTATAAATGTAAGTTTATGAAGCCTGCGAAAAATGAATTGAATTAAATTATATTATAGAGAACAAATAAATTCAACTTGATAAAACTAATTAACAAAAATAAATTAAATACTAACTTCTAGAAAACTAAGATAAATTTCTTTTAAATAAATTAATTCCTACAATTCTTAATTTTCTTATACTTAATATTTAAGTGATAATTATATCCTACTATATTTCTATTCTTTTTCTTTTCATTACAATAAATGACAATATCTACTATTTATTAAAAGAAATAATACTCAATAATAATAAATTAAATTATATTGCGATATTTTAATTCTAAATTTGAGTATTCTTATTAATATTATAACTTATTATTATAAGTCATTTAATGATTATGATTTTAGCACTTTCAATGGGAATTATGTATGAAATTGAATTCTTTCAATAGTAAAACTATATTATTTACAAAAAATATTAAATTTATTTTCGTTGAGTCATAATGCCTATCCTACTAAAACATTAATAATTAATTCAACTTAGTTTTTTTTTATCAATATTTTTATTATAATTAATCCTAATTTAGAGTCTTTATACATTAGGATTATATTTTCCAACTGAAACGATAATATATAAATTTATTAATATGGGAAATGAATCAGCAAAGAGTGTTACAAAGGATTCTTCTGAATTACTCTTAAGTATAATTTCTAATCAAATCAGGCCAACATACGAAGACAATTGAGTCATCATAGGTTGAAAATTCTAAAATATTTGTTTAAGAAAACAAACTTTCATATTGTATTGTTTGTTGCAATTGTTTTGGTTTAATCAAAACTCAATTAGTTGAGATTTAGCTTACTTGGATTGATTATACTTTAAGAAAATTAAATAGAAGCGAATATAAACACTAAGCATGGTCAGATCTAATAAAATAGAGATTGCAAAATATTGATATAAAGAATTTTGAAGATCAACAAGCAATCTATTTAAATAAAATAAGAATGATTATAAGTAGTTATGAAACAAATTCTTCAATGTATTAAAACAAAATTTCAAATCATTATGAAAATATTGAGCAATCAAAAATTAATATTTTTGAGTATTATGAAGAAGAAGCCAATACTATTTTTGAAGATCGCAAAAAGTCTTGTATAAATGATAAGCAATTCTTCAGAGAAGTAATGGGAATGATTAACTAATAAATTAAAATTGTTGATCATCCATGTGGATTAATTTTACAAACATTTCAAAATTATATCGTAAATTATACTGGGCCTTAAGTTTGGTTTAGAGATTCATTCAGAAGAGATAAATATAAAGATTAATTAATAAAAAGCACAGAACTTTGTGATGAAATTATAGAGTTTCTTAAATTCTTTGTAAATTGTATAGATAGTTATTATATGATTGATAAGTTTGTTCAATCAACCCACTTATTAAATTGTTTTACCAGTACTAATAATATAGCATTTGTTATTAATATATTATTTTTGGATGAAAGAATATATATCAAAATTTTGAAGAGTTTTTCTGAACTTTATGCATTTGAAAATTATCAATACTAATTGAGCTTGAGAATTTTAAATCAGAATACAATTGCTGATTTTGACGTTCATTTATAATTATAATTGAACTCTAATACTTAAATTTCATTTGAATTTTAATAAGATTACCTAAAAGGTAATCCATCAATATAATTTTCTGAATATGAGGATTTCAATTAGCCTTATTAATCAGCAATTAACACTTTAAAATAGCTAGAGTAAGTGTAATCACCAGCAAACTAATTGAAAATTATCTCAAAGACATTCAAATAAATCAATTTTTGCATACATGATTATTATGAAAAACATCCTGAACTTGAAGCTTTAAAGAGTTATGGAACAGATGATATAGTTCCTATCTTAACATATGTCATTGTTAAATGCAACATACAAAACTTTGGAATTATTTTAAAAGTATATTTCAATATTTAATAAGATTATTGAAGCCTTTACACCAAAACAAATAATGACTGGAATACTGGGATATTATCTAGTTACAATACAGGGTTGTTATTAAAGAATTTCATAATATGAAAAATTTTAATAAGTTAGGCAAACATTATAAACGACAAAACCTGAAGGTGAAACTGTGCATCAAAATTAATTTTAATAAAAAGTTCTCAGTTCTGATTAATTCAAAATCTGATATTATTTAGGCTAAAATAATTTTATAGATGAATTTACAATATCAATATATATCATTATTAGTCAAATATGCAATTAATATTTTATATCAAATGTAGTGTTTATTTGAATATTATTTTAATATAATTTTATTAGCTCTAAATTATTTGTTATCAAATCCTTCCCATAATTATTCTGGATTTAGTTAGCAATGGTAAAATAAATGACTAATGTGAGAAACAAAGAATTTTATAAAACTTAATATAATTTTATTATTATTAATGGGTTGCTGTAAATACTTTCCAAATAGTTGTTGCTCATCCAAAACGTTCGAAAATCCATCTTATTCAATAATTCCAAAAGAAACTTCAGAATAGTTCTAGAATGAATTCATTCAAAGTATCATAAATCTTGATGTGAATGGTAATTTGTAGAGAGAATAAGAAATAAGTTTTCCAATAAAAAATACATCATATACGAAAGATATTACCGATGTAGAAATAAAATAAGAATATATGAAAACTAGTTCTAAACAATGGAACATTAAGTAAACTATGTTTGTCAGAGTGAATTCTACAAAAAACATTAATGACTCATATTTGATAAAAGAAATGATTGGATAGGGAGGATTTGGTAAAGTCTATAAAGTCGTTCATAAATAAACTGGTAAGTAGCATCAAGACTTCTAAATTAGGAATGATAAGGGCTGTGAAAATGATATTGAAGGAGAAGATGAAACAAGAAGATGAAGAGCGGTTATTAGAGGAAACTGCTATTTTGATGGATATAGATCATCCAAATATAGTTAAATTATATGAGATATTTTCTGATAAATATAGTTATTATTTGGTAAGTGAATATTGTGAAGGTGGTGAGTTATTTGAAAAAATTAAACTTGTTTCAATATTAACAGAGAAAGAGATTGCAAATTTTATGAAATAAATACTCTCTGCTCTATCCTATTGCCATTAAAAAGGAATTGTTCATAGAGATTTAAAGCCAGAAAACATACTATTTGATTAAAAACATAGCCAAGCTTCAATTAAAATTATAGATTTTGGTGCTAGTGCTAAGCTATAAAATTGTGAGAAGCTACAAAAACGAATTGGAACAGTATTTTACTTTTATTTTTTAGCCTTTTTATGTTGCACCTGAAGTACTTGATGCAAATTATGACGAAAAATGTGATATTTGGTCTTTAGGAGTAATATTATATATACTCTTGAGTGGGTATCCTCCTTTTATGGGAGCAAATGAATAAGAAGTTCTTATTAAAGTAAAAAAAGGAGAATATTCATTTGATCCAACTGATTGGGGGAAAGTCTCTAATTCTGGAAAAGATTTAATTAGAAGAATGCTTATGTATAATCCTACAAATAGGATTTCAGCTGCTGATGCTTTGAATCATGAATGGATAAAAAATAATAAAGCAAAAGGACAAATTAACAGTTTGACTCTTAGTAAATTATAAGATTTTGATTCAAAAAATAAATTAAAATATGCAATCTTTTAGTTTATAACTGTTCAAGTAGTTACAAACTAGGAAAAAAATGATCTACTCAAGATATTTCAAGAGATAGATAAAAATGGAGATGGAACTGTCAGCAAAGACGAACTATATTAGGGTATATATTGTAAAAAATTTTAGCTTATTTAAAAATTCATAAAGGAGATAAATTAGCAGCTGAGACTATAGTAGAAGAATTATTTCCCTAATTAGATGCAAATGGTTCTGGGATAGTAGATTTTAGCGAATTTATTACAGCAACAATAAACAAAGAGAAATCACTTAGCAGATAAAGAATTGAACAGTCTTTTAAATTGTTCGATTTGGATTAAAATGGATTGATTACTAAATAAGAACTAAATGAACTATTTGATGAAGAAATAGATGAATAGATGTGGTAGGAAATCTTAGATTAATGTGATACTGATAATGATGGAATGGTATAATACATACATATAACTAGATTAATCTTACTGAATTTATCAACTTGCTTGAAAATAAAATATCAAAAAATCCAATATTTTTAAAATGAAAATAATTTGATAATTAACAATTAATGTATATATCTATAATTATTGCATTGATTATATAGAGATATATATTATTTTAGACCTATTTAAAATGGAAATTTATTTTCATTTTTCCTATAATATTTAATCATTATCAGTCATAATAGAAAAAAAATCTAATTAGTATATCCCATATGAAATTTCTAATATGAGCAAGAAGTAATTGCTAATATACTTTGGTTCTAAAATATAAAAAAAATCTTATAAAATCATTCATTAAAATAATATTAATCTAATTGGTTCTGAGACTATTTTGATGATTCTATCTAGCTTTAGAGAATAGTCAATAGCTATAAAGTTTATTATATGGAATAATAAATTTGGAAAAAGGGAATTCAAATATAAAGAAAAATACATCGAAGTTGGGTAGAAAAATAAATAAAAATTTTTTTAGATATATAAGAAGTATGGGAATACATTTAATTAACTAGATTATATATTCAAATGTAATGATTCAAGTTTAATTAAAAACCTTTCTTTAAGATGTAATTTTAATTATAAAATTTGTATACAGGACAGGAAGGAACTATTTTAGACATTAGTTAAAGTTTAAATATGATAATTGTATAATCAATTAGGATTTCAAACATATGTTAGAAATGTATTGTCATCATGTTTTTGAGCTACTTTTTATTTTGGTTTAATGTCTAAGGTTTTCTATTTCATTATTCTATGATCATCCTAGTCGAGTTTAGTGGCAATCTCAAAAGATCTTTTCATCTGAATAAAATGATTTTTTACTTATTTCAAATCCCTTTGATAAGAACAATAAATTATTTTTCTTTATTTATCAAAATATTGTTCTTCCTTTTTTTTAATAATAGGACATGGCTCTGTTTTTTTTTTTGTGGTTTCTATTTTTGGCAGAGCCAAACTTTTAGTTCTGGAATTCCTCTTTTGAAACTCTTAAAAGTGCATCTCTTAAAAGTAAAATTCTCTTTCAGCTGACAAACCTACTCATATGAATGTCTAACCATTTTTGTTCTTAAAGCCTTTACTTCCATCTAAAATTGTAATCCCCTGCATATTTTGCTTTGCTTGCTAATTGCTTTTATTTTTGAAGAGTATATTTTTCCATTCTTTCTGTTAATTAATCATACAAATATTCCAAATTGGCTTCTTACTGATAATAAAGTTCCTAATATCTAGAGCGAGCATTTTTAACTTATTCATCACTTGTTTTCATTTTACGTTCTAAATAACCATTAATTGTGATACTCATGGAAACTTTTTTTTCCTCATTTATTGGAATAATGAAAGCTAATTCAGTATTACAGACAATAGGGCGCATTTTAATAATCTACAATTTAAGATGAGGAGATTATTTCATTAATTAATTATAAATTTAGTAATAATTGTAATCGATTAAACCATTTTTACTATATCGTAGGATATTCATAATATTCAATCATGATACTAAGCCCACAATTTACAGGCTCTTCTAAAGCTTTATTATTTTAGATTACAATTTTACATAAATTCAAGATTGAGTTATTCATTTTATTAAATTAAAAAGTTTTATATTATTACGTTGATTAATACTCCATTGCTTTGGGAATTACAAGTGATCATAGGGCTTCTTTTAGGAAAATTTGATGAACCCTTTTAGTATCCCTGGATGGCATTATATGTAATTTAGGACTATCTTATTCCTTTTCAAATTCAATGGGTTTAAATTGTTATGTTAAATGTTAAATTCAACTTATTTATTTGTGTTTTTCTTACTTTCTACTTCCTTCCAAATAATCTTTTACCAATCAAGGAGATTATCATTATATTCAATTCTATGCATCAACCCTTTCAGCAACCTTTTCAAATAACTATAAGAAGTTCATTATCACAAAAGATATTAACAATGTAGTAAAATAACCCTCAACTAATGACGTAGACCATAATTAAATTAAATTACAATTAACACTTATCATAAATACATCAGAGTTTCTCTTATTGTCTTTTATCCAATTATATATAACCCCTCTACTTTAGTTTAAGTTTTATCTAACCTCATCCATAAGAATGAGGCAACAAACCTTAAAAAATATTCTCAACTAACCTAAATACTCTAAATCATTTGCCCTGCTTTAACTGTATCCTTAATGAGAACAGAAGTAGTTTCTTATAATTGGTGGCCTATTAACTTTGGAAACAGTCTCTTTAAGAATCATATATTCAATCATTGATTCAGAAATCAATGATTTGAATATAGTTTTCATTGAATGGGATTCCTATCATGAAATCTCTGGCTTAATGTTTCTGTGTTAATACTAGGTAACTTTATCTCACTTAATTAATAAAGCCTTTAGAATGTGGATATTTTAATTGACGAATATCCTGATTCATAAAATGCAAGATAGTTTTCAAAGAACATGTAAAGTTGTATAAACTAAATAATTCATCAATGTTCTTACCTAAAATTAATTTATAAATGAATAACTAAAAAGATTTCAACAGCACTCTTTTAGTTGAATCTTTTATATAATTATATAATCTTGGTATTTCCATTTCAAAATTTATTTTTTTCTGGATTTCCACTTCCAATCTTAATATCTCTTCTTTTTATGAATTTTGCTCATATGCCTCAATTTTTGACAGCATAGTAATTTAGTTTAATTTAATTTATAGCATTATAATCTTTCTTAAATGATTTTTCATTAATTTTGGAGACTATCGAGTAATTTTTGCGAACTTCTTTTCCTAATTATGAATCAATTAGCACTTTTCAAGAATAATTAGTATTCATCTGTGAATTAAACTATGATAAATATGCCATTACATTATAATTTATTTTACGGCATACCTTCCCAAATTTCTATCTCTAACAGTTTCATAGCTCTTTTCTGCCAACTTAATTTTTTTTCTAAAATGAAAATGCAAATTTATATTTATTTTTTTGGTTTTTAGAGAAATCTGTTTTTAGAGAAATCTGTTTTTATTAATTTAATTCATATTAGAATTACTCATCATTATATTTATACTCTAAAGAATTAAATTACATATTCTTTATGATAAGAAGAACTTTTTTTTCTATGTTTCCATAAAAGATTATTTTGTTTTATGGATCAGAATAACCTGGAATATTTTTCAGTTTATTATTTCCTCTCATCTTATTGATTTTTAGCTATTTTTTAAACACTGCCTAAATTTTTAGATCAAACAAAGGAAAAATTTACACTAAGGCGACAAATGAGTATTAGATCAAGGCAAACAAAGAAAAATAGAGTTTTGTAAACTCACCCAAGTTAGATTAGTGCTCCATATTCAAAGCATTCCAAATTCAAAAGGGATCTGTATTGCATTTTTAAATAGTTTAGGTGTTAATTAAAGAATTCATCATTTATAATATTATCAATTTTATTTAATTCCTTTTCTTCTATCTTCATCTTCTTATTATTTAATTCTTTAATGTATATAATAATGACATTTTTTATATTTTCTGCCTGAATTACAAAAACATTATTTATTCCCCAACTTGCTCAATTTTGCCATCATTTATTCCATTGATAATCCTTCAAAATCCTTTGAGATTTTATCATCATCATCATCATCGCTTTAATCATCCTTCTTCTTTTTCACTCCACCCATATTATACATATTAGCCACATCCTCTTCAGTCATCTAACCCATCAACTTCTTATATCCTTTATTAAATATGCTATATGCACTTAAAGTGCCTTTTTCTCTAGTACCCAAATTAGTAAAGATTAATGCAAATCCAGTTATGATTACATACAACCCTTACATCGAATATAGGATTGATATCTATTAGATTATAGTATGATCATTACTCTGCCACCAATCAACCAGATTATAGTATATACAAAGTATTTTAGAAAACTCCATTGAAAATATGTTTGTAAAAGGTGTTTATAGTATTTAGAACGATCCTTGAATTCGGATGAATCTACAAGTTCAACTTTGTACATATAATAATAATAATCAAATATTGCTAAATTTGAGTATTCGACTAATAGTATCCTTTAGTTCTGCTTCATCCTTTGTTTAGAAATACAATTCAAAAGCCCCTTTAAGGATGGGTTTATCTTGATTAATATTTTTTAATAAGTAGGTTAACTATTATTGATTAATATATATATTTACATCAGTTTTTGATCTTCCCAATTAAATTAAATTTGCTTTCAAAATGCTTTTTACATTTAATTTCAAAATGTAATTATATATTAGCTAAATATTCTCTACTAAATCCTACTTATCTAAATTATAATCATAGACTTCTAATGAAGACTTCAACATAATGTTATCCTTATCAATAGCATCCATCAATAAATCTATTTATTTGACTTTAGATTTTAAGAATTTTGCGCATATATCTTTTATCAAATCCTCATGATGATTATTTTAATCGATTTTTTTCATATAAAGATCCATTGATTAATTATCTTTTGGCTTTTTAATTTGACTATTTGCAAAATCTGACAACTTCTAAATGAATATCCTTTGATCTCTGTATCTAAGGAAATCCCTAAACAATTTTAAAAGGATATTATCACAGGATATCATGTTCTAACAATTATTTTTGATATCTTACTTATTCCAATGCCAATCTTTATTCCTAATTCAAGCATCTTCTGCAAGCAAACAGAATTGTCAATTATTATTCTATTAAACTATCGAATTACTCAATTTCATTAAAATCAAATCTAGAAGAGGATGAATCATAACAGACATATCTTCAATCGAATATAAATAATAAAAGGCCTTTGCTTACCTTAAAGTAATGACTTTATCAATTTCATATAAAAAATTTATTATAAATTTGAAATTTTAATATTTATGCATTTTTGGTTCAATATCGGCTCCATGAGTAGGTGAAGGTATGTCATCAATTTTTTTATTTTTTAAAGTCAATAAATCATTAATATCTGATTTAATGCTATCTATATCATATCTTTATCCATTAGTTTTTAGCAGTATAGTATCCATGTAATTTAGCTTTTTCATGTTCATCACAGAATTTTCCACATTAATCATAGACAGTCATAAACAATTTTTCATAATCTTCATTACTGTATTTTTATTATACTTTGACATGATATTTATCAATGAAGTTAATTTCTTTCTTATTTTCCAATAATATTGAATCATCACTCAACTTCCGTTCTTCCTATTAATTTATTTATGGTAAATTCAAATGAAAATGAAAATGTTCATCATTACTATCTTTTTGCCGTTTATGAATCAAATAATAGGAATAGCTATTTTCTTCTCTAAATTATTATTCCAATAGTCCTACATTCTCATTAAGAAAAATAAATAAATCCTATATTTAACCATTTTATCCAAATCTTTATTTATAGGAGTTTGTTTATTAGCATTTTCTTATAAAAAGTACTCTACTTAATGAGAGTTAAAATTCTTTGTAATTTCTTGCTAAAATTGACCTTGTAATATTTTCTTATTATTATTTACAGTAAAATCTTGTGAAATAGGATATTATTGTACATCTTGAGGGTAATCCATCAAACTTTTAACCAAATCATCTAAATCACTGTCCATTCTTAATTCTCTCAACATTCCAGACTTAATTGAATCTAAATCACCTGAATTTAATAATTAATCCATTATTGTTATAGATGATCTTAAACCTGGAGTTGGATTAAAATCATAAGGGAAATTAACTGATTAATGAGCATCACTCCTACTAGGACTGGTCATAAATTTGAGATTATTTAACTATTAAAGAAAGTATAGTATTTTTATAATGAAAGGTTGTTATTGTCATCTTAAGGTAGGAGTGATTTCAAATTGTTAATGAAGTTTTCATCATCTTGCTATTATTAATACAATTAATATGCAGCAAAAACTGATTAATCTTAGCCTATAATTAATCCTAAAAGGTATTCATATTCTCTGGATTCTAATCGATTTCTAAATTTGTCAACAGCTTTTTTTACCCTCATTACCCTTATTAACACAAATTATACCTATGAGTTCTTTTGCCTTAACTAGAATGAAAGTTATCATTTGCCTCCACCTATAAAATCTATTTCTCATTCCCCCTAGTTACAATCAAGGGGATATTATTATTTGCATTACTATTTGGAGTAGCAAAACTACCTTATAATATAGGTTCTGACTCTTCTTCTTCACAAAGTAATTGCTCAATCTGATAACACACATATTCAGCAATAGAATGATTGATTTTAATTTCCATTTCATGTTTAAGATGTTAATTTTAAAAAACCGTTAATAACAATGAATCTGTTTCATCTTCCTGGATTATAGTGTAATAAGCTTAAAGAAATGCAAAAGTTTTATAGATACTCATTATTATAGGTTAGCCAAAGATGCCAGCCTAATATTCATTGTCAAATACCAACACAATTGTTGAAACTGGATGTTGAAGACTAGATGACTCTTCAAATATACCTAAATCTGATTTGTTGGATTTCTGATAAGAATGCTCCAAAATCTACATAATAAGAAGGTTCCTAAACGGTTTGCACTCTTGAATTCTTACTTTTATGAGACTTCCGACTTTGTCTTTCTGCTTTTCTTTTTTCTGTCAATATGACATAGAACTTATCCTTATGAACTTGCAGATTATTGCAAAAATAATGCAAATCACAAATATTTCCTATTTTATTATTGTATTTACCTTACTCATCTTATAATGCTGTGATGGTCTTATCAACCTAAAATGCTGATCGAATTAAACGACAAAAGGATGCCACATCCAAATTTGAAACAAAGAAGGATTTTTGTTCTCCATCCAATGAAAATATAAAGTTATGCTTTCCTTGCATTTATAAGTTTATTTGATAAAAATAATATTGTAAAATATATTATAAATAATTTATTACATCAAAACTATTTCAAATTCTAAATACAATTATTTATGTATATAAATTCTCTTTATTTTACATTAATTTATTTATAAATATAAATGTAATAAAAAGCAAAATAATTCTTTGCTACCTACGGAAAATTGGGAATTGGTGTTTATTTTTCAATCTCTTTAGTAAATTACGGGATAGTTTACTTTGCACTGAAATAGGGAGTTGATATGAAATAAGTTGGATCAAAGTATCACTTTTCATTTTACATTAGGCTAGGATTTGATACTGCTCAAGGGAAGTGGGAATAGATAGAAACATATGGTACGCCTACAGCAGCGTACATAATTTATAAACTTATGGCTCCAATCAAATGGCCACTCGTAATAGGAACCACAGCTTTGATATGTAAAAAAGGAAGAAAATGAAAGATGATTATATAAATTGCAAAGAATTTTGAATATAAAATTGTCAATGAATCTAAAATATCAATATGACATATTTGTTATAAGTGGGGGTTCTGGCGGTCTAAAAGTAGTTGATGAAGCCTAAAAGTTAGGCAAACGAGTGGAGTTAGCAGATTACTTTAAACCAAGTCCACATGGAACCCAATGGCGAACAGGTGGCACATGTCCTAATGTTGGATGCATTCCTAAAAAGTTAATGTATCTGACAGCATTGATTGGAGAAATAAGACATGAATTAACAGCAACCGGATGGCAAGGAGTAGAATCTCATTCAAAGCATGATTGGAATATTTTAGTCAATAAAAATTTGCAAAAACTAGCTGGATTTCTTCTTTTAGAGTTAATTTGATGCTATATTTTTTTCTTCTCTTAAGATTCTTTTCCTCAATCAAACCTACATCCTAATAACTAATCACCGTTTGACCACAAATTAGTTGCAACTTCTTAAATCTATTGTTACTTTAATTGTATAATTCATAGATTTCATTTTAATTGCCCTTATGTATATCATAATACTTTTTACATAATCATTCATCACTTTTTCTAAAATTAATATCATATCTATCAACTCATCTATAATTTCATCACATAATTCTATTTTTCTCTGTTTTCTTTTTAAGCCATTTTTATCTTAATTATCTTACATCTTAGTTGCCATTAACATTAATTTACTGATTTTCTAATCATTAATTATCACTCATACACTCTTAAACTTTGATAATTTACTTCCATTCTTTATTTGGGCAAATGCATGGGTATTCTTATGTGCTTTTCTCTCTTTCTTATATTTAACCTTATCCCCATCAAAAGGATTCTCAACATCAGTATCTTCCTCTTAACATCCTATTTCCTTCTTCCACACCTCTTGGACCTAAGGATTATAATCAATAGTTTAATCAATAATTTGATTGAAATTCCAAGAATCAATTTAGATACAACCTTCATCCAGACTTTCTATAAATTCTCTTGTTTAAATGATCTTCTCTTTTGCCTGTTATAATACACTGTGATCTTCTTGCAATTCGATCTCACCTTCTTTCAAAATTGTAATATAAGGTAAAAATCTTTCATTATTTTTTTTCAATATGCCTCATAGTATTTTGATATTAATTATCTGCATTGCAATTAGGAGAACCTATAAATGCTGGATCAAAATCAACAGCTTATTTGAATTATTCAAATTATATTCTATGTATAACAACCAAGCACAACAATAAATTAGCAATTTTCATTTATAAAATTAATCCTTTTTTTTACAACTAGATTTTCCTATTTAGACATCAACCAAAATAAATTTGTAAAAATAATAATAAATCTTAATAAAATATCCATGTCAAATTTTCAATCGCAAAGTACAAAGAATTATTAATATCTCAATTAGTTAGCTCATTATAATAAAAATATTTTTGTATTGTTCTAAAAAACTTAGATTATAGTCTAATTGATAAAAACCCTATTAAAATATTGAATTACAAGAATTAAAGGTAGATGTTATCAAAATATTATATTTTATTTCATTTTCAAATTTAAAAACATTAAAAATATATAAACATGAAAAAGGAATAAAATAATTTCATTTATATTATTCATAATAAATGTAGAAATATGGAAACTAATAAATTTTTGGAAATTACATATTCAAATACTAAATAACTCTTAAAGAAACTATTTTAAACATGAAAAAGTATTTCTCAAAAGAATTTTCATTTTATTAAATAAATTTACATAAAAAAATAATTTACATATCGTTCATTAAGTGAATATATAAAATATATTGATTATAGTTTATTTTTATAATAATTAATGATCAAGCATTTTTGCGAGCAACTTACCAATGGAGCAACCTTAATCCAGTCCAAAATTTGAATAAAAGTACTTAAAAATACGCTAGAATATAGTATAGAAATAGAGAATAATTAAATCATTATTGTCATACATAATATTTATAATTTTCTATTTCTTTGATTGATCTTGTGTTCAAAAGAAGAAGATGATTTGCCATTTGAAAAAAAATAATATTAATAAATAAAAATTATATATCGAAAGAAAAGATACAGCAAATATTATTATAATTTACATATGATGTGGTTCTTTATTAAATCGATAAAAGCTTGATTGATTTGATGCTTTTAGGAAGAGAAAATACAATAATAATGGTTTATAATAATGAGATATTGAACAGAATGGGATAAAATTCAAAAAGGTGATGGATGGAGAATATTATAAAATGATTTTAAATCTAATTAAAAAAGTGTGAATGATAATCAATGTTGCATCATTAGATTATGAATTAATGATAAAGGCAGCCCATCAAATGTAAATAGTGCGTATTAAATTGATAAATTTCTAAATTATTAAACCAGAATTCAATCGTCTTATCAATTAATTATTATATAATCAGGATGTCTGAATCTATATACAAAGTTCGCACTTAGAAATATTTCAAACCTATCTTAGAAACCTAGATAATTGGAATATCTAGAGTAATTCTCGGATTACCAATCGATCATGTATTTGATAGATTCAAGACTCTACTTTAAGCTGAGAACACTCAATCATCAATTAAATAATTATTCAAAGATACTTATCAAAGGAACGGAGTTCTTAAAGGAGTTTTTGCTGGATTTTCATCCCAAATCAGTATTCAATTGTTTAAACAATACTACAGGTAAATTTGAAAAATGAACCTAATAGATGGCCAATGATGATATTGATCCCCAAATATTATAAAGAACTTTTGCCAAATACTTGGATTGAGAATCATCCAGCTTTGCACAAAGGATTGGCAGGTACAACAATAGCCTTTTTTGAATCATTTGTGACTTGTCCTTTGGAAAGAATTAAATGTTAATTGATGACTCAACATTAATCAAAATCAAGTATCTTAAAAATAATATCATAAGTATTTAGATAATTATGGAAAAATGAGAGATCATTATCTTATTTTGTAAGAAATCTATATACGGGCATGGAAGCTATGGTTTTGAAGTAAGTGGTCTCATGGACGAATTATCTCTATTGGGATCATAAGATTAGATATTTCTTTAAGGAAAGTCCCAGTCAAGCACTAACTTTACCATAAATTGCTATGTGCAGTTTATTGACTGCAATTCCAAACATCCTTTTAGTTTAACCCTTTGATGCTGTTAAGACGGCTTATCAGATGGAAAAAAATGGAAATTATAAATAACTTACCATCCCACAAGCCTTTGTAAAAGTTTATAAGGACAGAGGTTTTATTGGGTACTATGCTGGTTGGTAATTTAGGTTGTCTTAATTTATAATTTAAGCAGCTTTAAGTACTCCAGTAATGGATTATTTGGAAAGATTACATGGTCTTCCAAATGAACTCTGAAATTCATAGTTAATACTAACAACTGAATATTTTTGATAATAATTAAATATTTATATATTATCATTTTGTTTAATCATTAGTGAATCGATTTTCTAGTCTCCCCTAGAGTATCAAGTCAATTTTCTCTATCTTTATCACTAGTTTCCTGATATATATGATTTTAATTTATTTTATTATAATCTTACTTTTACTTGATTATAAGAATCGAAATGCTCTGAGAGTAAGGGATGTAGATTTTATTTGAGCAATAAGAAGATTAAAAATGATTTTCTTATTCTTGTTGATAGTGTAATATAGAGTCCCATTAATCGTCAATTATGTTGTCAATTCTTCATTTCTGAAAAGCTAAGATTATCTTGGTAATTGTTGATTTTTTGATTGATTTGATAGTCTTAAGTATATTACAAAAATGATGTAGTTTAATCAGTATTAATGGCCTCAAATAATTAGTATAATGAAATTGAAGTTGCATTATAAATAATTGGTTTTTATTCTATTTTTTTAAAATTTAAAGGTGTTATTTATTTTACAACACTTTACTTTGCTTTATGTTCTATTTCTTATTAATTATTTTCATATTGTTCTTGGTCCAGGACCTAAATTGATTAAGTAGTCTGATATCTCTAAGAGATTTTTGTTTTATACTCAATTGTTGAAAGTGTATAGATGTTGGTTGTCTTCTTTTTTAGAATTACTCAATAAAATTTATGTTTTTATATTTATTAATTAAAAAATGCCTCCAGTAATTTTGTAACACTGACCAAAACTACTAATTTTCAAAGCTTAAAATCCCAACTAACAAAGTTATGATTTTTGTTTATGAATGATAAATAAATAAAATTTAAATTTTATCTAAACATGAGAATAACAGTTTTTGCTCTCTCTCTCTTACTCTGGTAGAAGTAAATTTTAATTACACTATAATAGAAAAAGTCTAAAAAGTAAATAAATTTTTATCCGTTAAAGATCGTCTATGTATCTGAACAATTGATAAGCAAAATATAAAAATGAATGATAATTACATATTAATCACTATTAGAAAAGCAAAAATGAAAATACATTAGATGATAAAAAAGGGTGAAGTGAGGTAATATTATTGATAGAAATTTATTTTATTAAATCTATTAGTCTTGGAATATTTGGATGAAATTATAAAAAATCGTGACCTTATTTAGAAAAGAAATTTCAGCTGCAAGAATAGAAAATCTAGAAACTTAAAATATTTCAGTAGTTAAATTCTTCTTTAAGACAACCAGACGAAATAATGATGGAAGATATTAAACCAAAAATAAATACGTTATGATGAGAGAAAAAATATAGACTGGAATCAGAAATATAATAATAATAATAAATTAATGTGAAAAATTTATCAACTTCTTGGAACTAGTTGTTTGGGCTTATATTTCTCACAATGCTCTTTGGTTATGTTGGAAATATTGTAAAATTTCTATTGGTTGTTCCAGAGGAATTACTCTAGAAGACTTATTTTCAATTCGAAAGATTAACACAGAAGAAGTTAAACTTATGCCTCAATAATCTATTAAGAAACCCATTAAATATTTAAAAGTTGCAACAATCCACAAATTTATGGAACCAAATATACAGACTACTAGATATTTATTAAAAAAGATTCTCATTAGAATACAAGAATTTTATGAAGATTATAGAAATTTCGACCTCTATAATAAGTACTTATTAAAGCTATAGATAAAGAAACCTTTTTTAGGATTAACCAAAATAAAAAGTAGTATGTCGAACTTGGAAACCTACCGAAATTTGTGAACTAAATCCTGAGATCGAGATAAATTTTTAAATGATTATTCTTCTTGGTTACCTATTTCTATGAGATTAGTTGTTTAAATAATATGCACCCAGCATTTTATTTATCACATGTGAGAATTTTAATACTCAAAGATGAGGTAAGAAAAAGTATTTGCCTTTTTAGAATTGTCAAATGCCTATAAGATGGTTAAAAGATCAAAAGTATTTGATAAAACAAGAAGTGATAATAAATTTAAAGATCTCTTCATCCATTTTAGATTTATGAAATTAATATTACCTCCTTTAAAGTTTGATATTGACTTCAACTAGTTTTTAGAAGATTCATAAAGAAGAACGAGCAGGCCAGAAAGGTTATTAGAAAAATGTATAAGAGTCTAAATATTTTTTTAATTTATTGAATAAAACAAAGATCCTTGTTTACGATGATGTGGCTCTAGTTTCATAAAGATTAGAATTTTACAGTTGAAATTAAAAAGACTGTTTAGGTTACTAATTAAAGAGAAGATAAGTTATTGTCATAATTTTGTGGTATCGAAAAAGTTAGATATGATAAATATTAGATGGTGATAATCTCTTGTAGCATTGTTTTTCTCCTGATGGAAATATATTAGCTTCTGGTAGTAGTGATAACTCTATCCGTCTATGGGATGTCAAAACAGGATAATAAAAAGCCAAATTAGATGGTCATAGTAAT